TAATCCTGGGCTACAAAGATCATCCATTGCCCTATGTCTTTAAAGGTCTTGAAAACTCTTTTAGTGAGTAACTTGTGATGTCTCGATGAGCCTTTGAACGACTGAGAAAGTCTTTAGTTCCAGCAGCAGTGAGATTTTTTAACAGTATTTGCTAGGGTCTGACTTGGCACTGCTGCATAGTTTGTAGATTTTATTTTATTTTATTACTATTTATGCATATTTATCAGGCTTATTTAATCATGTCCTTATCTTTTATTGTACTACTTTTAAATCATGTTTCACTGGCCTTTACTGTGTTTATTGTGTATCTGGTGTAAGTCTATGTTTTTCTGATGTCTCCATGCTGTTTGTGGTCTCTAAGAGTCTTCTTATCTTAGTGGTGAAATGGTTTTCCCCCATGAGTGAGGGGTGCATCAGAGTGACCACTGAAAGGTCATTCACGCAGGCTGGTTTTCAGTGTTTAGATCAACCACTGAGATCTGTTCAAACAGCTGTGTTGTTGCATATTTATTCAGAGTTGAACAGTATAAGTGTGTCCAACTGGAAAAGAAAAAAGAAGACTTTAGTGTTTAAAACTTCTCCCTTAATGATGTCTCTGAAACTTCCGTTAACATCAAACAGACACTAATATACCATAGTTTTGTCGTCTGATGAATCAAGTTGCCTTTTAGTACCTGATCTGTTGTTTGTTTACTGTCTGTGACAGGCTCTAACATCTGCTGTCTTGATGTCTAAATAGCTGTTTACATGGGTTTTCACAGTCTTGGTAACTGTTTTGAATAATACAAATTTGCACTAAAAATAAAAGAAAAGGTTTGGTTTGCATGAGGAAGAAGTGGGTGGAAAATTGAAAGAAAGCTAAAGAAAACCACTTTTTTTTTTTTAACAAAGATGTATTTTCTAGGGGACCAGCATGTTTTAAGGCATTTAAAATCATTTCAAAAGCTGCTGTCTTTCTAGAAATTAATTTGGCCCTTCTTTTAATTGGAGGATTGAGACTTGATATTTCAAGAAGTACTTTAGATATTCTTCAACATTTTTTGCATAGAAGTTCTGGTGGACCTACGGAAGCTCACATAGCTTTATCAAACACATTTGTTTTTTTTTTGTCAAGGGAGATTCTCTGGAAAAGCCAAAGCTGTTTTTGTTTTGGTTATTGCTACTATTTTGCTGCTGCGTGCTTCTGTTTTATCACAGAAGTCACACCTCATGTAGGTATCTAGAAAAGTTTCCACTTCCTATCTTCAGATTTTGATCCTCCATCTGTCTGTCAGCGATCTCCGCCCCACTCTACACTGTGCCTGCTGAGGAAATCCGACCTGTTACTCAGGCTTGGAAAGCAGCTTTCCTTTTTTTTTTTTTTTTTACCTTGTCAGGCTCACTCCTTTTTTTGATTCAAGTCCTGTGTGGACAAATCCTGGATCAGACAAATTGACAGGGTAATAACTTGTATCGCCGCTGGTGCACTTTAAGTGTTCCTCAGTCTATTAAATCTGACAGTTTACACGTGTAATCATAAACCCCCTGGCAAGACATCCCACGCTAATAGTTTTTGAGTGTGTAAGTTATCTTATTCATCATGTAAAGTGATTGAAATGATTCTTTGACACAGTACCATCTGCCAAGTAGTACATTATGCTACCTTGCAGCCATACTGGAGCTCGTTTTATTTCATCCTCAAAGACAAAAGTTTGTCTTTGATGAGTTCATCAAATGACTTGATGTTGACTCAATTCTCCCTTGTTTGTTTTGTGTGTAATCATAAACTCCATGTGTGCTGCTGCAGCATCGTCCTATAATACAGAGGCATGCAAGCCTGCCCTGGCAGGTTGCATGGAAAGAAAAAACTGTCCAGTGTCAGGTTACACAAACGCCCATACTGAAAAATTCTCTACTAGTTTCCTGAAAGTGATCAAAATGTACTTGACGGTTGATATTTAAACCAGAGACAAAGGATGAGACAAGTATTTCCTGAGAGTAATGTTACAAAGTCAGCACATGCCCACAGGCAGTTGAAACGAAGAGCAGAGAAGAGACCTTACTTGGTTGTATTTTATCACTGGAGCGTGAACATATTTATTCTGCCAAACTGAGGGGAACAGAGGCATATTGTATCCATTGCACAACTTAAAGGTAAAACTGGTACCTGTGACAACAAGTCATGCTGTTAACAAGATGCTAGCATGACAGGGGTGTGGGCTGCACATCAGTCACTTACTGAAGCGAAGCCAAGTTTCTTTCAATCTTCATGTTTCACTCATGTTTCCGTAGCCACACCCCATACCTCACATACATATCTGGAAAATATATTGCACATTTGTTTCAGTTTATTTGTCAAGGCTTAAATTCTAGTTCTGTGCTTCAGCTTTGACAAAGGGTTTATTGACAGGTGTAGTTTTTGCATGATAGTAACACGACAGTGTGGTCATTCATATCTGCTAGAACAAGAAAAGAGCACATTTGTTCAGCAGGTTTACAAAGAGGAGAACACTGCATGGTCTTGCTTTAATGTGTCATCTTCAGACCTGCCGCTAAGAAGTACATTCCCTACAAAGGGTGGGTTAAAAACTGCTGTGGCAAGCAAGAAATTCAGCAGAATTTTCCTGAATAAATAAATGAGCAAATGTGATTAATAAAATGAGGCTCCAGATTAAGCAGGAGGTTTGCATCAGCCAAACCTGCAGCAGCTACTAGTGTTGCATCATATACTGTGATTTTGGTACTTATTCAATGCTTTTTTACTCTTAAAGGGATAGTCCGGCGTAAAATTAATGTAGGGTCAAACACCGTAACACCAAGTTGGAGACCCCCTCAAGTGATAAATGTTGCCGACTGCTTGCCTCTCTAGTTATACCAACTTTAGTAACTTTTGGTGACTAGTGCTATGGCTGGGACCCTGATGAAGTTTGGTGCTGTTCTGAACATTATTTGTGGCTATAGAGTGGCGTTTTGGTCAAGGTTTGTGTGTGATTCCTCAGACCGCTGTGTATTGCTATCCTGCGGTCATTGCTGCAGTTGGCATAACTAGAGAAGCAAGAGGTCAGCAACATTCATCTCTTGAAGGGGTGTCTAACTTGGTGTTACAGTGTGTTTGACCCTAAATTAATTTTATGTCGGAATATCCCTGTAACAGTATGGTATTAGAATTTCCCAACATTATATTTTGTACAGGTCACATGGTTCAATGTGGCTCTGAGAAAGCTGCATGTCCCCAACTGTCAGTCATCCATATACATACACAGAGTGAGTGTCTGCTTCTATTGAGAGAGAAAAAACAATATCTTTGCCTAAATATGTCCAAAAGCAACAACAACAGTGATTCATTTTCAAAAGAACACCTCAGCCTATTTCAGACCTCACCAAGCACCCAGTGTCAGACACCCAGACTTCTCCAGGGACTTCAAAATGTGTCAGATCAGCATATATGCCAGTCCCACTAGTTTGCTGTTGATGAGCTGTTTGATTGTCAGTATCAGACTCACCCTGCATCTTAAATAACACTTCCTTACTTGCCACTTCCTTTATGGTGGCTCTGTAGGGTCAGTAAACATGAGCAAAACACACTTGAACACACTCTGGTAGAGTCATGGTTTTTCATTTTGGGACCAGGCCCACTCTCTAGTACAGAATCTTACTTTTACCACAGAGATGTAGTTTTATAAGGCTCTTATTTTCTTACCATTAAAGGCACAGCATTGCTTTGGGATTGTTTTAACACAATGTTGTGTTGTGTTTTGTTTTGTTTTGTTTTGTTTTGTTTTGTTTTGTTTTGTTTTGTTTTGTTTTGTTTTGTTTTGTTTTGTTTTGTTTTGTTTTTCTGACTGGTGGGTCAAGTCTACAAGGCGCAAAATCCTCTAGTCTTATCCAACATATGTCAGCAGTTACAGCCCTTACAACAGCAATACACAATACGGTGAGTGGGAATGTCTGACTCCACTCCAAGTTCAGGACAGGCTGTATAGCCTTGGGCGCGGCACCCCCGCCCATAGTTCATGCTCAAACCTGTTCCTACAGGGCTGAAAGGACCTCTTAAGTAATCATCCTTTGACAAAGAAAAATACCCTACCTCAGTATAAACACATGTTTAATGCACAAGCACGTATTATTATGTGTCTGGGTTCTTATGATGTAGCCCAGATTGGAACTCTTCGTGTACAGACTGTGAAAACAACTCACACCAACAATGAGCTCAACCGGTACCCGGTACAAAGTTTGGACATAAATTTAAGTATATGTGTTGTTGACATATGCTAGAAAACTGAAATTTACTGCCTGAAAAACGAGAATTGGATGACAGTGGCAGGGGCCATTGCCTCACAGCAGGTTTCTTCATCTTTGGGCAAGGGCAGGGGTAGAGTTTGCACGCACTACCTGTATGAGTGGGTTATTTCCAACTTAGGTATGCCAATCTCCTCCCATAGTCCCAAAGACATGCTCGTTGGTGACCTGGTGACCCCAGTTGCCTGTGGGTCTGAATGTGAGTAGTTATGGTTGTATTTCCAGTCCTATGATTGACAGGAAACCTGTCCAGGGTGTACCCACTGCTCAGCCAATGACAACTGGAATGAGCCCCAGCCCCCTGCAAAACTTGGAAACACCTGAATAAGCATAAATCTGCACTGAAGCAGGCTGGGTCGTGTCATGTGTGGAATGTCATCGTTTTTGTCATGAACAAGTACAAGTGTGTGTGTGTGTGTGTGTGTGTTTGTGTGTATAATCGATGTTTTCATGAAACACACATTTTCATCGTGCCCCTATTTTTTCTAAGATGAATTATTTGACAGTTTTCTCAAGAGTTAATGCAAATAATTAAAGCTCCTGTAAGAAATGACTGAGTTGTCCGTTTTGGTGCCTCCATGGACAAAGCAGTTGTGTTCATTTCAGTGTGTTTAATAACAAGATAAAATTCCTCACACCACCTTTAAAGTTTGGAAAGTTTACAGAGCTGCTTTTGAGTAAAAACTACAACCCTAAAAATATATTCAAAAGAAACATTTATATCACATTTTGAAAAAAGTTTTATTGTCAAGCAAACAGGACTGCAGGCAGTGCACCAGAAGTGATTACCTCATAAAAGTTATGAGGACGTAAGTGACCAGATTTTATCTTCCTCAACCGTTTTTGTGAAACAGATTTCGCACAAGGAGTTCAGCATTTAGATATTTCTTTTCATTGATTATGATTTTATTGTGAAGTACAGGATAATGTGACAGCAGTGCTTCAAGTTGGTCAAACAAGACTCAGCAGTAGCGAAAAAACTTGGAGAACAGTGCCACCTGCTGGCTAACAGATTGCGGTGCAGTAGTCGCAGAGTGAAAGAACTCATCAAACTGCAAGTTCTCCGGAAACATGCAAACACATTCATTCAACATAGACCCATTCATTAGCACCTTTTTATTAGGGATATCTGAAGGAAAGATGTGTTTACATCTCGTACAGCAGAAACATGTTGAATAAAAGTTAAACAAATCTTTAAAGTAATAGAGAAAAGCAGGGAAGGTGTACTTTTTCTCAACCTTCAAGACCAAAATTGTAAATCTGATGAGATGTGGGAATTATCAATCCTCAGCCTCAGCTTCTGCCTCCATCTGCTCCTCCTCCTTCTCCTCCTCCTCCTCAGCTGCTGGCTCCTCATCTGCTACCGCAGGCTGCTCCTGCTTCTCCTCCACCACCTCTTCCACCTTCTCTTCTTCCTTTATCTTCTCCTCACTCTTCACCACCACAGTTTCTGTCTTGGTGACTGTGGTGCTCTTCACTGTGGCTCCCTCTAGGGCTGCGACGGAGCCACTGCTGGCCCTGCCTCCACTGAAAGAGCTGCTGACGTAGGACGGGACGCGAGAGCTCTCCAGGCCATAGGCGCTGTAGTTCATGGCTGCATGTTCAGAAGTAGAAAGTTTTTGTTAAACATAGTTGGGATAGCTATAAAGAAAGAGGCTGGATTAAAATTGAATCTACAAATCTTTTTAAGATATCTGGATATCTTTTATAACTGCAATCGTGGAACAAATTTTACTGGATTAATTTACTTTGCAAACACCCATCAGATAGAACTGATGGCTTTCAGAATAATGTATACAATAGAATATAACACAAGCTATTACAAGGTTTTTTTAAAAACTAAATTCTGATTGATCAAAATCCCATTATAACCTGGACAACCTGATTGCACAGATCATATCTTTTGCTCTTTCATTTGGGGTGCCCCAGGGGTCTTTCTTGGGTCCCCTTTAACCTACTGTAAACGTGATTCCCCTGGGGCAAATCCTGCAAAGGCATGACATAGACTTTCACTGCTATGCAGATGACATTAATCTCTATGTCTGATGTGTCTCACATCATGTCCTGTTTGACTGAAATCAATATTTCCAAGTCTGAAGTTATTGTTATTCCCCCCCACCCCCAGTTGTAGTTACATTAATAATCTGTCCCCCAGCCTGCTTGCCTTGTCTAATAGTCTTTGCAAAGCGTCCTTTGACACTCTGGTGACCAGAGTTATGCAGCCCTGCTGACTAAAATTACATCTTTTCTTTCTTTTGCAAGGAAGCTCTCAAGAATATGTTGCCAAAAAAAACATTAAATTGTTACTTTAGATTTTAGAAATCATCCTAAATCAAAAATTTTCATCCACTCGATTATACTTTTGGTTCACAGTGGGTTTAAAAGCTGAATATTATATGGTGAACAGGCGGTAATGCAGATTAGAATCCTTATCTCACCGCCTTGGCATCCTGATCAACATCACCACTCTCGCACTGTGCCATATACCCTGCTTGATTCCCTTGTTTTTCCTCATTCAGTGTTTGAAAATGTGCCGTAATGCATTATTTATGAATTAAAGACAATGGAACAATTATATCAGCCTAAAGATAAGTGGAAATAGGAGTTTAATCAAGATATATGTGATAGAAAAATTTAGGGAAAACTGCTTTTGAGCTTTGTTACGCTGCTAAATCAAGTTTTCATCAGAAATAAGGAGCGTGCAAGTAAACTTGATTAAGCTGTATATTAGTGAACTGTTTAATGAAGATATATATGTATAAATCATATGGCAGTTTTTGTAGTTTTACAGTTTTTGTTGTCCTAGGACCTTATTAATTATACTGTTATGCCAAACATTTGATCCTTTATCACTTATTTTCAGATACTTTTTCATGTGTTGATACCATAATAAGACAAGAAAGTGAAACAGTTTGAATATTGACTCTTGGGTGAAATATGAACTTACATGTCGACTTGGACACAGTGGTCTTGATTCCTGTTGCTAGCCTGTAATTACACAGATATAAAACAAGCAGACAAGCATAAGTTTTACAGAATGACGTGCCTGCTAAAAAGAGTTTGCAACTTGAGACATTTCAAGGTCAAATCTAACCTGTCCTCCTCGCCCTCCAGAAGTTTCCTGTAGGTGGCAATCTCGATATCCAGAGCAAGTTTTACATTCATCAGTTCCTGGTACTGGCGGACCTGCATGGCCATGTCCTGCTTGGCTCTCTGCAGAGCTTCCTCCAGATCTCTGATACGAAGTCTTGCATCCTTCACTGCCAGCTCGCCTCGTTCCTCTGCCTCTGCGATCTGAGCCTCAAGACTGTTTCGCTGAGAGTAAAGAAAGACAAAAAAAATATGAGGGCTTTTTTATATAAGGGCTGCAATACAATGACAAAAAATCAAAGTGTTCCACAAGTATTTGATAGTTTCACAGAGTACGGTCCTGCTTCCTGATTGAGTCATGTACTCAAAAATATTAAGGCAACCATATGACTTAAAATACAAGACTGAAATGTGTTGTGCCAACCTGTGATTTCACAATGTCGATCTCGGACTGGAGCCTCAATATCCTGCGGTTCATGTCGGCGATCTCAGCCTTGGTTGATTTCAGGTCATCACCAAATCTTCCTGCTGACTGCTGCATCTCTGCATACTGGGATAGACAGGGACGAGACATTTTTTGTCACTTTAAAACATGTCAACATACAGTGTAGCTTTTATGTAAGCCAGTGTTTTAGGAGATTTTTCATTTTTTGTTAAATTTGCCAACAGCATTCAGAGAAAAATAGCAACTGTAACATGACTTGCAAACGACAGATTCACAGTGCGACATGTTTGCACACTGGGATATTTAAAGAATTGCTATGGAGGTGAATTACCAAACTGAGGTTACTGAGGTAATGCTGAGACGAAGTGTGAAAAGACAAGATAAGTAGAGTCCCCATATGTGTTTTGAACTCCTTTAACCCAAGTCATCTAAGGGAAACATGCACGACTGAAGGGGAGGCAGTCGGTTTTAAATGTTCAGTAAGAGGAGGTCAACTGAGGAGACTGTCCAAACAGGTTATGTGTATCAGTTTGATGGAAAATGGGCTGTGTATTGCATCTTTTTCAGTATTTTGATCACTTAAAGTGCTACATGCCACATTCATACATTGATAGCAGAGAGTGCTTTGTAAGGCCAACAGAAAGTATTGAGGTAATCCCATTAACACACCTCTGATACAACCACATGGAGAGTTATTTTTGAGTTGAGTGTCTTGGCCATTGACTGCAGGACCGTGAATCGAACCATCAGAACAAAAGCCAATTAAGGTTTTGATTTATGACAACACACAGTGAGAGAGTGCTCTCACCTTGGTCTGGTACCATGACTCTGCCTCAGCTCTGCTCCGGTTGGCGATGTCTTCATACTGAGCGCGCACTTCGGCAACAATAGCGTCCATGTCCAGATTACGGCTGTTGTCCATCTCCACCACCACAGATGTGTCTTTGATCTGGCCCTGCAGCTCCTGAATTTCCTATAAAGACAGATACAAGAACACTGAATGAATAAATGGACCCTCAAAACATTTAGTCAAATTGTCCTTGTTCTAAACTGATATAACTTTATCGATTTTTCATTTGTGTGCCATGAAAGAGCAAATTATGGTGTTTACTGTTTCATAGATCTGTCTCAGGAATTCGATCTCATCAGAAAGCGCGTCCAGTTTGGCTTCCAGCTCCACTTTGGTCATGTAGGCTGCATCAGTGTCCTACCAGGAAAAGACAACATGAGGACAAAAAGAAAAAAACATTTTGCAGGTGGCTCAAGTGCAGACAAATATTGTGTAAGCTAAACCTGCTGGAAAGGTGACCATTTTTAAAAGCTCAGAAACTTTGAGAAAAGCTAAACAGACCTTCTTTGCAAGGACAAAGTTGTTCTCACACTCATTGCGCTTATTGATCTCATCCTCATACCTGGAAGCAAAGACAAATAGAAAAAAAAAACACTCATGTTTCTGTGGATCCAGAAAAATTACAAACCTTAAACAAATTGTAATGTGTGCTATCATTGTTGCGACACATGCACGACTTAGTAATCATCCTGTTATAGTTAATCAGTGAATATACACTTTTTGCCAAAAACTGCAGTAATTTTTTTTTACCACTTGGCGACAGCAGAAACAGGCTGTAAAACTCAACATTGTGATATTATTGTTATTCAGGCTCTCAGGGTTGCCTGTTTGCATCACGCTTGGTACAAATCCAGCAGACTGAGCAAATAAGATTTCATATTTCAACGTCATCCAAAAGCGGACTGTTTTGATAACCACTTGAAGCAAATTAAAACCACCAGGGCTCTTTCTTTTTCTTTGGTGGAGCCTTGTTGTGTCAGGACACGCCCACCTTTCAGAGTTCTCAAATACAGTGATCCCTCCTGTGTCCTGTCTGTTTGAACCGTTTTACTTTGAAGAAATTCACAATACAGAGGCTTGAATCAAAGGGCTGTTTTAGTTTAACTGTAGCGTATAAAATTTGATAAGAGATCTTAAAACATGTTTTTATACTGTGGTAATCTTTATCTAAAGGAACAGATCTCAGTCCGTGTCAACTGTAGATGACTGGCTCCAAAACTGTAATGACTGTTTAATGAAAATATCTTTGTCTGCAACTGTAACATCAACTGATGAGAGAACTAAGAGTGAACCAGCCAATCCAGAGCTGCAGTCTGTGTGGGCTTGTCAGAACCAGAAACCCTTTCAATGAACAGTGTTGATATACAAGTATGATTATAGGTGTTTTAATAGAGGGTTATAAGGTAACACTAAAGGCTGAAATCCTCTATCCACTTACTTGTTTTTGAAGTCCTCAACCAGACCCGTTGTGTGATGCAGATCAGATTCAAGTTTGACTTTTTCGTGACCCAGGTTGTCAAGCTGCTTACGTAAGTTGGCGATGTAGGCTTCAAACATGGCGTCAATGTTGGAGCGGGACGTGGTCTGTTCCTGCACGAGTTTCCACTTGGTCTCAAGCATTTTATTCTGCTGTTCAAGGAAGCGAACCTGCAAACAGAACGGGTTTGAGACTCAGACATTGTGTAATAACATATGGATAAATACACAAGGGTCAGCACAGAGGGTGGCATGGACCTCTTCTTAGGAACTGCTTGACCGCCCAAGATATAAAGTATCATTGACCATCTGAATGTCAACTTAATGATTGGGCACCAGACTGGTGGTATCTTTGAGTCATTTTATTTTTCATTTTCTTTTGCCAGTTATCAATATTGGAAGAATATCTTCATTTTGTCGGCATTTCCATGAATAGTTGAGACGAAATTGCAAAGGAATATATATTCATACATTTTCATGCCTGTTTTGGTGTATTTGAGTCTAGGACTTCATACTTTCAGTACTCAAGTTTCTGGATTTAAGCACCGATGACTCAGACCTGGACTTGGTCTGAGGCATTGGCTGCATTTGGACCTGTAAGATGAAGAGGATGACAAAGACGCATTTGTTTAAAGATTTCAAAGGTTTATAATGATTTTGTCTATTTTTTAAGCAAGGCCTCAATACTTGGTTCTGGTTGGAGAACGAGCCCACATGCCACCTACTTCAGCAACAATACCTGCCAGTTAATGCTGCATCTGCTTAAAAAGGCGCCACAGTTTGGTTTTTGTCATAAGTACTGGACTCAAACTGGGATTCCTCTTCAGTGATTTTTGAACTGTATTTGAACTCAGACTATAACACCAAGGACTAAAGACTGGACTATAGCACTGTTTCAGGCATGCATGTGCACCCACACTTGTAGCACCCCAGCTGGGCCACCCATGTTCAAAGTATTGACACGCCCCTGTGATACGATCAGGATGAAATAATGCAATGAGAGTTAAGTGTGTGGTGTGATGGCGGACACAGCGCATGAAAATGAATGATGTGGGAGTGAACATGAATGCATGAGTTATCTTTCTTTGCTGATGGCCAAAGAACCACCAGAGGACCAACTCCAAGAAAAATGACCAACTGAGCCTCTCCCACCTCCAACAAACTAAATCAATCACATCAATTACCCCTCATTCAATTCTAACCCACAGTGCCTCGGTCTAACACAAAGAGGTAGTGTTTCCCACTTGTGACAGAGTTTGCTCATTTTACAGCTTCTCCATTCAGTGTCCAGGCACTGGGTGGGGTCCTGCGAACACTCTGCAAACATGACGAGAGATACAACTTTGCATGTAGATGTGTGTGCGTGTAGATGTGCATGCGCCGTATAACTATGGTATGCAGAGCTTTGTTTTACAATCTGGTTCAATCTGTGTGATTGATCAGTAGTTTAACTTCCAGGGCGCCACCTCAAACGAGAAGGTGAGGATGTAGTCTAAGTAAAGAATCCGATCAATCTCAGGTCGAGAGGAGTGGAGGCTTCTGTCCAATAAGAGAGCTCTTTCAGACATTTCACTGTTTTTTATATAAGGGCTGCATTACAATGACTCAAACCACCGACAGGAAAATAGCTTCTTGATTATTTTACAGCCTCATAAAGAGGATATTGTCCATTACCGATAGTCTCAGATTGATAGTGATCTACTCCACTTGGCATTTAACAAGCTTGTCTTGTGCAAACCTTTCCCGACCACTCCCACTCTTTAGTGTTTGTGCAGACTGTATATATCTAAAACAACATTGAACATAGGACTGCAAAACCTGAATGCAAGAGGACACCTGACTGCTTTCATAACTACTTTTTGCAGGATCTCTATCACTGGGGTTCAGCACTTCAAACAAAACTGTTCTCTTTGTACCAGCCCTCTATAACGTCTGTGTCCAGGCTGATCCTCTCGTCTGAACACTGTGATCTTACCTGAGTGAAAACATGTGCAGAAGTTGTGCCATCACTCAGAACAACCTGTATCTTGTATAGAATACCTGTAATAAGCAGTTTGTGTGTTGTTATATCTACAGTTTTCATTTCTCTCAGTTGTGAATTCTGATCTCTTTAACCTAGAGCTATTTTGGCTTGCAGTGAGCTAATTTCCTGTGCAGTATTTTTGTACTCTGTGTTTAAATTGGTGGGTTTATCCCTCGTTACAGAAACCAAAAGAACACTGTGAACTAACTCTTACAAAGATAAACCCTGCTTGTCCCATTTGATGCTGTGGATTCTACTGTCAATTCACTTTTTATTCTTAGCTGCGGGCAACAGTGTTTGAATCTCCAGTCTTAAAGTGACTGACCTTGTCAATGAAGGAGGCAAAGCGGTTGTTCAGGGTCTTGATCTGCTCCTTCTCCTCTGTGCGGATGACCTGGATGGTGGGGTCGATCTCCAGGTTCAGGGGGGCCAGCAGGCTCTTGTTCACAGTCACAGCAGTGATGGGGGTCACCATGTCGTTGGACATACCACCCCCCATACCTCCACCAAAGCCCATATAACCAAACTCTACCCCACCTCCTCTTTGTCCAGACCCACCAGCAACATAACCCCCGACCACTTTGAACCCTCCTCCGCCCACTGCTGCACCACTGCTGCCAACTCCTCCATAGGAGCTGCGGGCAGCGTAGCTCTGTCTGCCACTTCCCATTCCATGGCCCCCATAGCCGGAGAAGGAACGGCTGCTGAAGCCCTGGGAGGGGCCCCTGGAGGACACAGTGGAGAAGGTGGTGGTCTTCATAGCTCTGACAGACATGGTCACAGATGTGGTGTGAGAGGAGGAGAGACTCTGCTGAAGAGAGGAGAGTCAGGCAGGCAGACCCTCCCTGGTCCACAGTATTTATCAGGGCAGGGGAGGGACCCTGCTGAGGTGTGATTGGCTGCGGTACTCAGCAAGGGGGAGTGAGGGCTAAGGAGGGGGGTATGAGGGAATGTCAGGGAGGAAAATCGCTTGTGTTACACATTTACTACACACTTGGAGAGAGAACTTGAATTACATAATAGCTGGTGTGCCAGTTTCTGTAAAACTACTGCAGGAAAACTGGAAGTCTCTTTGAGTATTGTCCACCTAATAGACTTTTATGAAATGGCACTTTCCATAATAGAAACCTCAGCTTGCCTTTCATCAAAGTAACAATCACTCTTAGTTTGTTTTGTATTCATAAAATTACACAATTCTATGCCAAAAAATCTGCATCTTTGAGTAATCCTGAACACACAGTCACCTGAAACACATATATGAGCAACCCCAGAATACAATCTCAAACCTTGGGTATAATGAACAGGCACATTGTTTTATGACCTTTTCTGCTTTACAACTCTTCTCAAGGAGGTGACATATTGCAAAGTTAATTATGGTTGCCCTGTGTGAGGTGCTTTATGTGTTCATGGGCAGTAACTCTTAGGTCTCATAACCGTGGGAATCAAATTTGCTCTCTGAATACATTCCACTATCTGTAGTAGTGTTGCTATAGTCTAAAGTTTGTTTGAGCATGTGTTTTGCAAATATAAAAAAAAACACAGCTTAAAATACCAGGCAAAAAGATGTAGGTTATTTTTACATATAGTATTATCTAAAACTTTAATGTATAAGCCTGTGTTTAAAGTCTGGGTATTGCACAATCACAAAGGTGCAGTGTGCCAGATACGTCCATTATCAGTTGTGATCAATGGACCATAACAGGCAATGCACACAGACACACAAAACACACTCACAGACACATAGGATTATTGATGAACATTCCTCCCATATCAGCAGGGTGGGTTAACAACGGAGTTTGTTGTCGTTTGCTTATGATCCAAACCCAACCTTGGTCATATATGGCTCTGTCAGACTATAAAAGTACAAACTAACATTCTGAGATTGCATATAAAAGCTAGATAGACAGCTAGATATATATTTTGATTTTTTTTTTTTTTTTGCCACCAGACTCTTCCTTGTGACAATTGTTCCCTTGTTTTTACAAAATGAGCCCACTTACTCCCTCCACTAACTTTTCCACCACGCCCCCCTTCTATTGTATTCTAGGTTTTATTTGGTTTTACGAAAACAAAAACTTCACTTACCAGCTAATGAAAAGAGCCAAATCCCCAGGTACTATTCTGTGAGTGCAGAGACTAAATGTGACTTGGCAGACAGGGCCATGTTGTGGAAAGTACATCTTAACAACCAGAAAGGGACTCTCAGGCTTTGGACCAGTGAAAAAAATGCACATTTAGCTTGGCCTGTCTCTAACAGTGACGTGACTCTCCACAATGGAGCTGCTGTACTAAACTTGGAGGGAGCCTTATATGTACAAGTGGACCGGTTTTAGTTGTTTCACTAAGTCAGAGTCAGATAAATGCTGCAAGGGATGAACACCCTGTATTTACTCCACAGTAAATTACTCAAACATGACTAAAGTTGCTTTTCTTTTCCCCCTTTTTAAGATTTTGCCTCATTCTTTTTGCATGAGGTAACTATGTATTTAATTTAAGCAGTTAGCCTCATGACCCGGGGTGTCTTGAGAGGCCTGTGATGTTTTGGGTTTGTATGAAGCTGCTATATGACACATCCAGGCTGGAATGTACTGTGAGAGACACGTACATGCTACAAGACAGAGAGGAGGGTGGGCAGAGGATGAGCAAGTGTGGGATATGAGGAGACAATTAGCGAAGGCAAGAAACAAACCTTTTCACAACCCCTGACAAAGTTGATAAATAGATGATATGCCATGATGCTATACAGTGATTTAAACTTCACTCCTGCACACGTTTTTGTAGTTTTTAAAGTGATAATGTACTTGATGCAGGATGTGCCTTTAAAACTTTACAGCTCAGGAGAGATTTTATGGCAACTCAGGAAGTTCAGCATTATAATGAAAAGACAAGTGCATTAAGCATGTCATTAAGAGTTTGTTTAAAACAGTGATCATGTTTGTTTCAGCTGTGGTCTCTAAGTCGAACTTTAAAGTGTTCAAGGGACCCTGCCAAGCCCTCCAAACGATCAGTATAAACAGTTATAAAAGTCACTTCCTGCTGCACCCTGAGATGCCTGTGCAAACAGAGTAACTCCAGCACAGACATGAAGGAAATCTGCACCAAGACACGCTGCATGGAGTTAAACAATGGGAGCGCACATGTTTTCACCATGCCAAGTGTGGGAGGGAGCAACAGAACATGCTGTTCTATGTGGCCTTACATACGTCCCTCAGAACAGTGGGTTTGTTTGCTGTGAGACTCGTGCCACCTAGTGGCTGTAACATGGAAGTGTTTTCTTCCCACTTCACACCCACCCATCAGGCAGAAGGAGTGGCCTGGTCTGATCACATGGTGATATTACTGTTTCTCATTGACCATGAGTTTATCTTTTCCCTTGAAACTTGATCCATTGAAGAGGGAGCTGCTGACTTTTTCAGCTGCACTACCAGCGTGACTGGAGAGTGGAAAATTTGCAGCAGGATGTGGATGAAATCTACCACGAGGCTGACATTCGTGATTCAGAGAGAAATATCTTGGCATCTCTGTTAGATACACTGATCTCCAACTTGATGTATCCATTCAAGGTTACTGGAGGATAAAATCCAACAAAATGGCAGATTCTTTGTCTTCTCCTTTAGGACCAAATACAGTCATAGATTTATTGTGAAAATCTTGATGTCTTATTAATCAGCAGAGAAAGAAACAAACTTACAAAGAGATGTCCTGTAACTCCAGTATATTCTGACTGTTTTCCTCTCCAGTAACCAGACAGCTCTGTTCTTCAATAAAGACTGTATAAAACATGGACAGCACAACAGCTGTCAGCTGGCCGGCTGCTCTATAGGTCATAAAACCTGTGTCCTTCTTTATTAACGGATGGGCCTGGGGTTTAACAACAAAATTAAAGCACACTTTATACAGTTTATTTGGAACATGGTGTCTGTCATCAAAGTTGGCTCTTATTATGCTGATTTATATGAAATGTTTGGGGTTTTTAGGAGGAGGGATGAGTTTTAATTTGATGTTTGTGAGTTCATTGATGAAAGCTCTGTTGACATGTGTGTTCCTGCAGGGTTTTATTTTTTTAATGAGATAAGCAGAGTAAAGAGGGACAGTATGAAAACAACTTGATGAACACTAATAGAGGAGTCATTGAATTATCCATTTGAGTGTCTGCTCCAAAGCATCACAAGAGTCAGTTCTGCTTTTGAATCACATAAACCCGAGGGACATTTATTCATACGTTTCTGTAAATGTGAGCTTTGGAAATCAGAAAGGTTGTGAAGTTATCGTCACTGGCCTCACCAGCCAGATTGCTTCTGCATATGTCTTTGCTCCAGGACATATGCAGACAGACTCGTCTCCTACTACAGTCTGTTACCATGGTAAGAGACAGACGCACACCATAGATGTTTATGCACAGTCAGTGGTCTTGAGCAAACTAGCTTAATTTCTAAGAAACTGCACAGAAATCTACAATCGTTTGAGCATATGTATAAAAAATGAACCCCTTAAAGTCCTGACAGTAACTCATACTTGGTACCAATATGCAAACATAAGCTTGCTAACAGCCTTAAAATGGTAAACATGCCTGTCAAACATCAGTATAGTAACACTGTCGTTGTAATCCCCTTTCAAATCTAGTTAGCATTTCTGTGCTGGATTGTAATGACTGTGTTCTAGTTGTTTTTATGATTATTTTATCATTTTGATCTCCCTTTCCTTTTCAAATGTGTTTCATTTGCCACGACTATAAAAGCTACAGCACCAAATGAGCTGTTTAGCTCCTCTAGCAGATGTCCCAAATATTCTTATGAAGAAATAACTATTGATCTGCTCGTTCTCCTCAAGGTGGATATATACCTTATATAACAAAAAGCATTAATCAATTCAACTTTACTTACAGTAATTTTTTTTTGAAACAGTTTCACTTCCTTTATTAAATGAATCATTTGTTTCCACATGAGTTTGGGCGTAGTATAGATGACTCTCCCCTGACAGGTCTTCCTCACGGCTTCTCTGATGTCTTTCTGTGAAATATCTCTGCTCTAGAAATGAGTCTGACATCTCACAGAGAAAAAGTCCCTTAGCTGACACATTTGACTAACCTCCAGTGTGCGGATCCTCCTCTTTAGATACACAAGGATACTGGCAATAAACTTTGATTATAGACAAACATCAGAAAGCTTGAACAGAGTTGCTGCTGTTTGAGCTTCTTGGGTGAGACACTAAGGGAGTGATCAAGAGAAGTAGGGAAGATACGGAAGCAAGGCTGCTGCTGAGCAGTGTATCACACCTGCATGTTTCATTCTTTCTTACATTTGAAAGATTTCTTTGGATATTCAAATAAATACACACTTTGGACTCTTTGGATAAGTATATGAGAGCGCTCATTCTGCACTTGAGCTTGGTGTGAGAAACCCACAGAGGAAGGAGGAGGGAAGTGAGGTTCATTCAAGGCCACGCTTGGCTTCAGGTTGTAATACGTTGACAGTTGTCCAAGATTTGTGAAGCACATAAACCCCTGTAGTTGTTTCCAGATTCCTGCAGTGATACTGTGACTCACAGACCCAAATTCCCCTTATTTTTCTGTTTTAACTGGTAGATGAGGTGTGGGATTCAGATTAAGATAAGAGCAAGATAGTGGGTTAAGTCTGGAGAGGTGTTATTTAGCAAAAATTATCTTTTTAGTAACGCAAACAGAAGTCAAATCTGAAATCTTACAATAGAAAAGCAGGGAAATTAGCCACAAGTGTGCAATAACCACATTCTTTCCTTCTCTACTGTTCGTATTTTTCAGTTTCTTGTTGCGTTTTTGGGGGTCCAAGCAAGGGAGTCAAAGTGTTGCCAACAAACATTCAGACAAACAAGACAGCAGAGACGTTGTCATGCGGAATGAGTCATGCTGATTTAATTCATGCTTCCCCTTTAAAATGTGACTGTCCTTATCCCCGGCCAATCGGTGTGTTCTTAGCCTTTTCTTTGCTTTCTGTCACACTATGTGCTTTCTTTTATTCATGCTGTGTATTTTCAGAAAGATTAGCGAATAAATGTGCAGTGAGGTGTTGGTGTTAAGTGTTAGAGTGGGTGTAATTTGATCATCTGTGATGGTGAGGTCATATCAGAGAAGAAAAGACAAAGGTTGTATGAAGCTCAGGAGGGTGTTTGAGTCTTTGCCAGTTGGGTGGTTCATTTGGTTTTGTTATCCAGTTCTCTGGGGCCCAGACGGAAAATCCTCTTTGAATACAACTTCAGCTCCTGTTAAACCCACTGAACATAAACCTGCCTGAGGTCATGCTTGAACAGTGTGTGCTACAGCTGGTTTTGGGGGGAAGAGAGCAGTTTCTCTGCTTGTTACTGAGTTTGGCTGTTTCTTTAGCATTAGGCTCTGTGCTGTTAATTCTCTGTGATGCAGAAGAAAACACATGACGTTGAGGTGAGGAAAGGTAATGTAAATCATCAAATCAGAAGAAAAAAAACAATGAGCAATCAATGGTTGATCTCATGACCGGTGCAACATCTGATCGGGCTTCAAAGATGATTGTTTAACAGAGCTGATTGGTGTAGATTATCACCTGTATGACAGTAAATGAGGTCAGCTTTTCAGTCTTCTTGATTGTATTTCAAACAAAGTGCTATTGACTTACTTCTGTTCTTTAGTCCTCTAACCTCTCGGGTCTTTTGGATATACTTGAAGCTTGGGTGTTCTGGTTTCATTTTACATTATGGCAAGCATCTTTGTTCAACTGTTTGCCCTTTTGTTTGTATTGAAATATAATTGTAATAACAGTTGTTTTATAAGTAAATCAGCTCAGTCTATACAAAGTTTTGGTTTCTTTTTTAAAGTCTGATTGCAGCTACTTTGATTTTAAAACGTTAATATTATGTATTGAACACCGTTCTGCTTTAATTTTGAGAAGTGCACACCCATAAACTAGTCTGTGTTTCAGCTTCAGGGAATGAAAGAGTACACTCTGCAGCTGCTGTATCTCACTTCCTGGTTTGTCCAGATCGGAAAGAAAAAAAAATCTGTTTATTTTGAGCTCAGTTGACCACAAACTTAGAAACTATGCAGTAAATGGCAGACTTAAAACCTTTTATGGGCAAAGGGAAGGAATTTACTTGCATGCCAACTAAATCAAGCTCATTTTGCAAAGAAAATTCAACCTTTTGACTATTATTGTGAACTCTGCACTAGCTTGCATGCATTTTACCTGCAACACATGCCTGTGATGGTTTTGTCATTATTGTAGACTGTGGTGAAATGTTAAATGTAACACAGCCAAATATGCTAAATCTGATCAAATGTAAATGTTTTCTATGTGTTTTCACAACCGAGGAATGCCCCTTGGTTACCTTGGAGACAGAAAACACACTGTTGGTTAGAAAAGGGAACATGTGGGTGATTACCATCAGAAGCGAGCAAGGGGAGGGGGGGGGGCTGGGGCGATGTAAAAGTGGGCAGGGTCTAAAAGGACAGCTGCGATTGAGGGAGAGAAGCTGGAGTATAAAGTTCCCCAACTTCCTACTAGCGCTACTTTCTCAGCCGGCCAGTTGTGAGTCTCCACATCTCAGTTTTTTGCTTCAGTCCCTGCTGTGCCATTACTTCTTCAAAATGAGCTCCAGACGATCCCACATAGGTTTCTCTCACTCCACTCCTCAGTACAGTTCCTTTAGTGTTCATGCTGGTTCTGGTGGGTATGGGACCCGCATTTCCTCTGCATCTGCATCCTCACTGCGTTCTGGTGCCCCCTTCGCCTCTTCCTCCTCTTCCTTCAAGCTGAGCAGTGGAATTGGTGGAGGTATGGGCTCAGGTTTTGGTGGTGCTGGTGCATCAATGGCAGCCGGCAGCGGTGCCAGTGGTGCTGGGATCCTGGGCAACGAGAAAGGAGCCATGCAAAACCTGAACGACCGCCTGGCCAACTACCTGGAGACGGTGAGGAACCTGGAGAAGGCCAACCAGGAGCTGGAGATGAAGATCAGGCAAGCTCTGGAGAAGGGAGGGCCAGACATGAGGGACTACAGCAAGTATGAGCCAATCATCGAAGACCTGCGGAGACAGGTAAGCATGATGATAGAACAATGATTAATGAAATAGAAACATAAATTAAGGAAATTAATTCATACATTGCTAAAAAAGTATTTTAAGGGCCTCTGGTATGACTGTCAATGAGTACAACAACACGCATGCATTATGTTTGCCATTTCTACCTTATTTCATTGTGAAAATTAAGACTTGAAATATTAAAGCAGAAACTCTCAGCATTTCCTTTGTTGGTTATCATATTTCCTGACAGAGAATAAAGGGTGTGGTTGCCAAGCTCAACCCTCCCCCATAAAATTTTACTCAGTGCCACAGACAGATCTGAACTTCCTCTGATGAATCACCACCACGCGGGCAGCATCATGAGAGACAGAGTGAAAAAAAAGTAATCAGACAAAGACATTCTCAAGCAGCCCCCCTAAAAATGCTGCTTCTACAAGTATTCATTGGTGTGGGCGGACCACAATGTGAAACAGATGTGTGGCAGTGACACACAAGCCAACTACACAAAAAGGCACAAAAGGCATCTAGCCTGTGTGTGCATATACAGTGGTTGTGTCTGAGTGGATGGGTTGTGTAACAAGGAGCGCCAGTCTGCAGAGTCAAATGTCAAATTCTTGTGTAGACCCCAGATCTCCTATGTCACACCATGACACATTTATGATGACACTTTAGTCTCTCTCCACACATAAGGGAACAATTATTTGCCTCTTCCAGGGAGGCAGGATGCATAAAAAAAAAGAAAAAAAAATCTTAAGCACCCTCATGCATAAGGAATCTTTCAATCTCTGCACACAAAACAAATGCAGGGATGTATACAGAGCAAATAACAGACAGTATAGTTGGGTGTGTCCGTGGAGAAGTAAAACTTCTCTGTATGACTTACTCAGACAGGAAAACTATCTTTCCAACAATGCTAAAACAAACCAGATTCTCTTGGCACGGGGACATCCCCTTTTCCTGTTCTTCTCATTGTGGTTCTCTGAATGTAACTCTGGACTCAAACAGGTTTCAGCTCCAGCATGTAATTTGACTCCGGGGGTTAGTTATTCAAATCATATGTTCCATTCTGTATTCAAGCGAGACATCGATATACTCCAGAGGCAGAAGCTTTTTTGTGGGGGAATGGTAAATAAATATCAACTGATGAAGTTTAACCTCTTTGTTTCTTTCAGATCTTTGACAAGATTGCAGAGAACGCTCGGTTTGTGCTCCAGATTGACAACGCCCGCCTTGCTGCTGATGACTTCAAAGTAAAGTATGTTGATTTAAATTCATTTTAAATTAATGCGACAAAAAGTTAAAGGTTCAACTACACGTCCCATCTGGTCTTATATCCAAAATGTGTACATGACACTGAACAAACTTGCAGGTTTTATCTGAAACCCATCTTATAATTCTGGTCATGCAACGCTTTATTTATTGTTGAAATTTCTGAAAAGAGGCTGTTTGAGCTGCTCTATTTCAAAACTGTCCTTCATACTCAACAAACTTGGGTACTCAGTCTCTGCATGTCTAGAAGTAATGATAACAAGAACCTTATTGACATTCCAGACTGATAGTGAAGGGGACTTGACTCAGAACAAAAGACACATTGTGAGTCTTACAAAATCCCGCATTCAGTAGGTCATACCATAAAATGATGGTGACTATGAGTCCTTCATAAAAAAACAAAAAACATATTCGATTTCACATTCGTGTTGTATTGACACATAAATTCAACTACAGACAACTGCAGCTCTTCCAGCTTTTTTTTCTTTCATTAAAGTAGCCCAAGTTAAAACTTTCTGAAACTATTACTTCATACAATATTATATTAGCTGTTGGTGTTTAATATGATATGTTTTATGTCTGTGTACACTCACAGGTATGACAATGAGATGGCAATCCGCCAGTCTGTGGAGGCCGACATTGCCGGGCTGAAGAAGGTCATTGACGACACCAACATGACTAGGATGAACATCGAGAGTGAAATTGAGGCTGTGAAAGAGGAGCTCTCCTTCCTCAAGAAGAACCACGAGAATGCAAGTTAACTTATTAAATGCTAAAGTGTACTTTTGGGAGATTTTAACCATAGAATCACATACATTCAGTGCTTTTGCTCACTTCTCTCTTTGCGTCTGCTTTGCAGGAGGTGATGGAAATGAGGAATCAGATCTCCCAGTCAGGCGTGCAGGTGGACGTGGACGCTCCTAAAGGTCAGGACCTGTCTCAGATCATGGAGGAAATGAGGGGCAACTATGAAAAGATGGCAGTAAAGAATGCAGAGGACCTCAAACGGTGGCATGAAAATCAGGTAATGTGGCGTCAAAGCAGGCACTTATCCAACCTTTTGTAGTGCTTCTTGGCTGACACCTCTTCTCTGACTCCCCTGTCAGATTGCAGACGTACAGGTGGCGGTATCACAGAACACAGAAGCTTTGCAAGGAGCCCAGATGGAGAAGAGCGACCTGTCAAGACAAATACAGACCCTGGAAATTGAACTTGCATCCCAACAGAGCTTAGTAAGCATCTTTTTTTTCTTATTTTTTCAAAACATTATATCATAAATCACCATATTAGACTCTAAATTCTTAAAGCATTTCTTAATACCTGAAAGTTAGGTAACAACTATTTGCAATGCCTTTATGTAAAACAGCAGCTATTTCTAAAATTTTGCTTTCGGCAAAGGTTGGAACTTTGTTTTTATAAATGTCACACTTTTAATCATGTCTTTCAACCCTCAAACAGAAAGCGTCCTTAGAAGACACATTACGCAACACAGAGCTAAGAAACAACATGGAAATGGAGAAGTACAACACCATCATTTTGCGCCTGGAAGAGGAGCTGACCAACTTGCGAGCAAACATCCAGCAACAGACGCAGGATTATGAGGCGCTGCTCAACATGAAAATAAGACTGGAGGCCGAGATTGCCACATACAAGAGTCTGCTGGATGGTGGAGACTTCAAGTAAGAGTTAAAAAGAGGTGGAAGAAAAAAAACAAATGATGGTGGTGGAGGTGAATACTAAATCCCTTGTTAGCATGCTTTACTTGGTCAAGTGTAAGTAAAATATTAAGTGTGCATTAAAAAAGTTAACACATGTATCTTGTGTTTTGCACAGGCTCCAGGACGCACTGGATGAGCTGGCCGGGGAAATGTAATTTGAAACAAAAAATCAATCTAGTATCATCCCAAACAGAGAAAGAAGAAACCGCAACAATCCACCTGAAGAAACGAAATAGTCCATGTTGGTTCAGTCAATCCTAATAAACTGCTGTTGACCTGACAGCAAAATGAAAATGAATAAAACCACTATGAGACCGCAGTCATGACTCTTGTGCATTTGTCATTGTTACAGTTGTATTTCATATTTTGTGAAGAAAAAAGGCTGACAAATTACATGATTTAATAACTGATTGATAGCTAACTGATAGATAGCTGCAGGTGTTTAAATCTCTCTTGGTAAGGGCAGCAAACTCACAGTCCTGAAATAAATATATCCTGCGTTGGTTTTGCACATAAACATGCCTTTGTGTGGAATATACTCATATTCTGCCACACTTTTACTTGTTAGTCAGCTGGAAATTTCCTTTTAATGCTTCTTTAAAGTGTCTTTTTTAAAATTTTCTGCATTTAATTGTCATCTTTTGTTTCAGGACAAAATAATAATTTAAAAAAACAACAACATGCCAGCTTTTACATTTAAATGCAGCAGTAAAAATTTCCCTTAGCCTATGTAGGGGAGAGTGGGATAAGATGAGCCATTTTTCGTATTACGGATCACTACATCAAGACAATCATAGTTTTGTCTCTAACTAGTGTATCTTCAGGGTACTGTTGTGCAACACTGCAAACCAACAGAATGTGTGTAAACATAACTGTGTTGATACTATAGCATGCCGAAAAAAGTGGTCTCCTATGGTCAACTTACGCCGTGTATGGGGTAAGTTGACCATAGGAGCGGGGTAAGTTGAGCCGTATCCCTACCCCCTCAATCTCCACCCCAGCCCTCCCTCACCTTCTCTCTCCCTAAATAACAGTCACTTCTTCACATTCATGTGTAATTTTATCTATTATACGCTATTAACCGGGTACAATAATTCTTGTTATTATTGCCTATAACTGCTAAAAAGCTGTTTTGTAAAAAGTCATTTTAACATGAGAACGTCTTCAAGTGATTCAGAACATTCACGGCTGTATTTTTGAAAAGAAAAAGTAACACATTTCAACAATCTGAACTGAAACTCTGATCCTCTCTTCAGACTCTTTTACCCCAGAACTACAATTTTGACTTTATTAGTCCTCTAAACTAAAATGGTGGACTTTTATGCTAGGTTTTTGACCTCATGTTGTGGCTCATAGATACCACAACTGATGTATAACACAAATATAAAATGATCTTATTTGGTCCGAACACAATTCTAATAAAACTTATGACAGACTAAATTCACTTTCAAGAGTGAAAACTTTTTTTTTTCAATAAATGTGTAACCCCTTCACCCATGTGCTTCTAACCTTCACAGACTCCATGAATTGATACCCATCTCCTAAATATTTGGTCACATGATCAATTTCTTTTACCATTTCCAAGCAACAGGGTGGGGATCAACTTACCATTTGGCTCCTCTTACCCCACTCTCCCCTACTGATACAAACTGTATCAAGCCTTCAAGTACGAGTCAAAAAATATTATTAAGGTGGTACATTGAAAATAATGAATTTACAAATCTACCCTGATAAGCTCATACCATCGTCTGGGATAAGCCAAGTAGGAATTTTAATCCTCTCTCTCATTCATGATATCAGAGGTACTTTTAATTAAAGCCAAAAACTACGAAAGATAACTGAGCGACTACTTTGTGCTATCATTTACTTCACTCTTTATATGATTCGGCGCCAAATAATATCAGGGAGCGAAGTTGAAGCGCACAACTTCATGAACCACAAAGGAACTTTTACAAGTGTCGGTTATCTGAAACAATAAGAAGACGAAGAAACAAGAATTGTAGTCAACAAACATACGCAGGACAACTGTGGGCAGTTCGGCAAGAAAATAACATTGAAAGATAAAGTCTGTCGTAATGTTCCGCAAATGCAAACACGGTATGGGAGGGGACGGAGTCGTCGTGAACGCCAGTGCGCGCTCCCGGTATTAAACCTCTGACGCCTACATCCGGGAACTACGACGAACTCGCTCTCCAACATGGCGGCGTCAGGTGAGGTTTATGAGGGTGAACGATCTTGGTCAGTTGGGGGGAATTGCAGAGAGTTAATACTCGATAAGCTGAAAAACACCAAGCCTGTAGACTGTTAATACTTCGCACTAGAGATTCGCGTCGTTGTCCCGCGTGTGCACGGTGGTTTGTCGGTTGTTAAGGCCCGTTAAATACGTAACTGCTGGGAGAAGGCGAATGAACGAAGCTACGACTTGTTCAATCTCAGAATTTAAAGTTCAAACGCCGGTAGAAGTCGATATTTCGCTGTTTAATCGGCCCGCTCTCTACTTTTATTGACAATATTTTCATAGTTAAATGTGTGCTGTGTTTTAGCGGTTTAAACTGCGTGCAGAGCTGGCACATTGTATGCCCGTAGCGGGGCTCGCCGTGGCGCTCAGAGCACAGGAGCATCGGGCGCAAGCGCGTTTCGTGGAGGAGGGGTTGGGCCGAGCGGTCCGGGCAGCCCGAGGAGTCTCCCCACGTGTGCAGCCTCGCTCCCTGGTATCGGTGTTTGATGAAACGGGGCAGCTGGGCCTACTGGGTCGCATCCTCGATACTTCTCTGGCAGCTTCGCAACTTTAGCCGTCCCATCCACTCGGTCAAGGCTCGTTCCGTTGATGGCGCACTTGGATCCTGGCACTGCGACGTGTGCTAGGCCCTAAAACCTAGCCAACTAAGCAGAGAGACCTCCCCAGTCAGCAGTCTGTTTCTAAGCCCGTAAAGGCGTAAAAACAAGCGACCTACGTAAATAGCAAACAAACAACCCTAGGTGTTAAGCCCCACACTTAGCCGCTAGTCCTCACAGCTGTTGTTTGGTGTAGCTTTAGCAGCAGCAGAAAGTTCACATCACGGAGAGACTGTGGTATTGTGTCACTTTTGTTGCAGAATACATTGAACAGTTCTGAATATTCTGCTTTAGACGCTCACATGGTTCAAATGTACGGTGGCCGAGAACAGCCACTGCTGCAAATACAAAAAAATGCCCAAAAATTAGTGACACGGGAAGTTAATGATAAAAAAAAAAAAACAGTGACAATGCTAAAAAAGAAAAAGTTACTTTCTGCGAAAATAAAAGGATGCAAAAAAAAAGAGAAGCCACAACAGAAGTGAGCTGCTGGGGACCAATAATGATGATGCACCAGTGTCTTACGATCCAAGCACAAAAGACGATGGCAAAAAGATGAGCCAAGAAGTAAGTGGAGAGGTTATTGTTTAATTTTGCCTAGTGTGCTTTTCAATGTGTCATTCGATTATGCCATGTAGCGCCTGAGTCGATATGAAGTTGAACTGAAGCTAACACTAGACCGCCTTCCTCCCGTTCAACTTCATATCGACTCAGGCGTTACATGGCCTAACCCAGGCATGTCCAAACTATTCCACAAAGGGCCGGTGTGGCTGCAGGTTTTTCTTCCAACCAAGCAGCAGCACACCAGACTTGATTCATTTCATCAGCTGATCTCAGTCTTCAGACAGCTGATTGGTCAGTCTGCTGCTCTTGATTGGTTGGAAGAAAAACCTGCAGCCATACCGGCCCTTTGTGGAATAGTTTGGACATGCCTGGGTTAGGCAAATGACACATTGAAAAGCACATGAAGCGAAATTAAACAATAACCTTTCCACCTACTTCTTGGCTCATCTTTTCGCCATCGTCTTCTATGCCTAGATCGTGAAACACCGGTGCATCAGCATTATTGGTCCCCGGCAGCTCACTTCTGTTGTGGCTTTTTTTATTTGTATCCTTTTATTTTCACAGTAAGTAACTTTTTATTATTATTTTTGTGTCATTAAGTTCCATTGTGTTTTTTTTTTTTTTTTTTTTTTTTTTATGCAGCAGGCTTCGGTTTCTTTTTCTTTGCATCGTCAACTTCCGTTGCGACTTCTTTTTTTTAATTCTTTTTTTATTTGCAGCAGTAGCGGTCTTTGGCAACCGTACAAATTAGCTGTTAATTGTAAACAGAGACTTAGCATTATGCTAAACGATATGTTGCCTTGCATGTGTGTATGCCGGTTCTCTCTAACGATGTGTGAAGAATGTCCTGACAGTTGGGATTTTCACAATAAAGCTCCCGCTCAGCTTTGTTGTCCCTCTTTTTTCTGCCTCAGAAAAAAAACAAACCAGACCTGCTCTATGTGGTGAGCTGCCTGAATCCACTGGTAGCTGTTTGCTATTCAAACAGACATGAGGAAAGTTCTTCCAGGGGTGCTGACCCATTGATTCAAAACGATTAAAGGTGCATTCCTCAGAAATGTAGCAAACAGCCCCGGGGGTTTGATCGTTAAATGCATCAAACCCTGTCTGACCTGCCACACAGTGACTGTTGGACAGAGCAGCCACTCCCTGTGTGTTTACCTTCCAATAGGAAAATTAGTCAGTGTTTTGGTTATCATGCACAGAGTGCCGTCTCCATATCTGACTGTGCTTGACAACATCTCAACCACAAAAACTGTTGCAGTGTTTGTCTGAAGTAGCTGTCACATGGGTAGACACACAGTGCAATTCTTTGAAATGTAACAGATTTAATGTCTTTCTTACACTTTGCAGTAAGTTGTTGAAATTATTTGTTTGATTCAAATACAAATCAGTGAAGCACTTCAGAATCGCATCGTGACTCTGCTTTTTGTGAGCTGTCCTCTGCTGTTTCTGTGGCTTTTGTTTGTTCTTAACCCAATTCAGCTTTCTAAACAAGAAAATTAAATGTGTCAGAAAAATTTGCAGAACTATTTAATGGATGCTGTTAAGTTAAGTATGTAGAAAGACTCTTGACAGACATCCTCAGGGGTGATGGGCGTGATCCAACATGTCTCTTTCATGTCTGTGTGTTCCTGTGTTGTTCACCTCCCATAGCTAAGAAGAAGAATAAGAAGGGGAAGACCCTCACTCTGACCGACTTCCTGGCAGAGGACAGTGGAGGCAGCAACGCCCCCCCAAGCTACCCAACCAAGTCCACCAGCTGGGCTGATGAGACTGATGACCTGGATGGTGATGGTGAGTACACTCTGATATACTAACAGGAAGTCCTAATCTTTCCAAGTATTTAAATCAATACGATTACTCTAATTACTGAGTGTGTTAGTTGATTCAGGAGAAATGAAAATGCTGTCAAACAGGTCGAGCCGTTGGCATTCATGGCCTGAGTCATGTCTCTAAAGCAGTAATGTGCATGAAGAAAACCTGGGGGAAAACAGTTTTTGTTGTTTTCATTTTTAAAAAATAGGCTACTGATCTATTGTGTAACTAAGTGACAATGTTGAATTCATATTCAATATTTTTTTTAATTTTGATTGGTTGTTTTCGTTCCACCTGTTATCCTTTTTGATTCTTTCAGGCCATGTCCACACATTTGCCAAAACAAATGCATTTTTATACGTTTTGGCCTGCCATCCACACTAAATCACAGGATTGTGTCATTTAAAACTGTGCTTTCGGAAAACTCCAGCCAAAGTGAAGATTTTGGAAAACTGCGTTTGCGTGTGGACATAGATAACCAGAGTATTAAATTCCCAAACATCACTGTCCGTGACAACTAATAGATATAGATAAACGTTATATACTCTGCGCCCTTGTTTATGTCAGGCAGCGGAGACATATACAGAATATATATTTTTGTGAGGAGCAAACTCATTTGTTCTGCACCAAAGAACCCTTTCTCCTCCTTTCTTGTGTCTTGTTGACTTTATACTCCAAAAAAATGCTTAAAAGCTATTCCACCTCTTAGTCAGTCCACACGAATGAACTACATAGCACTTTGTTTCATTTTTGGGGAAGTGACGACAAGAAAGGGAAGCTTGCTCTAATTGGATAGAATGGATCTAACTTTTTGGCAAATACTACCAACTCCAGGTCTGGCATGCTTATAACCACAGTCAGTAGCACATTTATGCAGTTTTGTGTGGATGGTATTTTATTTAAAAACTCTGATGTGTGTACGTGACTTTTAGAGAGAGGGGGTTGGATATTTGTTTATAAAAATACCCGACTACATGTGAACAAGGCCTTAGTGAGGTAGTTTCCACAATTTGATGGTGTTATATTGTTAAGTTTGCTAATGTATGAAGTTAATGATGATGTAAAAGGCAACAAAATGTAACATTTCTAAACTTTAAAAATTAAACAGTCTTAATTAACTTCTTACCTAGATGTTAGTTAGATGTGATGTACTTTCGCATGCGTTTGTCTGACTGATGGTGCTGAACCTGAATTCTGGATATAACTCTAGCACATTTTTTTTCTGAGAAAAACATCAGACTACACATCACAGCATCACATATCATGTGACGCTTTGTCAGTTCTCTTTTTAGGAAGACTCAAAAATGCTTTGTGACAAACTGCTACTGAGGTGCTGTTTCTGAGTAGCCTCACTTGATTTATTTTATGGTTGCCTATGAATTTTTGTTTTGACCAGCATTAGATTTAGTATATATCACTGGTCCTGTTCATTTCTACACTAAAGAGCAATGACCCAATACACATAAGTAGAAGTGCACACAAGGGTTCACTTATGTATTTCCATTGGCTCCTCTATTGGGCCGTTCAACTTTCAAAGTTAATTTCAGAGGAATGGAGACGGATCATTTGTCTCAGTTTTTTTTTTTTGTTTTGTTTTGTTTTTTTGATTAAGTGTGTGTGGAGTGTATTTGCCAATGCCTTGGTAGTTTGCATGAAAATTCATGATTATGAAATACTTTTTTGCCACTGGCTCTTTTTGTAGAGAACTCAGAACCCCTAGAATGAGGTTTTCTTGTTTTTTTTCTTTCTTTTTTCTTTTTTCCTAACAGATTACATAACCAGTTCTTGAGTGACTAAATTCACATTTTGGAGGTTTGATGCATTTTTCCTCCCCATTGTTTTCCAGTCTCAACCTCATGGCACACAGAGGAGGATAGCTACCGGGCACCACCCATTGACCGGTCCATCCTTCCCACAGCGCCTCGTTCAGCTCGTGAACCCAATATTGACCGAACCCGGCTGCCCCGGAGCCCACCATACACGGCCTTCCTCGGCAACCTGCCCTATGATGTCACTGAGGACTCCATTAAAGACTTCTTCCGCGGCTTGGCAGTAGGTTAAATAATAAACGCCCATGAAACATGGATCATGTAGTACATGGCATTTAAAGTGAAAGATGCAAAGTTAATCATAACTGACACTGAAACTCCTGCAGTTTCTGTCATGGTTTTTATTTGATGCAAGAGCAAGAGATATTGAACTTATCTTACCATCCAGGCTCATCAGTTTCATTAGTAGTTAATCACATTGCTAACTTCTTTTCCTGATATTCTTAATCCATGCTGAAGCTGTTTGTTTGACTACTGCAGTTAAGATGCTGTAAGAGTTTGTTCAGTTGTACAGAACAGGACTTGCAGATCTACACTGTGTCTATTTTTACCCATTGCTGTGTAACTAGGGTCCTCATGTTGCTGAACCTGTTTTCCAGTTTCGGGGAGGCAGCAAAGTAGCACTTCTAAGACCCTAATAGGCCAGTTTTCTTTAAAAAAAAAAAAAAGAAAACTTGCCTAACTTTATGCAATTTCAAGTTGCATGATGTAAGAGTTTTCAGAAACAGTTCAGTCCTTTGAAACAACCCATTCAAGGGAAGAGTCTTGAAAAGCTAACAGTAACAGGCTATCATGGTGATCAGTTATCTTCAGTAGTGCCTGACAAGCTCTGACCTTTTTCCTGTTTTCATCCAGGGGTTTAACTGAAATCGGTTATTAAAATTGATGTACCATTTTCTCTATCCAAAAATCGACCTGTTTGTCAGACCTCTTATTCTGTCTTTATCTTCAGATCAGTGCAGTACGTCTGCCTCGAGAGCCTAGTAACCCAGAGAGGCTGAAGGGCTTTGGCTATGCTGAATTCGATGATGTGGACTCTCTCCTGAGGGCCCTCAGTCTCAATGAGGAGGTGAGAATATAACCAAACTTTAGTTTTATCATTCGTCATTTCATTTACTTCCCGGCACTGAACTAACATACAAATGTAGGACTTAAAGGGATATTCCGGTGTAAAATTAATTTAAGACACACCGTAACACTGAGTTAGACACCCTGTCGAGAGATGAATGTTGGGTGCTGTTCTGAGCATTATTTGTGGCTATGGAGTGGCTTTGTGGTTGAGGTTTGTTTATGGCTCCTCAGACCGCTGTGTATTGCTATCTTGCGGTCGTTACTAAAGTTGGTAACACTAGAGAAGCAAGCGGTCGGCAACATTCATCTCCCGAGGGGGGGTGTCTAACTCAGTGTTGCGGTATGTTTGACCCTAAATTAATTTTACGCCGGAATGTCTCTTTTTACTTTTGAGTGTTTTAGGTTGGTTTTACATAATAAGCTCTGTACTTGTATCGATTTCTCTCATAACCACTCTGTGTTCTTAAAAACAGAACCTTGGGAACCGAAGGATCCGTGTGGACATTGCAGACCAGTCTAATGATAAAGGTACATGCATTATTGATTTCACCCAGGAGCTGAAGTGCATTTGCAAGTATCCTCAATATTTTTTAACTGAAAAATATAACGTCTTTGTTTTCATCGTATCGCAGAGAGAGATGGTGGGTCTATGGGAGGCAGGGATCGGGGTGGAAGGATGGGGGACATGGGTCCTGATAAGACGGACAGTGACTGGAGGGCTCGACCAAGTGGAGAGAGTGAGGATGCACCTCCTCGGAGAGATGATGCCTTTGGAGAGAGTGAGTATTGAGTTTTTACTCCCACTTGGTGCCTAAGGATTTGTTGACAGTTTTGGAGTCTAAGGAGTATCAACAAATCCAAAATCTGAAATCTACTGATGCTGCCCAGTTTTCAGTTTTTTTTAACATGCTAACCCTCTTTTGTTTACCCAAATTGATGACTTTTTGTGTGCAGTTAGAGCTCAGTGGGATCAACAGATATTTGGCAAAAGATTTTAACAGTTCCTACAAAATAACTATTCCTGCAGGATCACGGGACCGTTATGAGTCAGATCGTTACAGAGATGGGCCAAGACGGGACAATGACCGCTATGATGGTGGAAGAGACCGCTACCGAGATCGCTATGACGACAGGGACCGCAGAGACTACGACAGAGGTGTGTCTTTCTGCCTATTGTGATGGGATTCAGATACCAATCGTGAATATAGCTGTAATTTTAAACCCATCTCTGTCTGTTTTCTTTCCCCCGCCCTCTTTCTGTCATTCTCCCAGGTTATGACTCTCGTGGAGGTGGAGGAGGTCGTCGGGCCTTTGGCAGTGGCTTCCGTCGAGATTACGATGACAGTCGGGGTAGTAATGACCGCTATGGGGACCGGGATCGTTATCCTGAACGCGAAGACCGGTTCGAAAGACGGGATGAAAGGCGTGAGGAGAGAGGTAAATAAAGTTTACATTAATCCAGCACTGTTTATGAACTGATCATCACCATGGTTTCTAATATAAGTTCACATCATTGTACAAATAGTAGTGATGTGATTTTACACCTCCCTTGAGAATCTGTAGTTGAGCAAACCTTCACCATCTGCTTTTTTATCATCCTTCATGTTCTCACTCCAGCCCCTCTGCAGAGACCCAAGTTGAACCTTAAACCTCGTAGTGTGCCCAAGGAGGAGGAGGGTAGCAGCACTGGAGGTGGAGGTGGAGGTGGAGGTGGCACATCCCCAGCTGCTACTGCCCCATCCTCTGGCAGCAGGGCTTCATCTATCTTTGGTGCAGCCAAACCGGTTGACACGGCAGCCAGGGAGAGAGAGGTGGAGGAGAGGCTGAAGAAAGAAGAGGAGAGGCTGCAGCGGCAGCTCGAAGAGGACAAAGGCCGAGGTCCTGAGAGGAAGATGAGAGACAGGTCAGAGTTTGGCATGAATGCTCATCACAAAGTATTCACCTGAATGGTGACGGCTTCACTTTGACGTTTTATAAAGTACAGTTTTGAAATGTTCCAGTGGAGTATTAGTTGTTTTTCCTAGGAGCCAATTTGAAGGAGAGCTGTAAATTCAGCACACTCATGATTCAGAGACAGAATAGACAGCTGTTAAAACACAACTAGAAATTCATCTCAAAAACAGTGCTTGCATACAGACCATCTGCCAAAGCTGACTCATGGTCAGAAAAGTCATTGTTCCCCTTCAACTGTTCAGCCTAGCAGTAACACTGATGTTCTTTAAGCAGTACCAGCAAAGCAAGTTTTGTCCCTCTCATAACTTTCATCTTCTCTGAAGTCCTGGAAGTTTTCAGGCCCATGTAAGCCGTGAGCCTTTTCTATTTTCAGGGACCCAAGCTGGCGCAACGAGGAGCCTCATACTGAGCGATCTCGCACAGGGAGTGAGTCTTCACAGCATGGAAGCACTTCTTCTGGAAGAGGTGAGATACCTGTGATGTACTGAGCAGAGCTTTGAACAGGAAAGGTAACTCTTCTGTGTGACCATGAATATCTTTTCCCACTTCTTTTTTTTTTTTCTTTTCTTTTTTTTATAAACGAAACACTTTTTCAGGGTATTGACAAGGTCTTAAAAAGTCTTCAACTGTCTAAAATCCAACAATTTGAATTGAAGGCCTTAAAATGTGTCAAATTCTCTTAAAATTTCATAAAATGTCTTAAATGTGATTTTGTAAGGTCTTAAACGTATTAATTTTACGTACAAATAAACAACATGCTAACAAATAAAGATTGATTTGAAGTAATGGAAAATATTGCGATTACCTTTCATGTCTTTTATACTTTTTTGCTGGTATGGATATAAAATGGTTCTTCAATTGTTTTCCTTATGGTTTTTAAAAGGTCTTAAATTTGACTTGTTGAAACCTGCAGAGACCCTGTTTTTTGTCAAAAGACATTTCCTCTATATCAAAGCTATTCAACCCTACAGTACTGACACCAGTGCTTCAGTTAGTTCAAACCTTTGAAATGTCCCGTCGTAGAAGTTGGTCCAAACATTTCTTTGAGACGAACTGAAAATGGTGAATTTCTGAAGAAGAGCTGGAAAACTTCTTTCTTCTTTATTTTGAAATATGAAACAAGGCATTCCTCTTTTTGCCCACCAGGGTCTAGGTGTCGAGATAGCGAGCGCTCTGGTGAAAATGAGGTTTTTAGTGGGAGAGAAGGCGAACCCTCTTCCCCTGGATCCTCTCCACATCCTCCACCCTCCAAGGAACCTCTGAAGGTGATGCCCGCACCTCCTCCAAAGGAAAACGCCTGGGCCAAGAGAAGTGCAGTCAGTACAGGCTCTAGTGAAGGTGATGGACGACCTCCAACCTCCCCTGTCTCCCCCGGTGGTTCAACTCCTCCCAAACTCAGGTGAGACGTCATGTATGCATGTCAGTATGAACAGACATGTCAAGGGCTTAAAAGCTCAAATTACAACACAAACATGTCTTTTAAATGAAGAATGTGATAGAAGTTCAATCATGGAAGACTTTTGTATACCAAATCTGACTGTTCTTACTTTCTTTTTTACTGCCGTAGTTCTGATGAAACAGGATCTGGAAAAGGTAAGACCTATTAGAGTTTTACTGATTTAACTCAAACCACGTCAAGTGTGTACCAGCCAAGTGTGAAATGTCAGTTCAATAAAATTTAGTTAGCTAGGCTTTGCACACATCTCTGAAAAATGCTGAACTAAATCAAAAGTCTACTCCTGGGTGTAGTTTTTCGTTTCAGCAAGCAACTCTTATTTGGGACTAAGATTGTCTGATCCACAATCTAGAGTCCTCATGTTGGTGGGATTTTGTCTCCAGTTGATATATCCATCTTGAGTTCAGTGCGGCCGCCCCTGCAGAAACTTGCTCTTGTGTCCTTATCAAGGTTGAGCATGCTCGTACTTTTCTGCCAGAAAAAGGCTGCAGGGACCCAATTCTCAGGGCAGTTTCCATTTAAAGACTTCTTACTTCTGCGCCGATAGCTAAGTAGTTTTTAACGATTGTTTGGTCATGTAAAGGAGACCAATCAACATGTTAGGTGTCTTCCCCCGATTCAAATCCTGGAAAGTTCATGAAATATAAAACCTCACTGCACAGGCAAGGAATCATGTTATTTTTGTACTCTTCAAAATCACATCATGTCGGAGGATTCTTTTGTTTTCATCGAGGCTGGCTCACTTACATGATGAGGTGTGAGAGCAGCTGTTAGTTTTCACACGACTTTTGCAGCTGCATTGAGGTCAACAAATTCAACAGAGCCAGAACATGATAGGAGCAGGTCATGAGCTCAACTTCCTCTGGAGTATATCGTTACAAGAAGGGCACTAAAATACTGTATGTTTCATTATGGCTGAATTCCACAGGATCTAGAAAAGCTTCCGCTCCAGGATGGCAGGCAGATCAAATACGCAAGTATTATAATCAATGTGTGTGATCAGATGAGCTATGAAGGGCTTCTGTTTTTGCCAGACGCCGCAGCACAACGCAGTGATTCAGTGCAGCGCAGCACGAGCGGTTGCAGAAGTTGTTTGCAGCTACAGAGTAAAATATCCGGTTAATTTTCAAAATAAAATAAAGTCAGTACGTTGAACTTGATAATACGAGAGGCCAGGGTTGTGGGATGTGGGTGTTTATGTGCACCGCCAATCTCATTCAATGTCTCAACATTCAAGATCTCGTCCAGTCATGCGAGAAATATCCATAATATCACAAGCGCTTCTCCTCCGCTTGCTGCAGCGGATCGGATCCACTAGGTGCTGTATGCCTAGGTATTTGATCCGCCTGCCAGTCCGGAGCGGATCCTGTGGAATCCTCGAGTTAGTCTGCAAGAACAACTCAAAGTGACCAATTAGTTCAGATCTTTTTACACTTGAGGGACTCGGGACATCCAGGTAAATGTGACACACCTTTCACTACCCTCAGTCGATGTCTGGGCAGACATTTTTTTGTGTGTGTTGGAAACCTTCAGGGCAACTTTAGGTCAAACTTCAACTCTGAGGAAATGAACAGGCTGAGCGTTCATGTCAGATGTTGTACACCTCTCATTTGGCCCTCCATCAGTGACTAACACGTTTTGAATCCAACCCAGTGGCCTCTGATGCTGCAGTGTGTTGTGAGTGTAGTCTACTGCCTAAAAGTCCACAAACCTCCCTTCACTCAACTGTCTGGCTTCTCCTTTAAGATGAGAACAAGGCTGACGGTGTGCGTCGGGACCGGGGGCCCCCACGGGCACGAGGGGGGCCTGCAGGGCCTGGAGCAGGGCGGGGCCGAGGAGAGGGGCCTAACAAAGACCGAAGAAAGGAGGCAGACAGGTCAGCCATCCATAGCTAGCCATACCAAAGGGAACACATTTAGTGGGCATCTGTAAAGAATGGCCTATGCTCAGTTTCACAACTGATCACTCAGGAAAAACAAGGATTTCAAGTGAAATGCAAAAGAAACAGAAATTTGGCCAATTTTTAAATTGAATTTGGCGTTTCCTTTGGAAAAATCAAGACTGAGCACAGTGTGAACTGGATGCCAAACAGCTTAATAATGTTAAACTTTCAGACAATGAGATTGAGCATAATTTGTGGTGCTCCTTTTAGCAAATTTTATTAGCTTATTTTTAACCTCAGTGTTCGTTCAAATTTTAGAAAGGATAACAGAAGAGACCGAGACTCCAGACCACCCCCAGAGCCAAAGAAATTTGAAGAAACCCCAACCCCTGTAAGTCCTTTACTGACAAGGTGTGGCCGGGCATTAAATTGACCTGAACTGATTCCTCCGGGTTTCCCTAAAGCCTCAAGTAGTTCTAACACAGCCTGAAGTTCATAGTAGTTGGTGAATAAACTGCTTTTCATCAAACATTAGATGATGGATCATGATCTTTCTGGCTTATTGAGAAAGTCGTTGTCTTTTTCCCCATTAAGCCTGTCTATCACGTATACAACGCCACTCTTCTAACCCAGGTCTTGTTATGTTTTGTTTGTGCAGAAGTTCAGCTCAGCCAGTAAATACGCCGCTTTGCTAATGGATGGAGACCAAGGAGACGATGCAGAGGACGTAGAATAGAGAGCAAATAACAAAACAAGGCCTGAAAGCGCAAGAAAAAGAAGAAGAGGAGAAAACAACGAATGCAGAAAAAAGTAATCTCACATAGCTTATGAAAAAAATCTCCTCACATGGAAGCGGCTCCAGGGAGGACACGACTCCCTCCCTTTCTTTTCCTTCAGCAAACCTGTCCTTAAACTTTACTTTCAAGACACCCACCCCTCCCCCTCCACCCCACCTTCTGGACTATTCAGGTTTGAAAGAATAGTCACTGGACTTGTTTTAAATGGAAAAAAGGTGTAGCTGACACATGGAATAATCATGGATGAAATTGAATAATTGTAATAAATAAATGGAAAAGGTGGGGAAAAATGATTCTGTATATTTGTGGGTCACAGGTGTGGTGAGACTGAGTTAGAGGATAGAAGGTGAGAATTATTACTAAGTGGTACCTTCTTAATTTTTTATTTTTTACCTTTTTACTCAGTTACTTGATTTAATCCTGGATTGAATGTCCAGTTATCCATTATATAAACCCTTTTTATTATTGAGTGAATCATTTAATCTCATTGAAACTTATTCACAAAAATCCCGTCTTCCAATACTAACAGTCGTGATTGCTTTTATTGGATATAATCTTGCAAACACTTGTCAGTCATGTATACAACAAGCAAAAACGTCCTCTAAACTGATTGATACAGTATTGCCATAAACCATAAAGTGATGCGAGGGAAAAAAAAGAAAACATTTTAATGGAGTGTCCTGTGTGTGAAGATGGACAGAAAATATCACCACTTCACTATTCCCACTTGAAGTGCCATCCTAGGTCGATGTACAGATTCTGTTTCTCTATTTCTACTCTGATAAAATCATCAAATTAAAGGCTTATGGAGGCTGTTTCCAGTCATCTTCAAAACTTCATGGTTGTCAAATCATTTTCTCCTGCAGAAAGGAATCCAAATATTTGGGAAAAATCGTTATAGTTTGTCGTAAACTGGAGCTACCGTACATTCACTTATTAAGCGTTGAACATAAATGCATTTCTACAATGTTTAAAGCAGTCTGCAGTCATTTTAAGTTCACATATGCACAAAACTTGCAATCATTTTCACTTAGTTGCCTTTATAACCTGTCAAGACCTTGCACAGTCTAATGAACATGACATTTCACATCAATCCACCAATGAATCAAGTTTTTATTAATATATCATCAAATTAGAACCAGGGTTATTGTAGGGCACTTCACGCACCGAGCAGGTCCAGACTGAATTCTTAATATTTGAGACCATTGTTAATCCACCATGGGCAAATACTGCAACAAGAAAAGTATATATTTTTTTTAACAGTCAGAAACCTCAACTACAGCCAGATCAAACAGTGTACAGCTATTTGCGCTGCCTTTTATTTTCTTCTGCTGACTCTTCTCCTGGTGTGGTCTATGAAGCAGACAATTTGGGCAGTATTTCTTCAGTCTCAACCTCCTGCTGAGGGCCAGACTCCTGGTGGCAGCTGCTTAGGATCCTGCTGAGCTTTGTATCCAACGTATTCAGGCACTGACACAGGGAACCTACTCTGCCGTAAAACAAGACCTCTTGAGGTCACTCAGCACCAGGCCATCCCGATGGTGCGAAAATGTATGGTGGGAAGCTAAAGATCCGCTTATACTATTTCTCAAAAGTTCGACTCTTTTAAAGCTTGGTGAAGGCCAGTCTCACTTTTTGTTATAACTGTCCTACTTAAAAAAGGTTCCTGTGTTTGTTGAAGCAAATCTATTCTGCTCAAGGAATTTTAAATCAGCAGGTCTAAACTAGGAACCTGGCAAATCTCAGATTGTGTACAAATCCTTGACATTTGATTTTACAGTTTGTGCTAATTGGAAACAAGAAGGGTTGCAAACTAGCTTGACTTCAAATTGAAACAGATTTTTCAAAGTATTTATACTTAAACTGATAACTTTGAAACCATGCTGTTATTTACTTTATATTCCATTTTAGGGGGAATATTTAGTTAACAAAAGAAAATTAACAAAATTTTAAGCTTTTAATCATTAAAACTTGATATACTTCAAAGGCTTTGTCGGCATAAATGTTAGGAAGAGCTTTACAATTAGAAAATACATTTTGATTAAACTAAGCTGTGGTGTTAAAAGTAACTTAAAACTTAGTCAATTAATCTAATGATCAAATACATCAGGACTTAAAAAGACAACATAATACTTTATTTGAGCTACTTTGACAGCGCCTCTCCTCTAACCTGAGATTGTGAGATCCATCAAGCAACACTAACCTCATTAAAGATGATGATTTTAACCTCAACAGTACTAGTGCTGGTGAATAAAGACTTTAATATGTCAGAGTTTAACATTTGTGAAACCACCCACCAGTCCCTCAATCTTCTTACTGGCAGCTGGTCCACACACACAAGAGGGTCCTGCCCACCTCCACCTCCAATAACATGCCACAGTTGTGTGTCCCTTCCCTATGTGATGACTTCATACTTGCAATGTATAATTTTTCATAGTGTCTCATGAGCTAAAATGTCACTTGGGCACGAGCGTATGTTGATAAGTCCTTGATTTAGCTCGCAGCTATAGATTTGTCTCAGTTTTAAACCAAGGCCTGCTTTGTATGATCTAACTGGAGGCTAGAAATGCAGTTTTAGAAAGAGCTTATTGTTGGAGATTTTCCCCTCACAACCCTAAAACCTACAGCTTAAAGCAGCATTTTGTCTAGAGAGCCCAGTTTGAGGAATTTAGTTCTGTAGAGAGACAGAGAGCTGTAGTCTGGTGGTTTTCACCGAGGGGAGAAGCCGATCTTAGATTCAGGCACAGAGACGATCTTTGTTCAAAGTTTAGCAGAGGGAGCAAAGGAGGGAATCCAGGCAGGACATTAATGCTTTCATGTGTCCTATCGAACAGGGTCCAGGAGTTTATTAGATTCAGCTTTTTACACTCAAAGAATATGCAGGGGAAAATCCAATCCAAGTTTATTCATGAAGTGCTGTACATTAAAAATTCAAAACAATAAAACAAAGACACAGGACCACAATAAAAACAGGGGGACATAAATGGTTCAATAAAAACATGATTAAAAGGCCGAGTTCTCAAGAGTCAAAAGCCAAAGACTAAAAGATAGCAGTCCTGATTGCTTCAGGCGAACAGATCATGCTTAAAAGTCCTCTCTTCCTCACAATAAGCTGAGAGGAAGGAAGAAGTCAGATCAAGCTTACACTATGTTCTCATGTGCAAAGTTGAAGAGCCTGGAGGGATGACGTGTGTGAAAGAAGCTCTATCTAATCACTCCCCCGTGAGGAAGGAGAGCGAGAAGAGGCTGAAGAGAAGCCAAAGGAAAGGGGAAGGGCCTGACATCAACAAGCCAAAACAGCTGCCCCCTTCTCCCCCGTGGAGAGACAGCAAGAGGAGCCTGATGGAGCCACTGTGAGAGTGGGGAAAAGAGAGTGAGAGAGAGAGAGAGAGGGGAAGACTGGAGGGTCTGTGAGGGAGAAGAAGAAGGAGAGAGAGAGCAGTGTGCAAGATATTTGAGGGTCTGTAGAGGCAAAGAGTGCAGAGGAGAAGAAGGAGGTATTGGCAAGTGAAAAGGGGGGAGGAAAGAGAGAGGTGTATGTTTGCATGCTTTCTGAGTGAGGACAGCCAGGGAGCAGGGGACAGAGGGGGGTTAAGAGAGCGGAGGATCTGTGCCTGGTGACACTTCTTGGACAGGGGGCAAAGAAGGCTTGTAAGAAGAGAGGAGGGTGAGAAAAAAGTCATCTAGGGTGGATTTCAGTGCAGGACAAGCTGTCAAAGAGAGGGGGGCAGAGGTGTGAGGAGTATCTGGGGAAGTGGGAGCATGTTGGGGAAGGAGACGTTAGCTGTCGCAGCAGGATAAGAAGTCCCTTCATATCATGAGGCACTGAGAGGAAGAAGAGAGGGACCTTGTGGAGTTGTTTGAAAGAGCCGGGCAAACTGAAGATAAGAGGAAAAGGGCATCTGGTGGAGGTATGGGGTGTATTCACAGCAAAAGCAGTGGCAGGATGAAGAAACAGGGGCCTGACATGGACCCAGGAGGGATCCCCTTAAAGACAGACCCTGAGATGCACCCTGAAATACTGCAACTAGCCGAGGTAAGTGAGGAATCGCTCTTCAGGGAGCTGTAAACAATCCGCTTAAACACCCGAGTAATGCCTCAGCTATCATCATATACAGAGCAAAGCCTTCATATTGTGAGGAGTCAAAGATCTGTTTGGTAATACTCTTAACATCCCAGATTTTCTCCATGCTGTTGATACTGTTTACACTTTGTCATATGACTCAACAGCTTTGTTTAAGCGATGCATGAAAACTTGAAAACCAAAGGAATCTGAAATAATATCAACACATTTCTAAATTAGATGGTGCTTAATAAAGGACGTCCTTCTTTGCATTTTGTTAGCATCACTGTCAGCACCAACTTGTGCAGCACATGCATGCATTCCCAAGCATAAACATGTTAACAGGTCCCGTTTGAAAGCATGAACTGCACGCAAGGAAGCTGTGTTTGTAAGCTGGAGCTGAAGTGAGAAGCATCTGTGTCCTAGGGCCCGATTAGTTTGTTATTCCTGCTGCATGCGAAGGAAATTGTTCAAAAATAAGACACAGACAGTAGTGGATGGCCCATTCAATTGCTGTTAATCATGTGCCCCCAGGGGTCGGGGTTCAAGAGGAAGTGGTATAAGTTACCGTCCAGTTCCAGCCCGCCGTCTGCTTGTCTGCTGCCTCTATTTAGGAGCATGTATGGATTTAGGAGCATGTCACTCTGTTCCACATGTAAAGCCACCAGGGGACTTTTATGCAGACTAAAATAAAAGTGTGTGTTGGTTTAGCACCGAGGCCCCACTGCAGTATTTGTACGTTCTCACATGTCAGGGTAAATCACAATCTGGCGTGCCGTACGTCAGAAGGAGAATTGAACTGAAATCTGCTGCGAGGTGCTGCACAGTGAACATTCGGATCTTGCTGCGAGGAGAACATTACTCAGATCACATGTGGCTTCAAATCCCCTAAAGCTCCAATTGTGTGTCTGTCTGAATTTCTTTGTGTGTGACTGTGGGTTTGTGATTTTATGTGTGTGTGCGTGCCTTACCAAGCCAAATTATGATAACATTGTCCCAGCTGAATGGGTGGACTCTGCAGTGGAGGGGTATGATGCAATGTGTCTTACATGCAAACAGTCCAGGAGTCTTTTCTATTGTTTACAGCGAGTGGTCTTTTTATTCTCTTGGTTTGTGTGTGTGTATGTGTGTGTCTGTGTGTGCATCTCTCTCTCTCTCTCTCTCTTACACACACACACCCAAACATACGCTCTGTCCCTCACCTATTTTCAGCGTTTTCATGGCTGTTTAGAGGTGACTCCCCCTTCTCTTGCAGGTTATAAATACCCCACCAGAGCTGGAGCATACCCCTGGCCTGCCACCTGCTCCCGTCCCTTCCTGAGATGACTGTGTGCGTGTGTGCGTGTGTGTGTGTGAGAGAGAGTGTGTGAGTTAGCAGTTGTGAGTTTTGCACTCCAGCATGTCATCACTATTGAGGTGTCACTGAAAAAAAACAACACTCACGTAGACCTTTAGTGCCAAGGGGGTGTGTCACTGTACTCTCAACTCTGTGTTTGTATGTGTGTGTGTGTGTTTGCATTCATGTTTCTGCGTTAAAGTTGCATATCTTCAATGATCACAGGGTCTATATTTTATATGACAGAAAGTCGCTAAAGTGCAATTTTCCCCTCCTCCAAACTCTGAGCTTCTGTTAATCTATCCTGCATTTCTTTGTTGATCCAGATGAGTCATTTCCAACCAACAGTCTTAAAAATGTCACTGCCGCTGCCTCCACAGTACTAAGAAAGCCTCATGCTGCCAGAGTCATAAAGTTCTCCATTGTGCTTGTGTTGTTGCCTGACCCTCTTCGCTCCATCTCCATGGTAGAAGCTGAAGTGCTCCAGGCGCTCTGCAGTGGTCAGAGATGCTTGTCGAATGACATAGACTTTGGCTGCAAACATTTAAGCGGGGTGGGGTTCTTAAATACTGCAAAGCAATACTGTAACACTGCTGATAGTCACATGACCCTCTGGAGACTGATTGCACATGAGAGTTCCTTTATTTTTACTATAGTATCAAAGTGCAGTTAGGGGATGGACTCATAACACGCACATATAGCACTTTATGCAGTCCACTTTCAAAAATCTGTCATAAAATGCAATTTTTGGGATCTTTAAGTACTCAAAACAATAAAACCATGATCAAATACTTCTGTGGAATTACAGCTTAATGTTTCTCAGGTGTCCACTGGGTTGTATCATGTGGCATTGGTCATCTCTTTTTGTTGCTCTGGGCTTTTACTTCCATACTTTGGAGTGGAAAAATGAAGAGAACAGAAGTGCAAAGGGTTGCCCCGTCATGTAAAAAGACACCCCAACATTTCAACATCTCTGAGTCAGTCTATTTGAGTCGGTTTTGAATTTAATGGCTGTCCTTTGATCCCCGATACCCTCATTTAACACGTCACACTGCAAGATTTACTGCAACAGGGGTGAGTTAGGGCAGAGCTTAAGTTAATGTTTTTTTTTTCTTTTTGGTGGTTTTAAAAGCTAAAAACTAAAATACCTTTTAAAAAACGACCATGTTTGCATCCGTCAGATCAGTAAAAGAACTAATGATGTTACAAAAACCTCTCTCCTCACTCAGATCCCAGTCGTTGTCATTACCTCTAACAGCGCAATTATCTTCCGATTTATAATTCCTAACTGCAGTACTTCTATTTGTCCACTGTGTGGCGCCCTTCACTGGTGTTGCCTTGTTATTGTGAACTTAATCCTCACACACTGACATAAAAAATGATGTGGTTGAGACTCACGTTGCCTTGATGAAATTGTGTTCAGCCAAAATTAAGTATTGAAGCTGTTCTCTGTGACGTTATGACTAACTCACAGACCTTTAAAAAATTAAAGGGCAGCGTCCTCCACAGTCAGCTTAAATGGATTTTTATTCTTCTCATTTTCCAGTCCGACACCGCGCTTGTGACATTTTGCTTTTTGGATGAAATTCAGATATTAGAAAGCTGTGGGGATGAGATGTTTTAGTAAAAGTCAAACTATCAGGGGATTGTAGTTGATGTCTGGAAAACCCCACACTCATATGGAAATATGGAAAATATGATGAAAGTGTATTAACTCAATAAGCCACATGATTTCAGACTATTGTATCTGTCACAGCTTAAAATAATTAGGGGTTGTTATAATTTGTATCATAATGCACATTTCTGTGTTGATTTTAATAGATTGAAAGATTTATCAGGGCAATAGTAACTTTTTTTGCATATAATGTTTAGATTTCTCAGTAACGTGTCCTGAGAGTCTGGTCAAACTACAGTAAATGTTAAGCCTGCAGGTGATCCGATGATTGTATTATAAAAGGACTCATTGCATAAGTCGATCATGTTCAAACTCTAAAAATCCACGAGTTATGTAATAACAATTAAAGTGTAATAGCCTGAGTGGGTGATGATCCTCCTCTCCCCTTATTTGCCCTCTTTTTGTCAGGTTCAAAGCACATCATCTCTTTCCAAATCTCATCACACAAATACACACACACACACACACGACAAGGACACACAGACCCAGATTTAACAAACAGTGCATGCTTTAGTTTACAACAGCCAGCCATCATAATAATAACAACAACAGAGGACACATGTCGATAGTCCAGTGTTCCTCTCTTGCTGTCATTACAAAGTCAATACATACAGCATAATGGTGATGTGTCCCAGCTTTACACTACATTCAGCTTTACACAACAGCTTTATCACCAAAAACAGGTGTTGTTTTAGGTATAACAAAGCTAATGCAAATCATAAAGATGGATGAAGACTTCAGTGAAGTTCCCACAGAACTGGCAACGTTGGTGATCCGCATTATGTGACCTCTATATATAATAGATGAGGCATCAGATTGTCTTAAGAACAAAACACTCTTCAACTATTCAGACAATGATCTGTATATTTTAAAGCACCAATGTTTACATGAAAATAAGTTTTATAACACGATAAACCTTTTTCCTCTCTCTTTGCTGCAGGACAAAAAGATGAATTAGATCTTTAGCCATCAGACTTTACAACTCTTCTCTAAATAGTCGATGACTTTTGACACATGACAAGTGAGACTACAGACAATTGAATTTCCCTAAAGGATAAATTTAAGTTATTCTCATTCTTATTCTTATTCCTAAACCATTTGAGAATTATCCAGACTTTCAAAAATACATTGTATTCAGATGTAATAGATCTATAAGTCATTTAAAACCAAACCATATATTTCCCTCAACTCAACCAGCTGGTGACAAAGCTAACTAAACCAAACTTGAGTCAGAAAAACGCAATTTTCTTGAGGGAATAAGTATTATAATGGAGCCCTAAACTGCATTCCCCTGACTTAGTCTCCAAATACAATGATACTGTCGGGGTTAACTTAGGCAGCTTTTATAAACCCCTTTGAATTTGCATGTTAAAAACAGAAGTAGTGCACCTCATCCACAATGTAATACTGGCACACTGTTTGAGCACACTGAGCAGGCTAGGGGAGGTAGTAAAGAAGAGGTGTAGTGGTGAGACAGCATCACTGTAAATGTCAGAGAAAGTAGGAAAGAGCAGCTTGTGCTTTTGTTTGCCTGCTTTACGTTCACAACCTTCTAGCTAAAAGATATGGGATTAATAATATGCTTTTTTTTTTAACTTCCTAACTTTTAACAGATGATAAATCGAACTTTAATATACTAAGATGTTAATTACATAAAATGAACAGTTTAAATGAAATAGTACAAATTCTTTGGGTTTGGCTTTTACAGAGTTGATGAGCTTAGAGTTAATCTCTACATTTGCAATCCCATTATGTAATCACACACAACCACAAGGAAGAGCTACATGAAACATTGATACTACATCTCTGTTCATAAAGGATTTAGACTGTGCATGCTCCACTTCAGAGACAAAGAAGCCGCTCCGTAATAGATTATGGGTAATAGGATGACTTTCCTTCAACTCTCAGCTCAAGCTACTCAGAGAATTGAGACGTAGGTGTCGCAGAGTGTTTAAGAGGGTGAGTGCAAACCTTCATCAGCCAGAGTTAAACTCAATGCCTCTCCTGTTTGGAAAAACCTCGGTACTGGAAAAGTTTTTTTTTTTTTAAAGCCCAGGGCTGAGACTTTTTTTCAGGACTAGAGAAATGCATCCAACCATGAGCAAGTATAGAGACACCAGTGTGCATGAGAAGGCTGTTTGTGACCTTCTAGCTCCCTTATTACGGCTCACAAACACACCAAGCAAACAGTCTAAACAACTACGCCCACCTGTTTTAGGCCCGTCCTCCTCTCCTCGTGGAAAAATTCAATGGTTTAATGTGCTTCACATGCTGTCAGAAGGCATTGTTTTGATGGGGCATTGCCCTTAGATAAACACTATCCAATCTCTTCATGGGCTGGGACAACTGAATACTTGTTTATAAAAACAAAAATCTGTGGATTATGACTCTGCATATATTTTCCTTCCTTCCAGAAACATTACATATTTGTGTTTTCTCTGTAGTCAGAGTTTTATTTAATATGAGCAGTTTTTTAATCATCTTTTTGTTGGCTATCATTCAGTTCATTCAAGTCATTCTAGTGAAATAAATTTCAGCCAACTACAGTATAAGACTATATGAGAAGCGATTTGATTTTGTTTGTGTTACATCAGATTTTGTTTGTGTTACATCCACAGCTGCCTCAATGGTTGTCTGTGGAACCACAGTGGGCATTGCAGTGTTGAAAAGCATAAAATGTAGTATGAAGCAAGAGAGAGAAACCTGAACAAAATTCAAAAACACCAGTGAGTGACTGTCTCTGTGCTTGAATGACTCTGTTTTATGACTGTGTAAGATCACTGACAATATATTGTGTTGGTACAAAGCGAGTCAGAGAGCTGTTAATTGGTTATTATCTGAATGAGGGCGAACTTATTATCGAAATCAGCTAACAGCTGTAAGCCATGTTTGGTTTTAGCTTGAAGCTCAGGTGAAGAACTTTTATTTTGTGTCAATTTTGGTACCCCTTGTGGACAAATCTGGTTTTTTTTAATCTTGTCCATTACATGCTTAAGTAGAGTCTTCTGACAAAGTAGGGCTGGGCGATAAACAAAAAATTTACTGATACTGAAATTTGCGACAATAATCAATGTCATTTTGCCCATATTGGTATATTCAGTGTCAAATAAAAGAATAAATAAAAGTTGGTTTTGGATGTGTGTAGGTAGGCTATGGTCTCATGTCCTTTAAAGACACTGTCCTACATCAGAGACGTGACTCCACCCGATTCAGTCTGTAACAAAGAGGGAAGGACAGGTGAGGAGATGGAGGACGGTTCAAAAGTTGTAGCTGCTGAAGTAGACGAAGTTAATGTGGGAGTGGGTGAACAGCTTGCGGAGTAGTTATCGTCCATTTATCATTATCGAGGTGAACTGCTCAATATATCATGATATTGATTTGAGGCCATATCGCCCAGCCCAATGACAGAGTCTGATTTTGACAGTCAAAAGGAGTGTTTATTGTGGATATTTTATGTGGAAATTTTCTTCGGGTGTTGTTTCTTAAGCTGTTTGGCTGTCACCTACCACCTCATAAATATTGTGCACCTCGAAGCTGATGGTCTTGCTTGCATATATAAGTCATAAAAACATCAAATTGAATTTCAGCCTATTTCATCAATCAATTTTTATTTTTATATATTATATCACAACAGTAATGGGTTTTTTTTCTATAGCGTCATGCTCACAATGTTTACACCAAGATGGTAATATTTATCCGCGACAATGTTTGCTATTATCACAGTCTGAGTTTAATTTGTCATACTAATACGCAAATAATTAAACAGAAGTACAGTGAAAGCTTAGAGGAGCCCATTGTTTTGAGAAAAAAATAAACCGTTTTTTTTTTACCTCTGAGAAAAGATGGAGATCCATGAAATAAGCTAAAATTATCCTGAGGAACAAAAAAGTCTGCTTTAACCCTCAGTTCTTGTTAATTTTATGCTCTGTTCAGCCTACTTTGTCCCCAAAACAGACATGCAGATAAGTGTTCATAAAATAATCATTTTTTAACATTTTTTCCTACTTTTTTCGACTCATATCTCTTAAACAACTTTAACCCTAACCATTTAAAAAATACAAATAGAAATTTCGATGTATTACCCTCTTTATGCCAGTTTTTGTGCGCTATGTCACTGCTATTTTTAATGATAAAAAACACAAAATCACCATATTTCCCATATAAAATGACCTAGATTATTTTTTTTAATAAATAGGGTCTGGGCCGTGTCAATGATGACAAGTAAAACGGATTTTACTGATCATTTAAATTCTTTTTGTAATGCCAATTTTTTTGTATTTGAAGCTCCATTCATTTTTAATATTAAGAAAAATAAGAAGTCTCACCAAATTTGATGCCCTAATCCTTAAAAATGCGTCTGTCAGCTCAAAATAAAGATGAAAAAAATGACAAATGCCTCAAAATGGACATAGTAGGAACCGAGGGTTAAAGTAAAAAACCTATATTAGTAATTGCTGTCAACAAAAAAACCCTCACAATTTTAAGAGAGACTCATATTCAATTGCGTTACCTGTGACCACAGAGCACATTAGATGGGGCTGGCTGCGCAGAAGTCTGCGTGTTTCTCATCATCTTAGCTGACTGAGACAGAATCAGGACAAGTTAAAAGACAAGACAATAGGAGGCCTTTAGATTCAGTGAGACATGACAGGTGCTTTTATACGAGCGGCTGAATATACGGCAGGTAGGGCATCAGTGCTCATGCTAGTGTGTCAAAGGGCTGGTGTGCATCTGTTCTGACAGCAGCACAGAGCCAGTGACCGTCCACTGCTTCAGATTATGCAAACCTGAGAGAAAATGCCTTGAGACACATGAAATGTTAAAGCTAAATATGTCACAACTGCATACTGAGTGGAGCCTGCATTCATAAGGCGTCAGTCTCCTCACAACAATGCCAGCTCTGTTCATTTTGGGTAAAAATGATCAGATTTGACTCTCTTGTGTGTCCGCAGCTTGCCAAAGCAGAGGGCCACGCCTTCACAGAGAGAAGCTTCAAGAGGAAACGAGTGTGTGACGTGTGCAAGCAGAACATCGACAACCCGGGGGCGTTCTGCAAAGGTGAGTCCGCATCCCAGAAAGGTCACACTGCAGACCCAAAGCGACAACACTGACATACACCTAGACCTGACATTGATGAGCTCACCCTGACTGTCCTCTCAGCGTCTCTGTCAAAGCGGACTGTCAGACCAAATCATGTCCCTCTCTTCTGTGTTCTCACTGTCTGCAGAGTGCAAGGTGGCAGTTCACAAGACATGTGAAGCCAAGGTAAGCTCCATGTTTCTCCACTGAATTCATGACAAATTTAACACTTAACCTCACCTCCATCTGGAGAAAAGTATGTTCCTGTGTCAGCACTATGTCAGAGGTTCCTATGTAAATATGCTGTTAGTCTTAAGTGGAGTTAACCATGTGCACTGACCTACATCTCTGGTTAAAGATGGCCTCCATCTGAACCGCAAACATCAAGGTCACTCCAGATGATTCAGTCATGTAGTAGCACAGAAAAAAATCCTCCCCAGAATCCCCAATTCAGCTTGTTATTGGAAACATTTGTGCTAATCAAAAAATAATATTTCATTAACATTCATTGGTGTTGTTTTTGCAAAGATCTCCTGGGCTGATCTGAGGAGGGCAGCAGTGAGCTTTTGAGGCGTCTCTGTGAGGGTCAGAAGAGGAGAAAGCTTCAAGAAGTAGCACAGCTTAGGGAGATGGCACCTTACAGAGAGGATTATTTCAAATCTGAGTTCAGGATTGTGACTTAAGGAATCTGAATCTCCTTCAAAGGGCCTTTTCTTTTTCTTTTCTATCACTTCTCTGGCAAACAATCCCTCTGTATTTGCAGCATAATATTATGTAGCTGTGAGCTTTGACCCCCTCCCCCACTCATGCTTTTCGCAGCAGATGTTTGGGGTGATTAAAGTTAAATTTTGCATACTTTAAAAATATTTTAAAATTGCATTTATTAAAATAAGAATATTTTTGGAGTGTTGGTTGGCCTAGCAGCTTAATGTACTGAGGCATTAGTCCTTGTCATTCTCGTCATTGGTTTAACTCACAGCCATCAATCAGTCTTTAACTCTATAGCACTTTTCATACACGAATAAAACAGAAAAAAGTAATAAAAGAAACAAAGAATACCTAAATCTACCCCAGCCCAACCCCTCATTCCCACCCCAAGATCTACACGCAACAGAAACAGTATTAAAATGCATTAACTTAAAAAGGGCTTGATTTTGTGGAAACGTGAATGTGCGCACTGAGGAAACGCTATTTTAAACTTTTTTAAAAGGAAACTCTGGAGGTTTATGTTAAAATGTAAAAACAAAGTAACAGAGTGAAGTTTAAGAAATAATAAATAAAATGCAAGTTAAAGATACTAAAATTAGAACACCAAAAAAGACGATCCTGTCATTAAAACTAGAAAAAGATAAATGCTAAAACACTTAAACAAAGTGAATGATATAAAATTTAGTTAGAAGCAAGACTGAAAAGGTATGTTTTCAAATCATTAAGCCATGACTCTTTCCTGCAGGTCACACTCTTTCCCTGATTTTTCCTGTCTGTCTCAGCTGTCCTACATAAAAAAAAGAAACTTAGGAAAAGAAATAACACACATACTGTCAGCTGTAGCTTACAGCTTGGACAGTACATAAATTGCCTTTTAATAAACTACAACAACTTTGAAAGAACACAAAACATATCTGTGCTGACAAAGAACAGAGTGAAAAAACACACAGATGTGCAGCTCTAACAGTCTGTTGAAAATGTTACCAGTTAAAATAAGTTGGACAAAAATGCCCCTGAATAAGTAAATATGGTCAAGCACTCAGACCAGCTCATGCATTCGGGAGTCTGTTGAAAGTGGGAACAAAGCTTGATGTGGCGTGCTTTGTCGTGAGAGACCTGTGCAGCCTAAAGGAAGTCAAATGTCTGTAGGTTGTGTGGTGTGTGCGAGGCTATCTGCAGTCTTACATTTCAGTCCATCTGCTGTAAGTTGTACCAACAGTCACATCTGATGATCTTTACTGTTTATTCTTATTTTTTTATTTTTTTATTGTTTTTGATAGCAAACCATTTTAGCATTGTGGAGCCAAATTGCAGAGCATGTTCTTGCATTGCATCAGTGATGCGGATGAGGTGTACAGAATCAAAATGAAATGGTTTCTTCTCATTGTTGTGCACTACTAACATTGGCAGCAGCCACTTCTTCTCTCCTCTGACCTCTCAGCTCACAGCAGCTCAGTATCATCACACTGAGTGACCTTGCTGTAACTGTGCCGTTGTGCGTCTCCGTCCAACAGCACAAACAAATGGAAAAAAGCAGCGCATTTGCACCGTCTCTTTTTGTCTGCAGCTCTTCAGGTCAGCATAAATCCTGTAGGATTTATGACTGGGGGGGGGCAAAGTTTACCCTCCTATCCCCTCTTTTCACACACACACACACACACACACACACACCGTAATATTGTACGACTAGGCACTACCAGCTGTTGTGCCTTAGCAGCATGTATCAAAAGAGGATTATTATTTTTGTCATACTCGTCTCCCTGGTCACCACGGTGATAGCCAAAAACAACTCACTGTGGCTACAGAAGAGGCAGGCGCCGTGTCGACCAGAAGTGGACATCGTCACACAGGACGATGATCAATGTGGAGAGAAGAAGTCTGAGCGGGTATATATAGAAAATTACAAGAGTGCCGTAGATGCCTGCCAGTGAGTGTGATCTGTGGGGGGATACAAATAAGGGAGAGGCAGCTGGGGAGGCAGACTGTGTGTGTGTGTGTGTGTGTGTGTGTGTGTGTGTGTGTGTGTGTGTGTGTGTGTGTGTGTGTGTGTGTGTGTGTGTGTGTGTAAAGAGTGCCTTTTGGGGGTATTCATAAATAAAGGGGGAACATTAGGTCAAGGCTGTGAATTGCTGTCTGCCTCTTGTCACGCTATGCTCTCCCTGTATCATGAGGGTTATGTGCGTCTCATATGTCATCATATTACTCCTTATCTTTTATAATTCTTTCATCTCTTGCATCCCACTGTCATCATCTATCTTTTTTACCTTCATTCTCTTAGATATCTTCTTTTCCTGATATTTTATTCTCATACCTTTATCTTTCCCCTCCTCTTCTGAGGCATTTTTCTCTTTTTATGTTAAAATGCCTTTATCAGTGTAATTCTAGCCGAATCTCCATATCATTCATTACTGAAGTTATATTGCCCTGCAGCATCTTTTCATCTGTCTGTTTCGGGCTCCTGTCATTTTTCTCTCTGGTTAGTGCACATCAGCACCCCGTGCCTCTGCAGGGCTGCCCCCTGTTTGCATGTGCCGCACTGATGTGTACATGAGTGCATGTGCAAAGGGAAAGTGCTCAGTGACGCGCCTTATGGTCTCTGTGTGTACGACAGAGGCAGAGCATGAGGGGGAAAGCTGTGCTGCATGTGCTGCTGGCACAGTGGGACAGTGTGTTATCATGAGAGGGAGGGAGGGAGCTGGTTGAGTGAGTGAGTGAGAAAGAGAGAGTGAGCAGAGAGCTTGTATGAGAGGGAGAGAGGGAGGTTTTTGTATCCCACTCTACAGACAGGACTGCTCGGAGTCAGAGGGAAACACTGAAGCTGCTTGTTGAGAGGTAAAATCACTCTCTGTGCTGTATTTATTTTGTACTGCTGTTAGGGTTTACTCATAAATATGCAGCTTTCATATACTTAGGGCATCTTTTATTTTTCGCTGAGCAGCAGTTTTATAACCCTCTAGCCTCTTCCCAGTGTTTGCTCTGATAATGCGGCATGTGATTGTGCATATTACTCCATTAAAGCTGTAAGTCAGAGCGCTCCTGCTTTGCCAGGAGAGAGGATTTCATTTACTGTGATTAAGGCAAGTGCAGAAACGAAGCAAAGACCCCCGCTGTGACCTATAAAAAATACAGAGATTTTAATTTTTAATACCAGAGAGTGAATGTATAAGATTTACTTTTTAATGACTTAGTTTTGTCCATATGTGCATGTTGGCAGGATAGAATCTGTACTTGGAGCCTGTATGCTACCTTAAATGCCGGTTTGGGGTATAGATGAGTGTGTGTATGTGTGTGTGCAGTGCTTGTGTATGTGTTGGCATCAGTTCCTCTACTTCTTTTCTGTGTGTACTAGTGTATACTTATACATCTGCATGCATGCAAACTTTTCTTGCCTTCAATTTCATCTCGACCATGATAACTTGTGTGGTATATACAATAGGTACTGTATACTGTATGGAATTACATTGCATTTTCCCACATTACTTCTGCATCTATTTACCTTAACACCATCTACATGCATTTTTGCCACATGTGTAATTTCTACCATGTGACACCCAGCATAAACAAATGGCTGCATATCAGCCCCAGTCTAACATCATGGAGAAGACTTTAATCTTGCACAGATGGTTTCACTGTGTGTTCATACACACCAGCTGTTCTGCTAATGTTTCATGCTGATTTATAAACTGATATAGATATCATGATAATACACTATAGTGGAACCTGAGTTTATGTAATAAGTACTTGTAGTACATTATAACGCAGACCAATTGTCCTGATTAGTACCAGTGAAGCTAAAACAGAATTGCAACACTGCATGCAAAGTTTTCTTTCTATCATCACAATGTATCTAAGAAATAATCTGAATATTTATCAACCTGATTTACCCCTAGTTGTTGGGAATTTTTTTTGGTACCTGTTTTGCTTTGAGCAATATGGCATAGTGCCAAGCTTTTCTTGTCTGGTTGTCTCACCTCAGACGACATGTTATCCTAGTAGCTCCGTGTGTTGTTGTTTGGCAGTGACAAAGTAAAAACCAAAAGAGTTGACAGAGGGAGAGTAATAAAGAGAGTCGTCTAAGCCCAGGATGTAAGCAGAAAGTCCTGTCATTAACAGATGTGTTGAGCCATCGACGTATGGATGTCACATTATTGTTACTTTTTATAACCACTGACGACATGGCGCGCTGTGTACAAATAGTTCTCATGCTTGAATAAACTTGACTGCTCAGCTTGTCTTATTAACAATAAAGTATCACACAGCTTAAACACACACATACACACAGGCATGCATGCAAATGCAGGGTTTACATTTACCCAGTGCCTTTAATTTCCTGAGAGCGTAAGCTAAGTGATAAGTGCACAGCCAGTGTTGCTTAATATTCCAGGAATTAGACAGCTTTTATGTTAGTGGGATCATAAAAGTGTCATTTATCATCAGTTAAGCATGAAAGTTACATAAAAGACAGATGCAGACACTTAGTTGTTATAAATGTGTAAGATATTTGTGGACATTTTTTGAAATGTTGTGGGCAAAGTATCATGGACCAAATTCAGATGTGTGATATGAAGATTCTTCCACAGGAGACACAGCTGTAACACAGATCTATTTACAGATCTATCAAAATGTCACCGGCTGGTGCCAGTACAGCAAGTGGACTTTAGAGAAGACGGACAGACAATTAGACAAAGTGAACCTTTAAGTGATCTGGTTCAAAGGGACAAATGATCTAAAATAAGAACCTCCATTAAAATAGCTTTGTGAAATCTCTCTACACTGTGTCATTGGTTTGTATGTTCAGCTGTTGACATCCCTCTCACGTCAAGGCTTGCGCTCTATTACTTTGTTTCTGTTTACCTCTTTTCTGTCTGCCCTCCTATTTTGCTGATGCCTTATTCCCTTCATTCGAGCTCTGTGTAGATCACTGCTCCCTGGACAGATTTTGCTGTAAACCTTCATCCATACCGCCTCTTTTTCTCAAAGGCTGGTTGTCATCTGTGACTTGCCCCAACCACGTGCGACGCTTATCGAGGTGTCCTCTGTCATCTAATGTTGTTGATTCAGAGCAATAGGACATTCTTGTATCTCACGGCGGGAATGATTGTAGTTATCCTGTCCCCAGGCACTGTAAGATGAGAAAAAGAGAGACAGTGTGAGGCTGCAGTTTAAGTGGCATTATGCAGGGGGGGGGCAGGAAACACAAAAATGGGGATCAAAGATGAGAGGAAACCAGAAAAAAATGTCGAGCGATAATAAGAAGAGAAGAAAGAGGGAATGCTATACTTTCATGTAAATCCTCCTAAATCACAGCCACTCCTAAATTTGCCCTCTGGTAGCTTTGCTGAAATGTTAATAGTCGTTCCAAAAAAATTAAAGCCTCAGAGTTTTATTTTAGCTTCTTGGGATTTTCTGTGAGACTATGGAATTTGGAATAAGCAGTGGTTATTTAGCTTTTCCAATTTCAAACAGGAAGGCTTACTCACTTCTCCCTCTCCAGAGTGTGATGTCAGATCTGAGGTGCCTGTCAGGATGAAACTCACTCCTCCTGGACTGCAAACTGACGCCTCTGTCTTTAACACTCACATGTATCTCCAGCTTCCCTAAAACTGACTCAGCTGCTCCAGCACAGCACTGTGTTGGACTTCCTCTCCTTTGGAAAGGAATGATGATTTATGATGTGGCAGTAAAAACTTATGAGATTCACGCTGCAGTAAATCTGTGGTCGGGCAGCTTCACAGCAAGAAACACTTAAAGAGTTTTCATGTTGATAAACGCTCATTAATCTGTCAGATCCTTTTTTCAATCAGAAAGGATGTAAACTTTATCTAAAGGAGAAGTTAAAACTAGGCAATTTCCAAAACAACCCATATACCACTTAAAAACTTTTTGTCCAATAAAGCCAGTAAGTGAAGGAAAGTAACAGTCTGTTTGCATAAAATAGCATGAGGATGAAAAACAGGAGGAAATCTAAGGAGAGGTACTGTGCCATGTTGTCTTCAAACTTAAAGGGATATTCCGGCATAAAATTAGGTTAGGGTCAAACACACCATACCACAGAGTTAGACACACCCTCAAGAGATGAATGTTGCCGACCGCTTGCTTCTCTAGTTATACGGACTTTGATAACAACCGCACAATAGTAATACACAGCGGTCTGAGGAGCCATAAACAAACCTTAACCAAAAAGCCACTCTATAGCCACAAATAATGCTCAGAACAGCACCTAACTTCATCAACAGTACATAAAGGGTCCCAGTCATAGCACTAGCCACCAAACATCTTTTTAGCTTTGCCTGATTTCTTAAGCAAAGAGACTAAACACAACTCACCTACTCTCCTCCAGCAGCCACTTGTTTGTAGCAAGACCTTGGGACAGTCCATTACAGACTGCTGCGGGGTGACACAGCTCTAAGAAGAACATTTATGATCATTTCTTCATGGAAATGCAATCATCACCCCGCAGCAGTCTGTAATGGACTGTCCCGAGGTCTCGCTACAAACAAGCAGCTGCTGGAGGAGAGTAGGTGAGTTGTGTTTAGTCTCTTTGCTTAAGAAATCAGGCAAAGCTAAAAAGATGTTTGGTGGCTAGTGCTATGGCTGGGACCCTATATATTCACTGTTGATGAGGTTAGGTGCTGTTCTGAGCATCATTTGTGGCTATAAAGTGGCTTTTTGGTTGAGGTTTGTGTGTGGCTCCTGAGACCGCTGTGTATTGCTATCCTGCGGTCATTACTAAAGTTGGCATAGAGAAGCAAGTGGTCGGCAACATTCATCTCTCGAGGGGATGTCTAACTAGGTGTTACGGTGTGTTTGACCCTAAATTGATTTTACGCCTGAATATCCCTTTAAGACATATTTAAGTTGTATTTTTCCATTTCTCATAATGTGCTTTGCTTTGTCAACAAACTGTTGGCAACAGATTCATACTGATACCCAGCTCAGAAACTGTTGACTTTGGTGGTTTTTAATTGTGTTGATGGCTTTATTTTGTAGGAGGACAAGCTAAGCTAGCAGGTGATTAGCTGACCAAATCTGGAAAAGGGGGCAAACAGCTTGTCGAGTTCCTCCAGGAAAGTAGTGCCCTACCAGTTCCTCTAAGCAATGATGTTTTATTAATTTCTTTTAAAAGGGTTCATGGCTGTGTGTCCCCTTTATGCTTCAGAGTTTTTTGCTATGCTATTCATCTGCTGACAGGAGCTCCTCATAGAGATAAGAAATTTATGCTTTTATCTAACTTTGGGCAAGACTGTGAAAAAGCAAAAGCGAACTAGATGAGTTGAAAGTCACACAGCAAGCTAAAACTTTGTCACGTTTGCTACTTTAGCTTGATGAATGGTTTCAACATTTTATTTGATAAACAAGGCTAAGTGATCCATTCAACAGACCGGGCATCCGGTCCACTAACAGCCGCTCAGTCCCTGAGGGCGTCGTTCAGTGCTGTCATTGGCACCTCACTAAATGCTAGCTGATGAACAAGACAAACTGAACCAGATGGCTCCTTTCCCTGTGGCTCCAGCGTGCAGTCCATGCATTAATGAAGAGCCCGAGGCTGGCAGAGCTACCAAAGACACGTGTTTACACTATGCATGTGAGTGTGTGTGCGTGTGTGCATGTGTGTGTGTGTGTGTTTTTTGTATGTGCTTGTGTACATGTGAACCTGGGTTGACCAGCCCTGACATCCTGTTGCAAATTGTTTCCTGTTGACTCTGGTGTTTTCTCCCTCAGCCTTCATGCTGCACATCTCTTCTGTCTGTCTTTAGACCATCCTTGTCTCGTATGTGTGTATGTGTTTGTGTGTGTGTTTATGTTTTTCGTTGGAGTGTCAGTATACATGTGTATGTTGTGTCTGTCTCCTACTGTTCCTTCCTGGAGCAGACCACTTTATCCACTTAACCACTGTTATTAAGCCTATTAAGAGACAAGTTCTCCCCTATGGCTGGATCTCTGTGTTTTTTCATTTCCTACTGCAGGTTTTGTAACATGTCTGTGATCTGTGTTTGTACATTTATACAAGCAGAGTATGGAGGATGGTTACTTCCTGTTTTGGTATGTGAAAAGAACTGATTAACTCAGGCACAGATGTGCATGTTACAGAAATCATACCCAGATAACAAAAAATAAAAACAAACAAACGAGAGTTATTGTCAGTGTTTCTCAGACCCGTGACAGTATCCACATGATGATGGCTTTATTTTGTCATGCCAGCAGTAGCATATTAAGATGAATTTTCTCTGCCGTGCAGTAACCAATCATCATGCCCTCTAGCTCTTCGGTTTCCCCTCGTACTTACTCCTCCCTGGTTCCCATGTCTGTTCATGTTTCTATCCTTCTTCACATCCAAGTGCTCCATTAGTCTTGTGTAATGTTGTGTGATGTTCCCATTTTGTGCATCACAGTGAAAAAGACAGTTATCGTTTCGGCTTTGAGCTAAAAACTCATAACCATTATCATCTTTTAGAACATGCATTAGGAGGGCTATTATACATACTTTATAATGCTTTATACCTGACATAATTGTTCCTCAGTCAATGCCTTGTTGTGAAATGAAGCTGAAGTGTGAGTACATGACGAACAGCCACTGGACTACTGCAGATGAATCAACTTCAAATGTCTGAGGCTGCTAGTGGAAATACTGTTACAGTTACATTATCTTGGACCTCGAATCAAAATCACTTGACAATCAAGTATGTTGAGCATTAGTTGCCTGTATTAAGATGAAAGGTACAGGATGTCATATTTAGTGGTATTTAGCAGAACAGACTTGATAGAAATTCAAGTACAATATTCATAAATATGTTGAAATTAGGGTATAGCAAATTTTGTCATGATAACTTAGGATGAGCCGTCTGTACCTACTTATATGGTAGGTTTCCTGAAACAGAGGCCACCATCTTGCACTGCCATGTTTCTACAAACGCACACATGGGATAAACCAGCAAGGACCATGTGTGTTTTTGTATTTTGAAAGAAAAAAATTAAAAAAAAGGATGATATTTATCTTGCATCACGGCAGTTTCTTGTCCTCAAAAGACTCCTCTGGAGCATCAATGATGGGAGGAATGAGTAAGGGACTGACCATTGAGTTTGACTAAATATTTCCATTTCTGCCTTTAAAGTGTAACAAAGGATGGTTTATGGGTTGATCATAAAATCAATATATGCCTGGAAGTTAGGAAACCTTGCTGAAATGTCCCTCGCTGAGGTTCTGGTTTAGCTCCATTGGTTGAGCAGGCACCGTCGATATAGAGGATATAGTCTAGTAGACACATTAGTTACACGTCTAACTACAAGCTTTTCAACCCCATATACGCTCTTCTTCCTACATTGCCTAACTTTCTCCAGCTGTCCTATCCAACAGAAACAATAAAAGCCCCAAAACCACCAGCAGAAATGTCTCTTATCATAGACTGGTTTGTTCTGTCAACAAGGTAGCTCTGGTTCATGTATTTCAGCTCGGTTACTGTTGGTTGTGTAAGTCATAGATCATTGTGATTGTCAGGCATTTGACTCATTAACCTGTTGCCTGACGCCTGTCAGCACTGGCCTCAGAGGGCAGCTCAGCTGTCAGTCAACTTTATGGGAGAGTTCACAGGTCAAAAGTTGACAGTGTGTCACCTGTCTAGGTTTACAGTTGAAGCTTATTGTTGTTGTTGAGTTCTTTCTCTTTTCATTTCCTTCTTGCAATCATTGCACTCTCTTATCCTGCCATTGTTATACATTTACTGTGATTTGTGTAGCCTGTTTACTTTACATTAAGAGTGTAGTACACTTGAGAATCCAGGTTTCACTCCTTTCCTTGTACGAAATATTCTGTAGAGGACAAAAGTACAGAAACCCGTTCGTGTCTATTTGTAGAGTGTTGTGGCTATTTGGATGACCTCAGCTCTCCTTGCTCTGTTTCTGTGTATACGTGTGTTTGAGGTTTTGGCAAGTTGTTGTTGGCTCTCACCAGCAGAAAACCAGGACTGCACGCCACATGTCTAGTCTTCTCCCAGTAAACTTGAGCCATCCCTCTCCTTCCTGCTTCTTTACGAGGTCCACAACACAATTAGCTTTTTCATGAAGTACTTCTTAATACACTGCGGATGTTACAGCAGAAAAATAATTTAAATTAGTCTGTGCCATATCCTCAGAATTAAAAGTGTGTTCAGTAAACTTCAGTGCCTGTTGGCCTGAACCAGGCTCTGTCTGTATTTGTGTGCTTGTGTGTATTTTTGTCACTAACCCGTCATGTGGAGCAGCCAAATCATTGTGGACAGCCTCTTCCTCAAACCAGCTGCTGCAGACTGCAGAGAGGAAAGTGAGAATGAATGAGCTATCCTCTCCATCATCTCTTCATCCCCTCATCCTTTCATCCCTTCATCTGCACTGCTGGAGCGAGACCAAGAGCATTAAACCAAACACATGACTTGGCATGTGCAGCTTCATTCCTGATGTGTTGATGTGTCCATATGGTTGTGTTCAAAATCAACCATGTCTCATCCATTTTCTTTCAGGTATCTCATACCTGTGCCTCAACGCCAGACCTGGTAAGTGTGTAACCATGAACTCGTGAAAAAAACTAGCTTTATATGATATTATGCATTAATCATTTCAGGGTTTCTTTCTTTCATTCTTTGTGTCTCAGCACGGCTCCACTAAATCCACACCCCAAAAGAAGAGAGGCTCCCTACCCAGGTAAAGAGAAGTCTAAATGTCATGATAATAGATACACAACCATTTAATATACAATAAACATTATAGAATTTAAACTCTGACCTCTGAAGTGCTGCACTAAAGCAATAAATCCTTAAAATTTCAGGAGTAAAAGTGTGGAAAAAGTGATGGAGCATGTGATGGAGCATCACTATGACTTTGACCTCACCTACATCACAGAGAGGATCATCTCTGTCTTCTTCCTGCCGGACCTGCAGGAGGAGCGATACCGCAGAAACCTACAGGAGGTGGCCTCCATGCTGAAGTCAAAGCACCAAGACAAGTTTCTTGTAGGTCGTCAAACAATCAAATTTTTAAACCTTAAGTAGCAATGAGTCTTCAAAATGAAAGAAAAAAATGTAAAAAGTCCAATGAAAGTTCAGGTTTTACTGCATCCAGCATCTACAGAATAAAAATTTCATTCGTTGTTATTGGCTAAAAAAAACACCTTGTTCCTTTATATACTTGATTCATTATTTTCTTTCTTTCTTCGTGTTGTAGTGAAAAACATATTTGTGGCAACATATTTTTTTCCCTGGCTTTTCCAGCTGCTGAATCTATCAGAGAAGAGACATGACATCACCAGATTGAACCCAAAGGTGAAGGCATACTAAAACAATTAAAAAAATATAAATTAAATCTGACACCACTTTCTTTTTTTTTTTTTACCTCTGGGTACATTGAAATGTTTGACTGATTTAAAAAGCACGACTTTGAAACATCTTTCTCTCCCTGTGGTTCAGGTGCAGGACTTCGGCTGGCCTGATCTTCACGCCCCACCCCTGGACAGAATCTGCGCTGTGTGCAAAGCCATGGAGACCTGGCTGTCTGCTGACCCCCTCAACGTGGTGGTTCTTCACTGCAGGGTCAGCGCCACTCCAGTACAGTTTTCAGAAACGCAAAGCAGGGGGGAGAGAGAGAAGAGTGAGGTTGTTTAACCATCACTTTGCCTTGTGTTCTGACAGGGACACAAAGGGAAGACAGGGGTCATCGTGGCAGCCTACATGCACTACAGCAAAATTTCAGCTGGGTAATCTGCATCACTGTTGATCTACAAAATTGATCTTTCCAGATGCGTGAAGATCAATTATGTGCAGTATACTGAGTCTGTATATTGAACGGTCTAGATTCTATATATTTTTAGACAGAATTTAGACGTTGCTTTACTTTAACCCATTATTCAATAACTATTTATTTCAAAAAGCAACTGTGAGTTGCATAACTGATCTCCAAGTATTCAACCAAAATAATTATGATAGCCATTGAGCAGTATACAGTTAGAGCTCTGTTAACTGGCTAGTCTACACTTGGTCTAAATTTAGACATCTAAAAATCTTTCATTTTAGACCAGTCACCTAGGCTACATTTAGACATCTATTAGACCTCTTTTAGACCAAAAAATGCTCAGTGGGTAGCTATTGATTACCTTCAACAGAACCCTTGACCTTTAAAACCTCCTGTTACCTCTTAATTTTCACTTGCATGGACATGAACTGAAGCATAACTAAAAAGCATCTGTGGATCTGTCCACAGAGCGGATCAGGCTCTCAGCACTCTGGCGATGAGAAAGTTCTGTGAAGACAAAGTCTCCTCTTCCCTACAGCCTTCTCAGAACAGGTACAATGCCTCTCTGTATGTACACCCTCCTCTGATTTGTGTCATTACTGCTTCTGCTCTTAACACATTTTCTACACCTCTCCTCTCCAGGTACATCTACTACTTTGGAGGTTTACTGTCAGGTACCATCAAAATGAACAGCAGCCCTTTGTTCCTACACCAGATCCTCATTCCATCACTACCAAACTTTCAAGTAGGAGGAGGTCAGCAATCTTAATCAAGAGATAGCAGTTTTATAATTATAAGAGCTCCCCTTCTTTTTTAATTACTCGTCTCGTTTGAAATTATCTCATCAACCTCCTTCTGTCTTTTCAGGGTATTACCCTTTCCTGAAAATCTACCAGTCTCTTCAGTTGGTCTACACCTCGGGTGTCTAGTAAGTACAAAACATCACATGAGCAGATCTTTTTTTTCTCTCTGTGACAGATGTTGTATGTACAGACCACGGTCTGTGTTTATGTGTAGGCTGGTCAGTGCTTACATTCAGGTTAATGTTGTTTACTTCTGTTTTATCCAGCTGAGACATGTTTGGACTGGTTTTATGTATGTGTTAAACTGATGTGCTGCTGTGCTTTCATTTTATTTCAATTCTGTGTGTGCGTGTGTGTGTCCAGTGACCCCCAGAGCTCCAGGGCAAGGAAGTTGTGTATAACAATGGAACCAGCACTGTTACTAAAGGGGGACATTATGGTAAGGAATGTCTTATCATGAATTGTGTGCCACCAATCAGAAAACTGTTTTATTCTATGAAATCTCATCCACTGACACACTTAAAGACTGTCACTGAAATAACTCAGCTTCTTTTCAGCTTAATCCTGCAGTCGAAGTCTCCCATTCCTATTACCAGACTGCTGGCTCTGATACACTTTCAAATCTTTTCCTTTGAAAGTACTGGATTATTTTTAAACCACTTAAGCTACAAATCCTCTGTGGACTATGAAAATGCGCACTTGATTATTTTCTTGCGTTGTCTTGCATGTCTCGCTGAGACGGTTAAAAGGCTTCAGAGCCCTTAGGGACCTCGAAAGAAATACAGTGACGACTACCAAATTAAGCTCAAAGAATACTGTGGAAAGTGGATGAAAATGGGCTATATTTGTGTTTTTGTACTTCTATGTCATCACTTTGAGACATTCCTTGTATTTTTGCATCTCACCATATTGCTCTAGGTGAAGTGCTACCATCGGAGGAGTCAAGCAGCAGAGAGGGAGGTGGTGTTTAGAGTCCAGTACCACACCTGCACTGTTCATGGAGCCCAGCTGTGGTTTGGCAAGACTGAACTGGACATGGCCTGCACAGGTATAAAAGCAGAGACTGTAAACCTTCTCAGGAAACGTATGGACCAGCAAGGACATATATTAAGAAAGGGTTTATATTGTTAACACACTGTGTGTATATATCGAATCCTCACGCGTTGGTTAACACGGTTGTATAATTCAAAACCCTCCTACTTTCCAGATTATTGTGGTGTTTGTATGTATTTTGAGGCAGATATTAGAGGACAGCAACATGTAAGATGAAAGAGAATTGCTTGTAAAAGACCAAGTAAGCAGCAGTCTCATGACAATTGCTCTCAGTGCATATAAAGTTGAGTACTATGCACATCCATGAATGAAAGTAAAACAGACACATTTAAAAGTGTTAGGCCCTGTTTCTGTGACCAAGAGTGACAGCATCTTTATTTTAGTATCTGTATTTATTCATCTCAAGGTTTTTGCTTCACAGACCACTATTTTTTGTCTGTGATTTTTTTTTCAGTCTCTTCAGTTACAGTCTGGATATTTTCGTAACTTCCTTTATGCTTGTCTTTTTGTAGATGATAGATTCCCTCCTGATGCTACAGTCGAGTTTATTTTCTCCAGCGGGCCAGAAAAAATGAAAGGTGATTTTTGTCAGCTACTCATCTGTCACTGTATCTGGTACACCTAAGATCTTTCTTTTTATATTTCCTGTCCTTCTTATTAAAATGTCTGTCTTTTTAGGTCGAGAGTACCGAAAAAATGATGCTTCCATCAAAGTGGACTTCAACACATCAGACCCTGTGGTCAGGTGGGATTCTTATGAGAACTTCAACCTTCATCATCAAGACAGCATGGAAAGTAAGAAAACATGGACATAAAACTTTTACAGTACTAGGGTAAAACAAAACATTACATTTAGATATTTCTTTCAGATATCTGTCATACAAGAGGTCCTCTGGATGGCAGCTTGTACGCCCAGGTGAGGAAGCGCCGTGGGCCCGGCTCTACCGCCTCAGCAGCATCAACCAATGGATGCCTTACAAGTAGTCCAACAGTCAAATCTCAGCCACTCACCTACACCCCTGACTCCAAACGCTCCTCAGTCCTCTCCGATCTCCTGGAAGACACCAAAAATTGCCCAGAAAGAGAAAGCACTAAATCTCCATCTGGGAAAGCAGAAGGGGAAGACGGAGCAAAGGAGAAAACAAAAGGGAAAGAAAGAGACAGAGAAACTGCGATTTTGGATGATGGAGACCCGTCAAGTCCTGCGGTTGCAAGGAGGGAACACTTCTGCTGCGGTCGAGTAGGTGCAAAGTGTGGTGAAGTTAGTTGGGAGAGGGAAAGAGAGCCCTGCCTATCTAATGGTCATTGTCTGGGTCGTTGCAACAGCATTAAAAACCACCCAAAAAGCCAAACTCTGCCAGCCTTACCAACCAAATCTATGTCCCCGCCTCCTCATTCAACACACATGGAACTCTGCCATCGGCATAGCTCTCATCCTCTACCAGAGTTACCATGGGAACGTCCTCCCCCTCCCCCACCCCTGCCTTGTTTCCATAGGCCTTGTTATCCATACTCAAGCCCTGAACATGCCCACCCACACAGCCACACCCTCCCAGCCTCAAACAGACTCTGCACCGGGGAGGAGTGTCAACTCTTCCATTATTCCAGCCAAGGCCCAGCCTCTCATCTGTCCCATCAATCACTGCCCTCCAGCCCGTACAAAGAAATGTTCTTTGGCTCTCCATCTCTGTCCTCTGGCTGCTCCTGTCGGGACTGCTCCACCCGAAGAGAGCACCAACCAGCTCCAGTTAGAACATTCCACCCCCTGCACCCAGACCAGTTGGAAAACCCCCACTGGTCTAAAGGAGTGGGAGTACAACGAATCAGGGAGGCCCCTCCACTATGGGAATGTGAGAATCCATGGGAGTTAGGGAGAGACGCAGGTATTTGGCACTGCAAATCTGCAATGCCGGCCTTTCATATATGCCACTCCCCTTTGGATCAAGGTCAGAACCTGGAGCAACCTAGATATGCCATTGGACCCCATCAGGGCTTCCCAAGTCCACAATCTCTGGTAGATGTACGGGATGGGGCTAGCAGTGGGTACCATACCCCCCCACAGCCCCGCCACTCTTGCCCCTGCTCTTCTTATCAGTCATCCCCAGCAGAGAGCCACGAGAGCCGGGGCTATGTATCTGGATACCATTCTGAATCTGCCTCACCTCTGCCTGCTAGCAGCCCCTCTCCTGGGAGAGGCCTAGTGCCAGAGACTCCATCGAGATCCAAAGATCAGCAGCAAACTGAGCATCATAAAGGTGAATGATGAATACTGAGGGGATTGGTTGTTATGTGGAAAAAGTATGTTTGATACTTCTTGTATCACTTGTTCTGCATTTATTTGTAATACCTTCATCTAATCTGATTAATCTTGCTTCTTTAAGTGGAACAAACCAAGGCTGATGCAGAAGATGCCATATCCCAGGGTTCAGAAGGTCAACTGGAGTCAAATGGCCAATCAAGCACTGCTGGTGCGGACTCTGATCATGACTACACAGTCATTGGTAGTGGCAGTCCAACACACACAGAAGACAGGTTGGTGTAGCTTTTGTTTTTGTATGTTTACCAAGTAAAACTTCAATGATAATCATGTTATCTTCACTTTCTTCAAAGCGTAACTGCTGATAGCCCTTCTCAAAGCCAAGAAACCCCTCCATATTTGGAGTCCAGCTCAAATGGTAGTCAAGCTACAACTCCAGTCCTAAGAGAAACGCAAAGCCAAAGTTCCAACATATCCTTAAACTCTACACAACCACCAAGTGAAAAAGGTTCAAGCTTAAATGAAAAGCCTGCAGAAGCCAAGATCCAAGGAAGTGCAGAAGGAACGAACCAATCACGTGCTTCAAGCTATGCCACAGTCTTCATCACTCCAGTCCAGGTGCAACTGAATGGCTCTACACTTCCAAGTGACACACCATCTGACAGCAGCAGAGCGCTATCCATGAACCCTTCAGCCAGCTCCAGCCCTTCCACCACTTCCCCAAATTCTCCCATTAGCTCCCCAGATCTCCAGTCATCTCTTCAGTGCTCCATATCAGCTTCAGATGCAGCAGGACAAAGACTGACACCTGACAGAGACAGCTTAGCTGACACCAAACCACCATCTCCTGTGCCTGACGGGTATCATACACCAACCTTTCCCTTAGCATCATATTACTACCCATTGCTGAATGTTCCTCATGTACCATACACGGGATACACTGCTGTCACTATCCCCGCCATCCAGCCCCCACTCCCTGAGAAGAAACGTCTTTCAAACACAGCAGGATCCCTTAATGGACACAACTCCCTCCTTCGTGTCTCCTCTGCTCCTTCCCCTACACACCATGTTAGTTTCTCCTCAGCTGTGGTACAGCAGAGACGAGGGTCTGCACAATTCAGCAGTAGGGAAGACTTGGACAATAGGGTCAATGCTAAGTTTGTCCAGGACAGTTCCAAGTACTGGTACAGGCCTGGCATCTCCAGGGACCAAGGTGAGAGTAAAAATGGCACATGAGGAAGGATGTGAAATGTTTGTATTTTTTACTATGAAATAATTCAGTCAAGCAGAAGCTCGGCTACTGACATATAACCCTTTATTGCATTTTTTGTTTTCAGTTATAGCACCCTAAGTCTAATGTGTCTTATCTTTTCAAGCTATTGCTGTTTTGAAGGATAAAGAACCAGGAACCTTCCTTATCAGAGACAGTAACTCCTTCCAGGGAGCTTACGGTCTAGCCCTCAAGGTGGCAACGCCGCCTCCTAATGCCAACATCATTGGCATCAAAGGTACCCATTATGAATTTTTAATATAAGCAACAAGTCTGCTTCCCAATTGGCCCTTTTCATATGATTATATGTGGAAAAGTCAGCCCTTATTATTCAGGCTCCTAAAACTGCACATTGAGTGAAGGGTAACACACATAATACACAATGACAATGACAAAGATAACTGCTGACAAAAATGTCCACACTATCACAGAAAATGAGCATGAATGTTTCTAACTTTCTTGTGCATATTTTATGCTTTTTGAGTTTTCTCTGAGTTAATCCATATACCCTACTTTTCATTAATGGTTTTTGAATTTCCCTCTGGGCATAAATGGAGTTATTCTTTTTCTTATTCTTATTATAGTGAGGAGAAAAATTAAATCTTACATCGTAAGCATTTTATTTTTTAACTTAAGTTTGTTTCAGTGAGAAGCACATAACTGAATCTGAAATGTATTTTGATCAGTCCTTATTATTCTTGTGCATTTCTGTGCATCTTGCTTTGCTTTAATGAACATATTCCTTACAGATATTCCTTATTTACAAATGCCTTTTGTTTGCAAACGATCAGTGAGGTACATTCACGATCAATCAAGAGCAGCACTTTGGTTTTGATGGGTCCAAAATAATCAGAACGTCATTTTTATTTTTCTTTGTTCATGAGTTCTATCTGCAGCAAGAAACTCTGTCATGTTTTCATCATATCCCCTCCCCTCTCCTCTCCGCCTTCTATCTCAGGGGACCCTCTGGAACAGCTGGTGAGACACTTCCTCATCGAGACAGGGCCGCGGGGAGTGAAGATCAAGGGCTGTCAGAATGAGTCCTACTTTGGTCAGTTATGCGACAGACACAACTTCCACAATGTACTTCATATATTTAGCAACGCGTGGGGAAAAAAAAACATAATTATTGTGGTTACTCATAAACCCAGAGACTGTTTTCTTAACATACTAATTGATTTCAAATTTTTCATGATCCATTTTATGGTTGTTTTTGTCTTTCTCTGCTTTTCTCAGGGAGTTTATCTGCTCTGGTGTACCAGCATTCTATTACTCCCATCTCTCTGCCGTGTGCCCTGCGTATCCCAGAAAAAGGTAAGATGTACAATCATATGAAGACGTCACTACTTTGATTCCTAAATGAGACACCCACCTCACCAAATAAAGTAATACGACAAATATAATATACAATAATGGTTACCGACTGGATCTTACTGAGAAAGGTAGTTATTTACATGACTGCTGATGATGTTTCAGATTTAGTTGGGGAGCTTCAAGAGGTTCAGAGTGCGACAAACACCAGTACAGCGGCTGACCTCCTCAAACAAGGAGCAGGTACACAAGCTTATTTTGCCTCCACTGATTCTGCCGTGATACAATCATGCATACTAGACCTCTTAAAAACAGAGGAACAGCAGCAATTCTCACCTTTGACCAGCAGGGACTGCACAAGCCTCATATTTTCAAAGCGCTTACCTATTAGACCATATGTTACATTTGTTTACCTGAAATTCTTATCTCTCTAATTAACAAGCCTGCAACGTGCTCTACCTGAACTCTGTGGAAACCGAGTCGTTGACCGGACCTGAGGCAGTTTCCAAGGCAACCAAATGTACTTTGGCTTTGAGTCCACGTCCAGTGGCAACGGTGGTCCATTTCAAAGTATCTGCTCAGGGCATCACTCTAACAGACAGCAAGAGAAGGTGCAGAGACTAAAGTGTTCAAGTGCAGTAGATGTCACTCTTTATTATTTGTTATTGTGTGAATTTTTTTTTTCCATTCAGTATTCCTGGAGCTAATACTAAACACAAGTGATTCATACTGTTTGTGTTTACGCAGGCTATTTTTCAGGAGACACTACCCAGTGAACAGCGTGACTTTCAGCAGTGTAGACCCCCAAGAGCAGAGGTGGGTTACTAAGACAAACCTAAAAAGGCATTTAAAGTATGATTTTATAAAAATAAATAAATAAATAAAAAAACTTCAGGTTTTTACATGTCTGGTAAAAGGTCAATTATCTGAGTCTTTTCTGCTGCCTCTGCACAGATGTTTTCTGTTTTGACTTGTATTGTTATAACTCCTCTGTGATTTGCTTGCCTGCACTTTACATTGAGATGTAAAGCGTGAGTCAGAGCTCAGTCTTTGCTTAGTCTCTATGTATGTGTTATTCATGTTGTCCCATGTTTTGTCTCTGTGTCTCTATTTGTGCACCCGTGCTTCAGGTGGACTAATTCTGATAGCACTTCAAGCAAGTAAGTGCTTGCTTTTTTGTGTCTTATTTCCTGATCAAGTGATCCTTTTGTGCTACTTTGCATGGCAGTCAATCACAATGAGGCTTCTTACTAAAGGACTAATTTCTCATTTTTTCTGTAAATAGTACTCTGTTCACTTTTTCCTCTCCATTATCTGTGTATCTTTTATTCTGACTTCTCCTGTGTCCTCTTTTGCTGAAGGATGTTTGGCTTTGTGGCGAGGCGAACAGGCAGTGCTACGGAGAATGTGTGCCACCTGTTTGCAGAGATGGACCCTGAGCAGCCAGCTGTGGCCATTGTGAACTTTATCAACAAAGTCATGCTGGGACCGCAGCTACACAGATGAAAGAGAGAGCAGAGACTCTGGGTTTTAAAGGGATTTTGGAGAAATATTAATGTGAACTCGACATAGTTTTAATGTTGGATGGCCATACGTCCTCTTTTCCTGAACATGTCCTCTTTTTGGGGGGCTGTCTGGCCTGTCTGGCCTTGTCTGGGGGAGTTTATGAAATCCTTCAAATGTCCAGGGTTTTGTATGGAGGTTTTGAGTTTGTATAGCATGGACTAACTGAGTTAGAAAAGCATAAAAAACACTCGACCCGACCCGAAAAACCCTCAAAATTTTGTGTGCAACTCCACCCTGTGTAGTGGAATATGGTCACCCTAATTAATGAAGTGTGTGTGTGTACCTGTGCTGTTGGCACCACTGTATTTGGCAGTCCGATCGTTTCGAAGTCGACAAAGCGGTAATCCACTTTGTAGATTACCACTCTGGAGAGCAAAGTATTGTGTCAGTTTACGGAGCTACAAGCCAAAAAACTGACCTCACTTTTCTAACCTTTGCCAAATGAGATTTTTTCAAAAGTTTGGTTGTTTTCTTTTTTTTTCATGTTTTTTATTTCTTGACTGTTCACAAAATGTACAACCAACTGCTACAGCTACAAGAGTCACAGGACATTTACAGCACTGTTTCATGGTATTTAACATTCTCTTCATCATCACCTACAGGTATCAGAAAGAGTGAAAGTGGTCTGCAATAATATGTTAGAATGTCAGAATCATGTTTAAGGTGTGAGGTAGCATAACTGTATCTACTACAACTGTATACAATGCATGTACAACATTTTTTGATGCAATGTGAAGAACAGTAACAGAAATATTGAATAAAGGTTATGTGATTTGTTTACTTAGGGAGAGGACTTTTGCTACATCAGAAATGGTACTAACAATTAATGTAGGACAATCAACATGTTGTTCCCAAAGCAAATAGACTTTTGACACTGTGCTTTCAATTATTAACAAAACAAACATGTCTCCAACTTTGAACCAGTTGTATTTAACAAAGCATTATGTGGCTTATGACTGCATTAAAACAAGGGAATGAGAGGTCATAATCAGGTAATGGTATACATATAATAGACAAAACATAAATACAAGTTTTTTCCATCTACATATAAATAGTGAAACACCTTACTTTGCAAAATGCAATATCCAAAGTGTTTGTGAAGCAATTTATGAGAAAGAGTCTGTTTTGAAAAGTCTCAGATATTAAAGTAACATATATTAAGAATTTATGCCAAAGACTGAATACTGTGTGATTTTGATTTTTTATCACTTACATTTCATGTGTTGACATATGTGTTTTCTATCAGCTTAAATGCTATTTAGACAGTTTGAGCACAATTATTTTTCATAATGGATTTTTATGTAAAAGAAGTAATATATTTTGGCCATGTGATCTTGTGAAGAATGGGATGGGTCATATTTGACAGGCAATTTAAATAATAAAATCTATAAAATGCACGTGTGCTTCGTCATTTATAGGAATCAGAGTACAGATATTTTATGACATACTATAACACACGAGCTGGTAAATGTCCTTGACTATCTGCCTTTGAAAGCTAGAGTAAGTTTGACATGATTAAGAGACACCTGGCTTCCTTTACTCCCAGCTTTAAACTATTACTGATGTACTAATTATCTGTACTTCTTAACATTTGTTTTAGGTAATACTTAACCTATTTTCCATGTAATAGACTTGAGCAATAACTTTTTATTTCTTCTTAATGAATTTCTGAAAACTGCTAACAAGATTTTCTAATTCATAATTTCTGAGCTAACGACACTATATGCAGTCATTCCAATTTAGGCTATTGTTACATAACTGTTTCACCAGGAATTTAGTTTTTTTCACACGGATGATTTCAAATTCTCTAGTGGTACGGTTTAAAAGGATGAGGTCCCACCGAGATTTGAACTCGGATCGCTGGATTCAAAGTCCAGAGTGCTAACCATTACACCATGGGACCCACGCACTTCCCTCTACCCGCAATTGACAATTCCTAGGTAACACTGTTTTACTTTGCTCGGAGATTTATATTATCATACAGGGTGATGAAAATGACCTTGTTGCGATTTTAACAAAGCTGCACAAAATAATGTACGTCGACTCTGACACAAAGAGGCATCAGCAGAGTGTCAACCAACACTTCAGCTCAGCACCGTTGTAGCTAACCTAGTGTCGGCTAACTGACATGCTAACGAAGCGTGTTGCGAACAGGCAGCGGCGCTTCTGAGTAAATCCAGCGGCAGCACATCGTTTACTAACAACAACAACAGCAACATCAGGGGAGATGGTCGATAACATTAGTCTGGCAAAGCAAAACCATCAGACCTGTATTAACAACTTACAACACAGGAGGCTTTGGTTTTTCCTCGGCTACTTTCAATTCGGCGGGCTGTTAGCTAGCCACTAATTATCCGGTTTATCAAAATAAAAGCTTTTTTTTTTTCAAAATAAAGTTCAGACTTGATCTGTACTCATAAGTGTCGAATTACGTGTTAAATGAACAGACTGTGACCTGTGGCTCAACCAGATTTTCTTTTTGAACGATGGAGTTTGTCATTGCTCCGCGATTATTTATCTGAATTATTGTTTGTATTGTTTTTATCTTATTCAACAGTTTTTAGCTCCCTAAATGTATGTTTTTACCCAGAGCCAGCCCAAGGCATAAGCGAACTCAGGGCCCGTGGCCAATAGGGGGCCCCCAAAAGCGAAAAATAATATATGTAATAATAATAATATAATAATTTTATATATTTTTATTTTTTGCATGTATGAGTTATGCTTTCTGTATGATCAAATATATATCATTGTAAAAATAAAATAAAATAAAAGCACTATAGTGCTGCTGCTGATGTAGGCCTATGATTCATACTGCCGATATGTCAAAACTGTGCTACCGTTATGTGCTGTCTGCTATGCAATGTACACTGAGCATCCAAAGTGCAGGTAGTTGTGGGGCAAAACAATATCGCAAAAGGGACATATCCTCCAGGAGCAGGGAAAAGAAAAAAGAAGAAAGAGGAAGAAAAGAAAAAACGGCAAGATAAAGGTATGTTTGCATGTCATGGATTGTTAATCAAAGAGATTTGTGAAGGTGTGTGAATGATCAACAATCAATATTATTGGCAGAAATAGACGGCCCTGAAATCAAATTTTGCTTAAGGTCCCATTGAGGCATGGGCCTGCACTGTTTTTGTATTTATTTAGGTATTTCGTGTGACAAAAACCATTAAAGGTTCAATTAATATGTGACTGCTTGAAACTAGGTTAACTAAGTGGTACAGCTGTAAAGAAATAATAAAATAAAAAATAAAATAAAAATCCAGGTATTACAGGGCTGCAGGGGTGTGATGGTGAGCTGTTAAAGCTAAGGGGGCCCATGTGCAACTGTACAGGTTAACGGAGTACTGAATGATGAGTACTGTAGTCCCTTGTCCTCACAGAAGAGGGAACTAGAGAGACTTATGTCGTCCACTACTTGTGTCTGTGTTCAGTATTGCCATGGACAGGTTTCAAAAACTACTCTCTGCAATTTCAAGATCACAGTCAGTCTCGCCACATTACTTCATTTGAGATGCGGCTTTTGGAGCAACTGCAATATCTTTTCAATAACTGCTGTCACTTTTTTACTTTGTAATGTCTAAGACCCACACGGTCCCTGCTGTCTTCTGAGGAATTAAAAAAAAGAAATATAACCTTTGGTCTCTTAAGTCAATATTTAAAGAAGGCATAGGAATTCCAACAATCCCCTAGATTTACTGCGATACAATACTTTAGGGACAGGAAAATTATATTTTCTGACCGAGTACAGAGCTTACACTGTGCATAAAACATGGCTTTGTGTGTACGTGTATCATTTACTGCTGTTAATGTTCAAATTGGACAGCTTCTTTAAAATGCAAAAAATAAATCTTATGCCAATTAGAATAGAAAGCAAGGTATTATATGCTACTTTACTGAGTTAGTAGCTTATTTTTCAAGTATACAGCAAATGTGAAATTTGACCATGTAAACCATAGCACTCTTAATTTGTTTTTTTGCACACTCGCACTATTTCCAAAGTTGAGAATCTCAAATTTTCTAATCCCCTTTTCGGCAGTGAGAAACTGGTTTACTTTTACTGGTGTTTGTTTTTTAAAATAATGCATTGGTGTATTTCTGTAGGGTTACTGCATTGATAAAAAAAAAAAACATAAGCAGATATAATTGTTCTATACCTTTGAGAAAAGCAGCAAAACTGATTAAAAATTACTCCAAAGTGTAGGCTGTACTATGACATAAAAGAAATACAAATCAGTGCTTTATAAACACCAAAAGTGGGATGAGAGTGAGCGATCTTAACTGTCTGATGGCAGTGATGACGACGCTTTCCTCAACATGTCGGCTCTGGAAATAAAACAGTAGTAATGTTTTCCAAAGGGCAAAAGTCTGCATGCTCTGTGGACAAGGATGAGTGTGGTCTTGAACGATCCTGTGGGCTGCTTTTAAATATTCCATGTGTTAAATGTCCTGGACTGTTGAACATTTACTGCCTGTGAGAAACTATGCAGTTTACATCACCTGCTGTACAGCTATACAGTGCAGGGGGGTGTAGCTTGGACACCAAATGGGGATGCAGCTGCTGCAAATAGTGTAGAAGGTAGAGAGGATCTAAAGGGGCCATGCTGAATTTACATGTTGACATTTCTCAGTACTGCTGAGCCAAAGGAACCCGAAACTGCTGACTCTCCCCACTTAATGGCATATTGATGAGCATCATCTCCTTCAACTACTTCTCCAAGCATTCAATTTAAGGGTCTTATCCTTTCCATGCTTTCACTGTCAGAATCTATTTTTATACACAGACATACCGAATTACTGAAAGATATTGCACAACATTAAATAAGAGTTTACATGTACTCATTAAATCTGACTTCTCTCATGCTTCTGTTCTCAAGCAGCTGACTAGGTTAGATTTGTTCAAACCATACCTTTTACTATTTTAAACAGAATTATCATGCAGCGTTGTTTGCAATGTCTTGATTCTTCATTGTGACTGTTTTTTGAAAATCTTCTTTGGTTTAGTTGATTCAGAAACAGACTACTTGTGAAAGCTATGAAACAATCAGATTTCCATTCCTCTTTCTTAAAAACATATCAAGAGCTGATGGCCTCGGTGTTCTCAAACCAATGAAAGCGTTGCTACGTGGTTATGTGTGATCAGGGAGTACTGGCATGAGCTGCAGCACTGAGACTGAAAAAAGGAAGTGCCAATCTTCACCAGCAGTCCCCTGCCTGTCAGCAAGTCCAGGATTCAGTTGCACATGCTTAGATGTGGTCTCTGTGGATGTGGAGGGTTCAAGTGAATACTGTGCTGTTATCAGCAGTATTCTCACTTGTATGACAGGGCAAAGGGGGGTTAATGTGATCCTCAGATGGGCTGTTTGTTCTGTGCAAACTGCAGACTGTCTAGATTGCCCAAGGGAGGTGAGTCTTTCTTTACAGTTTTTGACCGGCAGCCCAAAGCATCCCACGATGATAGATGTTAAGTGGAAGAGGGTAGTCTCTGCAGGCAGGATATCCTGGGTTTCATAGGCATGAATGCATGCTATAGCAGTGACGTAGGCCTTGGTTGAGGTTATCCGTGAGACATCTGCCTGCTGATTGGCATTTACACTCAGGGTCCAGCCAGAGACACCCTGAGGTGCTTCAAATAAGTTTGTGTACCTGAGGGCTCTGCTCACATTAGGTGGAGACTATTTGCTTTAAGACATGCAGGGCTGTCATTTTGTTTAGAATACGTTGAGCTTTGGAAGCCCCTTTTTGGAGTGTGACTGATTGTAACCTTCAAATGCTAACTATGTTAATATGTTTTACTCACTTATTTGCTTGATATATTGCATTATATTCAATATATATGGTTGAATAACACCTCCTTACACTTTAGGATATTGTCAAGTCAAAATTGTCTGTCCTCAAAGCATAAGCCAGTATCCACTTTGTTAATATGCAAGTTATTTATGTCTCTGCACCACTGCCACAAAAACTAATTCCCTTACTTTTAGTGGGTCAAGTGTTTCTGATTTATGATTTCCACTCTCCTGTTTTCCAGACAGCGAGCCAAACCCAGTGTGCAGGGCCGGAGCATCTGAGGACACAAACTGGCTGGGCCAGCATACATGTCTGACATGGGTGTTGTGGAGCCAAACAAATCCCTGTTAGCTGAATGCCTTGATCCAGTGCTGGTGCCAGACTTGGAGACCGCCCAAGCCACAGGACAAGGATCAACTCCCCATGAGCATGAATCTAACACTCACACACTTTACTACCAGTTACTGCACATGAATCAGCTGTTAACAAGCCTTTGACACACATCTAAGGTAGTGTAGGGCTCAGATTATGTTAATTTGTGAGTTTTAGACAAAATAGAGCAATATAGCTCAGGTATGTGTGTGCTTGTGTTTTATGGCTTGGAACTGATTGTAGCATAGTTTGTACTCTTTAGCCTCATAGCTGGTACAAAATACGTGATTCCTCGACACTCAATGTTGAATTAATTTGCCAAATTTAGGAAATGTTTGTCGTGAAAATATTTGTTCTTCTGGAGGCAAGGCAGAGCTGGCAGGGGATAAAAAGAGACACTTGAGCTTCGGTTCTTCACCAGACGTTGGGAATAGGCTATATTGGAGCTTGTGAGGGTGCAATATACACAATGGGTAAACAGAGGAAAGGGTGAACCCACAACTTTTTGATCATAACTGTTGTATATATTTTAAGACAACCAATTTCAGTGTTTCAGCTCTTTGGTGCCTCCTGTTTACAATGATTTTGTGAAATAAGTAGGATCAATTTAATTTCCAAATAACACGAAAGACGAGATAGAAGATAAGTACATATTTTTGCTACAGTAGAAAAATAGTGTGTGTTTGATAAGAATTCATAACAGTCAAGGATTTTTATGGCATAACCTTGTAAACCATTATGAACTGATAGTGTTCTGTTTGCATGGCAGTTTATTATAAAGTATTGTGCATCATTTCAACAGTTTAGATCTGTTTTCCCCTGCTTTTCATCACAATTTCACCTTTTGTTTTCAGGCAGGAGCAGGAGGAAAGAACCATTCCTTGGAAGAGGATATATGGGACCGGATGAGGCCCTCCTCTCTCTTTCCCTCTCCCCTTCGTCTGCGTCGCTTTTACTGTGTTTACACTATAGACACACCCCTGACCTTCACCCAAGCCCCCTCCGCATCCCCCTTCTCCACCACCACACACGCACAATTTACAGCACATTCCAGAGCTGAAAATCATTTAAAAATGCATAAAAAAACACGAGAAGTTATATTAAAAATATGTGTTTTTCTTGGAGGGGACCATTTGTATTTGCGCTGCGCAATCTTGTAGTAGTACAGTTTAATCGGCTATTTATAGCTTGCTCGGCCATCTCTCATGCATTGCAAATGTATGGCAAGATCGCCATGCAGCGGAATTGCTTCCCAGCCTACCACTGTACTGCAGAGTAGACACACCCCTCTCTCTCTTACACACACGCACACACACACACACACGCCTCAATGCACACATTTGCAATGTGTCAGGGAAATAATGCAGCAAAATGCACCGAATGGAATATTCATAGTAAATCAGAGCTCGGCTTGTGTTTCCTGCCGCATGATATCGATGCTGATGGTGTTTTTTAGCTCATTTAAATTTCAAATGTACGGTTCGAAGCCTGACACTGAAAAACAAAGACAGGCCGACAGGGAGGAATAAACACGACTGCAGGAGGATTATTCGCCCCCTAGAGACACTCCGCTGTATCAAATGATAGCACCGTTATCCTTACACCGCGTGCCCATTGATTCAGAGATCACTGGCAAAACGATGTTGCTTTAAACCTCACGCGGTCAAAGTTGTTTACCTCTTCGTTACCTCTGACGTCACGACACACCCCTGTTTGAAAGGGCGGCACTCCAGGTAATGAGCAGCAAATTCGACCAATCAGCGCAGAGAGGGTCCAAATTGTCACCAATCACAACATGGAAGATACACCGAGCCGACCCGTGATTGGTCATCGGAGGGGCTGGGGGGGAAATTCCTCTTTCCCGTAGAGGTCCTGGAGAGGGGGCGGTGCATAACAAAAAGTAATGGCCATCTATTTGGGTCCTGAAGAAGGAAGGCAAATGCTCGTCGGACTACCGTAGCTGTGTTCGAGAATTTTTTTACGTTAGCGCGTATGTTTTGCCTGTTAGTAACGCCCAAGTAGCAACTCAGTCGTTTGTACGTTGAGCGTTCGTTCGTAACGGTCGTCAAACGGTTAACAAGCTGGCTGAACTTGATGCCGCGTTTTAGGGTTAAAGCAGGCAGCTAGCCACGCTAACGCTAGCTACTACCAGCGCCTCTCTAGTAAGAAAGCCAGTGGTTGGAAAGGGCGTACGAGTTTGACGTTTTCTCATCAAGTCTCCTCACATTTCTTCAGTTTTAGCACTACGAGGTCTTCTTTTCCTCAACGCTAACCCACCCCAGCCAACATGGAGGGGACACTGTTCCAAAGAGCATGAAGACGACGAGAGACCGCGACTGAAGAGGATTAAAAGCAACTCGGTCTTGATGGGGAAAAGTTGAGCGGAGGTATGAAAGTCGCATGCACAGGAGGAATGCTAAACTCGAGTTATTGTAAATTTCATTGCCCGTCACCGCAGAAAGAAACACATTCACACAGTTTAAGTATTCTGTATCAAGTGTTTACCTGCGCACTTACGCTTACGCCTTACTGCTGACTACCTCTATGATGTTTATCATTGAGAGTGTGTGTGTTTTTCTGTAGAAAATAATTCAGCGTTACATAAACGGAGCAACTGCAGGTCAGGTACTAAGAGTAAAGGCCTGCTCGGTGACTTACGACATGGCATTTTGCGTTTGTATTAAACAGGACGAACAACTTGGAAAACTGAAGAAAGGTTTCAAGACTCAGCTTTTGTACAAGGGCATGCTAAAACCTCAGGTGAGTTTTTTTTTTTTTTTGCTTTGTTATTTGGTGCGTACACGTGTATACTCAAGGTCTGCTGTCTTGTGTAAAGCACACTGAGACGGTCACGTGCAATTAAGTCCTCATTCATGTCTTTTTTAAGTGTCACATTTTCCACATAGATTTCTGGAGATCTCTGCACCAGTTGTTAGAAGTGTGTTTATTCCTATCATACAAGAGGACATAAACTGCTTTTAACAAGATTACAGTATATAGATATTTAATTTAAGTGTTAACAATGTGAAGATTGTAACACTATTGCTCAATTTAGGTCCTTTGAGATATATGTTTACATGCCTCTCTGTCATTAACGCTGTCAAAACTAGGGATGGGAATCGGTAAGATTTTATTGATAAAGATGCCATTATTGATTCTGCTTATCAATTCATTTTTGAACGATTCTCTAATCAACGCCTTACTTTGATTAAAAAAAAAAAGTAAACTATAGGTCTTTACCATTAAATTAAAATTTTATAGAGTCTCTGATATCAGAAGATATATGCCACCTTCAGTGAGAGTCTAAAAATAATCAAATGACAAACTATTCGTACAGCATTTATTTCTGTTGGTATTAAGTCAAATTAGGGTGACTTGATTCTGGATCCCTAAAAAGAGGACACTACTACGCGGGGCAGAGTCGTGCGCAAAATTTTGAGGGTTTTTTGGGTCGGGTTGAGTGTTTTTTATGCACTTTTAACTCAGTTAGTCCACAGTGCACACACTAAAAACTTCGACACAAAACCCATTGTCATCTTTCTTAGTAAAATGAACCCACACTTTTCATTTCTGCCTACTTTTCGTACCATTTGGCATGTTTTTTCCCCCCAAAGTCTTACGAGAACATTTTCCAAGGCACCCAGAAGAAAGGAATCGTTAAGATAAAGTGTAAATGATGTCGATAAATTAAACCATTTGGAACCGGTTCTCGATTCCCAACCCTGGTCAAAACTAGGGGAAAATGTTACTGAACAGGTTGGGTCATTAAATCTGAGTAATGGGGACTTTGTCAACACAATTGACGTTTCTCAGGGAATAATAATTTCCAAGACAAAAACAGAGTTGTTTCCCCTCTATAGATTAATACAACAACGATAACAGTATCATATCAAATCAATTTGTATTTGGCAAAAGGAAACAATAACATGGAATTTTCTTTGGTAATCTCAGTATGAAGTGCAGGATTTGGCCAGTCAGAATTTTTGTTTTTGAAACCTCAAACAATTTTTCTGAGAATGAAAGGAGGTCTTTGTTAGTCTCACAGACACAGAGATGCAAGGGTTGATATAAATATTTTTACAAGCGTATTTTTACACGTCATCAGTTCGCTTTACAGTAGGAAAGAACTGAGCACTGATCGTGACATAATTAATTACAAGACTCTTGTCTTTCTTCTATCTGAAATTCAAACAGCCCCTAACTGCTGCTCAACATTTAAAAGAAAACCTAAAGGGACCAAATACAGCTAGCAATGAGGGGTATATAACTCCTTGCTATTTCCCCAGTGGGCTTTCCTTCTGCTGTCATTCTCACACCTATCCATTTCTATTTATGAAACAGTTTGACTCTTGAAAAATAGCAGGAGGGTTTTTGTTTTTATAACAGCTGCTCCCCTGCACGATCTGAAGAAGAACAAAATGAATAAGTTTTTCCTTTTCAGCAACTTCTAGAGATTTTATGAGATGTGGTATAAAATGTGTAAATTTACACCTGCATAATTCTAGAAAGCAACAAGGAAATGATCAAATCAGCACCAAGTGTGTTGCAGCTTTTTGATCAATTTTCAATTAATTTGTCGGAAGAACAGTGATCATCAGCCACAAAAAAGGGTTTGGTTTGTGTCAGTTATTGATTGTTGCACGTCATCTTTGGAGCTGTGTGCAGTGGTGATGGTACAGTCCATTGGGTCTCCTGTACAGTGAAAACTACCCCACCCCCTTACCCCTTCCGTGACTACAGTAATTGGTCGCTTCCTCTCACATGTAACCCTATAGAAAGAAAGAGGCTGCTGTACTTAACTGTAGAGACCCACTTGTATATACTCTTTACATGCATGCTGTTTGCCACATATGTTCAGTTGCCTTTGGGACTAATGAAGTGTTAAGTTTCCCCTTAATGTCCTTGGGTCCTCAATTACCTCCTGTGGTTGATGGTTCCTTGGCCAAACACATCAGACAGGTAATGTTTGCTGTAAATGGAGTGCAAGTCAAGCAGAAAAAAAACTTGAAAAGCAAAATGTATGTCAGACCTCTATATTGATGGCAGCGTTTTTCAGTGTGTAGCTGAGTTACAAATGTTTATTTTGATAACCTTTCAAAAGTTGACTCTTCATTAGAAGTGTAAATGGAAGTAATGCCTTACTTTTTTCACATTTCTTGTCAAGTATTTCCTGTAAGGGAGACAGCATTTTATGGGCGTTATATAACTTTGGCTTATTGGCTAAGTGCATTTGCACCCACCTCACCCACATGTCTGTTGTCTGTCTGTCCAGCTGTGTCCAGTTGACGTGCAAGGCTGATGTGTGTGTGCCTGAAAATGTGCATCCTCTGTCAAAATCAGCATAGACATAAACAGGACTTTCGGTGTGTGTTTGAGTGGGCCTCTCCCTGCCTCTTCTCTTTCCCCTCTCCAGAGTCCAGCAAGGGGCCCAGCATAAGGGGGCAGGCTGCCGTCACTGCCTCTCTCTCTCCCTTCGCAGGCCAGCGCTGGGGCCTGGGCAGGGAGGGGGGCGGGGGGGTGGGGGGAGTGGTGCGGAGACCATAGGGTTGGACACGGGACATGGGACCCCCCACCCCTTCCACCCCCAGTTTAGCCCATCCTGTGTGGGGCACAGGTCACCTTGTCATGTGCTATTACTGCTGCTGTAACATGCTCCCTGTGATTGTAGGAAAAGAACATGAGATAGACCCGTGGAGGCTGCGGGAGGGAGGATAAGAGAGAGAGGGAAGGGAGAGGACAGGACTGGACTAGTCTGCTCAGCCAGTTGTTTAGCTGCATTACAGACTCATTTTGTTGTTGTAAGGTCCACATTGTCTCTTTTTGTCCATTGTTCTTTTCTGGAAAGAAAAGGAAACAAAAATCCTAATTATCAACCTGATTTTGAACTGAACTTCCTCTGTCAAAAAAATCCCTGATCACGTTTTGTTATGATAGTTTTCTTCATCCTAATTCTCCTTATTTTTTAAGATTCCTAATTTCTGACCTCTTCTCTGCTGTCGTTGTGGACCTAGATTTACTTCCATGTGTGAACCACAAGCTCATGTATTTCAATTGTAGCCCAGCTTTCTCTGCAGCCCGGGTCATTCCAGATCTGAATTGTTTTATGTCTCCCCTGTACTCGTAGTGACCCAGCCCGAGGTATGCAGTATAACACACAGTCCTATGTTTTCACCCTTCCAACCCCTCCCTCGACTTCTTCCCAGTCTTCTCTCTCTCTCTCTCTCTCTCTCTCTCTCTCCCCCCTTCTCCCTTTCCTCTGTTAAATCTTTCTTCCACCGTCTTGTTCTCTTTTTTTTCCCCCTTTGAGAGAAACCTTTGGCAGCATGGAACAATTTCAGGACCATTTGTGGGATTGCGTCATGTGATGTAGACATAGGATGCTCATTGGGCTGTCCGTGGGCCTCCTTCTCGCACTCCAACGTTCCACAGCGATCACTCTCTTTCTCCCAGTGCTGTTATAGGTCTGGATGTGATTCCGACTTTGACTCTTATGTGTTGGGATGTGGTCTGTAAGCTCATTGCTGACATTCTTGGGATGTGATGCCAGAGGATTTTTTTTTTTTAATTTCCCGCTTTCTCTTCTCTCTTCTGCACGTCTGGGTGCAGTTAAAATGATCCCTCATTGAAATGATGTCTGGATCCTGCTCTTTACCCACTTTGTTATATCTCCTCTCATCCTCAATCACATTTTATTTCAACACCCCTGCACTAATGGTACCACTTAATTAGGTTTGTTAGTCAGTGGACATTGGTGGAGGTTGGGTTTTATAATCGTTTGATATTGACTTTGATGAAAGTTAATCTAACATCTGGGCTGCAGTCCAAAGCTTTTTTCAAGGCTGAGGTCTCACTTAGGTCTTCTGTAAGTAATAGGGCACCTGACAAGGAAACCAATGGCCACTTTCCTGTTTGCTTATCACATACTTGGACAAAAGTGCAGCTGAGAATGAAATGGGGAGTCCAACAGAAGGAAACAAGCTACCTTATGAGTAGTGTTGGACCTCTGCCATCGTTCACCTTGGCACTTATCCCTGCATGATTATCTCCCAACAGCTCAAACTCATTGTAGACACAGGAAGTGCATAGGTAGTACAAATATTCAGAAATTGTTTAATCCTAGGGACCCAAGTGTGACTATTTTAACATCTATTAAGTCTTTACTCTGTATTCTAAAGGTTTACACTATCTACAGTTGAGACAAACTGACTGACATTTTATGTCAGCTAATTAGAAGGTGTTAAAAGTACCCATTTGGGAGACAGGGATGCAGGTGGTGCAAACAATTGGCACTCATTAATATGACACAGGTTTTGACATTTTCTCTTGCTTTTATGCACATTTTGCAGGAAATTTCCTCCCATTTCATCATAGTACAAAACAACAGGAGTAATTGAGTAATTGTTGAGTGACTGTGTATTGGAAGTTAGCTTACTTGATGTTTTGTTCATGCCGTGATCGTAATGCCACAGACAAATCATTTAGGACCACAGAGGCCCTATATGATTCATCTTTTAGTTTACAAAACTCGCATCAACTGTTAACCAGGGAGACTTTAGCAGATACCCTTGTGTCTTGAAATTTAGCATCATCCCCTGGATTACGAGACTCAAGCTTGTCATTTCAACCTTGATGTGAATAAATCAAAGCGGGAAAAGATGAGTCACTGCACCACTGCATGTTAAATGGCACTTGTTCTCCTCCAGCCACTTTGTTGGGTAACAAGAAGGGGAAACTCCCTTGCTTCTCCTCCAGTTTCACCAAAATTGAGCTAATGTCTTTATTTTGCAGCTTTCACCACCCAGTTAAAATGACAAGCTAGAGTCAGTTTGTGGTCCTGCGAATAATTACAGCAGGCCTCATCCCTTGCTCATCGGCCACTGCCCTCTAACTCAGGCTCCAGGCTACCATTACCCATAACTCTTCCTTCCTTGCATCACATGATTTCTTAGATAGATGCTTTCACTTATTTCATCTCTGTAGATAGTTGAGTTTGAGAGCAAGAAGTGTCATTGTGCTGTACCTTATTTTATTGGCAAAGGTTTGCTATTTTCTATGCCTTTAGAAAAAAGGAAATGACATGGAGATTTCATTTATCAACTGGCAAACATTGGTTGGCATCTGTTTTAATTGTAGAACCGACAGTTAAGCCAAACACACATGATTCTGGTGCTGTTTTTTGTCGAGATTCTGACATAGTAATTAAATGGCCAGATATGCTTGTCAGTCAGGTGAGCATTTATACCCCAGAAAAAAAGGATCATATTTTCCCCCATTTTTTAAGGTACAGCAGAGGAAGAAATCATCTCAATCATCAATTTACAGAGACATTGTTTGGCCTCTTTAGTGATGACATAGCTGGGTTTATCTCATCTCCCCAATAAACCTTCAGAAAGGGAAAAACTGGACTATCCCACTGGATTGTTAGTCATTGGCTGAGCTGGGAGGTGTGGTGGATGTCACATGTGCTGTTATGTGATCCATCCTGTGAGTACCAGCCTCTCCTACATACAAGCATAAACACACACACACCATTTTCCATACAACACATCACACTGAAAATTAACACCTTAATGTTGAAGATGTGCCTGAAACAAATATAACTGCAGTTTTTGATTCCATCATGAAAGAAAATTGTTTCCTGATAGATGTTTTTTTGCCCAGGATGAAAACCTGTCATAGATCAGACATTTATTTTTATTTTTAGCCTGTAATTGAAGTACCTTATGACCGTGTATTTTTAGCAGTCTTTTAAAAATCATAAAACCAGCTTGTTTTTTATTTATTTATTTATTTTTGCTCTTCTTTCTTCTCTGCTGTGCCACTGCTGTGGCCGTTCCTTAAAGTATGTTTCCCTCATTTCCGCACCAGCCAGCAGGGTATGCTTTGTGACACAGAAAGTCACTGTGACAAAGAGGTCACCCCTCCCCAACTTACTGTATCTATGTTTATATCGCTGTCTGTTTTTACTCCATCTCTCCAGCGTCCCCTCCACCCCACTCTTCCCTGGCCTGCTTCTTAAGTCTATCCCTCTCTCCTCATTCACAACTGTCAGTGCTCTTGCCTGTGGGAAGCAACTTTCCTCTCTTATTGCAAGCAGCAAATGTGTTGCCAAATAAAACAATTCGAAACATTTTCTATATTCTGTTTTATTTTTCCCAAATCCTTTTTTTTCCATTTGGATTTTCTGAATTGCAAGTTCCACAATGTAATCGCGTTTTGTAAATCTGGTGGGTGGCAGTTCAGTAGGAAAGTGTTTGAAATGTGATTTATACATTTAATCAAATTTTCTTGGCATTATATAGTTTAGATAAGTATTGTGAATTGTGTCCCACTTGACTTATTCACCAGGACACTACAATTTCTTCTTTCTTCTTCGGCAACTGCTGCCACAGCTTTTCCCTCAGATCTTGTAGGACAGCCTCCATATGCCGCTCAAACACATGGGGGAGGTGGGTCTGACACAGGCCACTCTCCTGCTTCAGCAATGCTTCGACTTGTCGACGATGCCTCACCCAAAATGCTCTGTGATTTTTCTTGTGGAACACCTGATTCTGCACATACAGCCACAAAGTCTTGGGGGAATTTATGTCTTGCTTCTGCTGATGTGTTTACTCAAAGGAGAGTTTGCTGAAGTGATACACTTTTACTTGCATGCTGCGTTTGACTGCAGGTGGTCATCACTTGCAGGTCCAGTCAATTGCATGAAGACAGAATTTACAGTAAAGTTGCTCTCCCTGTTCACAGATGTCGTTCTATTATTTTCCTGCTCTAAACTTAGCGATTGATTTTTTTATTTCTTAAATTCAAATCTTCACCATTAATGTCTCTGTGAAGGAGACTGATGCAATGCGTTTTATAGGTGGCACATGAGGCCACACATTTTAGATAAAGATGCATGCAAGAAATTAAAAATAAAGCAAAGATTTAGGAGCATTTTGAATTGAATACAGCATCAACTTAACAAACCTCCATTCACATACGTCAAGAAACCATTCTGATCTGTTGCCATCAACAACAGGTAGGCTTGGTACACAGTATGCGCAGTTCCAACACATATCAAATAAAATTTTAGTTTAACATTTACTTGAAAGGGATATTCTGGCATAAATTAAAGCCATGGTTAAACACACCATTACACCGGGTTAGACCCCCCTTTGAGAGATGAATTTTGCCGACCGCTAGCTTCTCTAGTTCCACCAACTTTAGCAAATACTACACAATAGCAAGACAGAGTGGTGTATGTCTCCCGGTGCAAACCGCAACCAAAAAGCGACTCATAGCCACAAATAATGCGCGGAACAGCACCTAACTTCATCAACAGTACATATAGGGTCCCAGCACGTAGTACTAGCCATCAAACATCTTTTTAGCTTTGCCTGATTTCTTTAGCAAAGAGACTAAATACAAAAGTCCTTTGAAGCTCATGTACAAAAAATCCTCCTATGTGTATTTTACTTGAACCTTAAGATGGGGTTGTTCATATGTACTAGCAGTCAGCCAAACAGTCAACTAGTCATTTCATTACAGCTGACTACTGTCGCCTATTTGGCTGTAATTAAATAGTTTTGTCATTAAGTTGTCACTGACTGTACATGTTAATACCCCTGTCTCCTTCACCTCAGCTCCAAATCAACAAGTATGGCCCACTCGTATCTATTCTACCACAACTGATCAGTAATAAAGGCATGATGACAGAACTACTTTGATTTGCTCTGTCTCTTTTTCCACCTTGACATTTGTAGTATACCTGAATATAAAGTAATGTAACAGACAGCTTCCCTGTTTACAGATAAAGAGATGGCTAATCAGACCATGATGGCTGTCTGCTCCGAATATTAGTACAAGAGGATCATTCAGCACCCCTTACACATGCAAAGGATCATTCATATCAGACAGCTGAATTCTCAGGGCTGCACATCTGTTCATATGCATGCATGCATGCACTTTTCTCTCCCTCTCTTTTTCACTGGGCTAACATTCTGCAACATACATACTTAATTGATGATTTAATGGTAAAACCCCTGGGAGTTTTTAGATTACAGTCACAGCCCCTAAGGCCATTTAAACTGTTAAGGGAGTGTATTGAAAAGGGCATACTTTCTCATAGTGTCAAACAAAGTAAATTAAGATGACACATGTTTCTTTGCAAGGTTAACATAAAATGAATCCCTATCTCCTCAGTTCATAGACAACAGTGCAATAAAACAGACTGAATTACATCACAATGTGTGCTTCATGCAAGAAGTAACATATGGGGACAGAAGGTCTAGAATAGAAAAGCATGTGTAGTAGGGCTGGGACGATATGCTTTTCTCCCGATTCGATTCTTCCACGATTTTTTTGTATGCTAATTCAATTTAAATTGCGATTCTACGATATTGTCTATTTTCTCGATTTTTAGTCTGCATTTTCAACACCAGTGAAACAGTCGAATGATTATGATTGTTGACTGACTATTCCAGGAACCATATTTCCTCAAAAAATATGCATCACATGAAGTCAGTTTTTAAGATTTTTTCTTAAATTTGAAAAAAAAAATCGACTTTTAAACAAAAAAATCGATTTAAAATTTGTAGAACAAAAAATTGCAATACTTATGTGAACCGATTTTTTTCTCCCACCCCTAATATAAAGTAGCATCTCTATACATCACGGCTTTATGTTTTATTGCAAATCATGGAGCGTATAATTGATTGGAATATTGACAAGAGTTACCATTACGCAGTATTGGTATTGATAGTGGTGAAGTTAAAATTCAAATAAAACTCATCCTTTACTTGTCCGTTCAGTACACTAACTGTAGAGTGTCAGATAGAATCCAAAAACTTTGGACATTGCTTGTATTCACATACATGTCATTCAGAGAACAGCAACCAAATAACCATGATCTCGTGTATGGCTCACCTTGATCTCCACCTCTTCTGTACCTGACAGGATCAAAGTCTTCACACTCTACTGTAAAACAAACACATGCCAACACTCACAGAGATGTGTATTTTTCATGGAAGTGCACTCCCTCCTGTGCAGTGTAAATCCAATCTCATTTGAAGTTTGTGGAAAGTCCTCATGTCATTCAGACCCACCTTCTTTCAATCTCTGAATAAAATAGAATGTACGTAATCTCATAAATGCTTCATACACCGTTCTTCAGCTTCAAGTTTGTTTTGAACAAGAAAATGTGTGAAAGGTAAATCTGATCACCTGAAATACAACAGCTGTTCCTTGGCATGCTCTGTGAGAGCTTAACGTGATATTTCTGCCAAAATAAATGTTTTCAGTTGTTTTGTTTTTTTTACAAGGTACACGTAATCAGCTTACAACCTGAATTGTTCTAGTCACATCAGGCCAGAGTTCAGCAGCTCCAAAAGCTACTGAACTTTAACTCTTTAAACTGATAGTCTGTGGAATAGCACAATGCCCCCCCCCCTTGCTACATGAACTCAGCAATGACCCTCTCACTAATAACAATACACAAGCAGACTGTTGTAATATGCTTCTCATCTAATTTCCTAATTATACACAGAAACTTCTATTAGTTGGTTGTCAGATGACAAATCCATATCTGGTTCCCTGTCATGGAGCAAGACTCGACACTAAAGTAATCAGAAATCACAGGGTTGCTGTTTTATCCTTAGGCCTTGTGCTGATTTAACATATGAGGTGTGCCTGTTATTTGAAGTCATTACTGCAGTGGAAGATTTGATTGATGCTGCCTACCGTGTTCACACAATATGTTTATCACGTCAGAGTCAGACGTTTCAGAGAGCTGAAAACCTGTTTCCTGGCTTTGCGTGCCCGAGCCTGGAATGAGTACAGATCTGGTCTAATAACCTGATGCATTATTTAGCGCACTCCCAATACCAGTGTGCATTTAGCGTAATGGCCTGTCAAGGCTGAATGCAATCACAAAGGACTGACTTCACTGATCAGTTGATGATGTAGGAAGGTAAATGGGTGTGTTTATTTCTATCGGTTCACTGTGACCGATGAATGAGGATGCCCCCTGGGATTAGTTTGCCAACATGCAGTCAAGCAGTTTTTATGATTAGCTCAGGGCAGCGCCATTTATACTGGTCACTGTTGTGTATCATTACATTTCACAATTGCTGTATGGATTTTGTAGCTAATATGTTAAACCTGCCAAAAGGACTAATTATGTATGGAAAAAAAGCCACAGACTTATTTTTAGAGCTTTCATTTAACTCCACATAGCCTCAGAGTATCGGCCACTGGGGCAACTCAAATCATTTAGGCCAGTGTGAAAGCTTGAAATGTAAAACCCATGTCCATCACATGCTTTCTCGGTGTTAAAACACAATAAACAGGCTGAAAGTCTCATGTTGTTGTGTAATTGCCTTTGTAAAACTGACATGAAGGCATTGACTTGTTTTTTTCAATAGTGCGGCTCTCATCTCAAGGTGTGTGATTGTGAAGGACCTTTTGAGTAAGCATGTGTAAGCCTGAGAAATGCGAGGGAAAGAAGCTCAATTTATGCACCAAGACGGTGGAAGAAAAAAGAAATTCCCTTGCTTGTTGTTTCACTGAACACTCATCCGCCGTCCGAGGAAAACAAAACAGTATAGCGTACCGCTTGTCCGAACAGTAAATGCTCTGTTAAGTTAGATAATATGGAATTTCTTTCTGCCTGATTTTGAGTGAACATAATTTAATCTGGCACTTTTTTTTTTCCTTTTTCAGCCCGTGTCCTGAATTCCCTCCTGACATATTTGCAGTCACATGTTGTTATTTCCAGTTGTGTGCATTTACCGTTAATCATATGGAGCAATTCACTGTGTGAGATATTCCTGGGCGAAGCATGTGGTGCTGCAATCCAAGACGTCAACATACGACTCGGGGGCCCGAGTCAGTGCTGTCATTGATGCCTGCAGCTATAAACTAAAGACGGGATCTTTTGTTTCTTCTCTTCCTTTGACCTTTTTTTGTAATAAGAACATCATGTCCCCGTAATAACATGGTCAGTAACATGCTTCGGTTGGGGGGCATACTGTTCGATTTCAATGAACTGAGTAGAGGAACCGAACGATAGTACAGACGTGTTTTCTACAGTGTTGTATGAGACGCACGCTTCTGTTGTTTTTTTTCTAAATAGGCATGATTGATGAAGTGATCCGCCAGAAGATTTAGAATTATTCAGCCTGGCACTTTCCCTCATTGGTTGTTGATCTGTGAGTTTGTTGAGGTTAGTATTAGATTAGTTACCATCCCCATCTCTCCTTCGCTCCTCCAACCCCCTTCAATCATTCGCTTCACTTTCCTCCGCAAAGGAAGCGAAGAAAAAATAAGAAAGGGGCTTTGTACAAAGGACAGTGATTGTTTGTTTACGAGGATGCTAGCCTTGCGGTGACATGCCCCCCTCCACACACACACACACACACACACACACACATGCGCACACACACTCTCCCTCTCACTAGGCCGTTGAAGTGAAATAGATACGCCGAGCATTATGTAATCAAATGTAAACCAAATCCAGCATTTTGAAGGGGACTGAGGGTTTTTCCACTTGGTTCATATGGCCCCTCGTTCCTCACCTCAGGACACAGACATTGGAGTTGAGTTTACCTTTAACACTTGAATTAGTCCTTAAGAGCAGGGTGCTGTTTTGTCTGCATGGAAACAGATGAAAAAAGTGTGATTTACTCAATAACAGTTGAAGCATTTACTTAATCTGTAGTTTAATTTTAATCTTTTAATTTGTGTGTTTTTTTAAGGAGGCAGAATTGTTACTCTTATTTTATTGCAGTAATCAAGCACCTGGCTATTTTTCTCATATTTGTCTTTCTCTGTTTATCTTCCCTGTGTTTAGTAATGGAGACAACTGTTGTGAGCACATCCACTGTGGCCCCTGATGAGTTCGACAGGAACGTGCCGCGGATCTGTGGCGTGTGTGGCGACAAAGCCACAGGCTTCCACTTCAATGCCATGACCTGTGAGGGCTGCAAGGGTTTTTTCAGGTACACAATTGCATATGTAATGTCACAGATATACTGTACAGGAGCAGGACTCAGTTAAATATGTAATGTATATGGACACAAACAACTCACATCAGTTAAATGTAAACCAAAACACACATATTGAACAGGTTATTGACACGTTCTAATCTGCAGACACACACACACACACACACACACCCTTACACTCAAAAACATAAATGTGTGTATATATATATGTATATCTATATACATAGGTGTGTGTTTATCACATGACCACCTACACGGACATATTGAACATAATTACCACCCACAGTTACACAACAACACACACATAACAACATTAAAGCGACTTTTCTCTAATGCCCAGCAGCATGGTGAGAATATAAATGAGCCTGTTACTACAGTTAATGCTTTGGCTGCTTCCTGCTCATTCTTACACACATGAGTTTTCAATTCAGCGAAAGACAAAACTAGAGCAAATCTTGATCTTGTGAGACTGGCGTGCGTGATGTATCTGCCAGTTTGCGTTCAGTTCTTTCTGCAGTGTTGATATTTGAAGGCGAGGATGAAAAAGACGGATGTTTGATAATCCCCTTCCTCATCTCTCAGCTGGCCCTCGTTTGAACTCACACCATGCATGCTTCTCTGTGTGTTTTTTGCTCACATCTGTGTATAATTGTTCATACATTCACGTCCTTCACCGACTGAATCATTATGCTCTGCGTCACCGTTTGGCAAGAATTATGTTTGACCCCGGATTCCTTGGCATCCATCCATATTTATACTGTTTCACGCAGTTCCAGGCTCCAGGAGCAAAAATATGTTTTCTCTTCAGCGATAATTTTCGATTAGTGCAAAACAACTTGTACTTGTACAGGTGCTATGTTTGTCAAATGTAGATACTGCACCAATCTCAATTATCGGTCAAGTTACAAATATGTTCAGACTCGCACACAGCGCCTAATAATTTCCTTGAATTATGCTTTTGTGTGTTTACAAACATTTGCTCTAACAGTCTGTCCAATATATGCTATTCATTTAGGCGCAGCATGAAGCGCAAGGCAACCTTCACGTGTCCATTTAATGGCAGTTGCACCATCACCAAGGACAACAGGCGCCACTGCCAGGCATGCCGGCTAAAACGCTGTGTGGACATTGGCATGATGAAAGAGTGTAAGTATGACCTGTTATGTTTTCAAAAGAAAGCTCCCAGCTTTCTGTGTTTGTAGATTTTTGCAGGTTACTTAAATAAATGATTATGGAAGATTGAAATGGTTGTATAGGATCGTGTTTTTAAGACTACAAATAAAAAACATTTAAATTGAGTCTTATTTTGTTGTGACCATTTATCTTTGGAAGAACAGAAACTTCATTACACACTAAGAGAAGATGATTCTTGTACGTAAGTGTTACTCACTGTATAGAAATACTAAAAAATCTACTTCCAATGTTGTTCTTTTTCATGCTAGGTAGTAAAATTTAATCAATGCTGTTTCCAGTTTTGGGGACCTACTGTCCCTTTTGTATATATTATATAATATTTGGACTTGGGTCAAGTTTCTGGGGGTCTTTGCTCCCATTAACATGTTTACATGTTCTGTTTGAACAAGCAGAGCCTCCCAACATTGTATACAGAGAGTATACTCCATCTGAAGTTTAAACACCTGCTGTTATGTACAATCCAGCGAGGCCTCTTCTTTCCACACACTCCTGTTTATTTTGCTTCTCTAAATAGCAGGTACATTTCTTCTTGTTTTCCCCCGATATCCGGATATTGTCCACAGGCCTCTTTTAAGCAAAGGCCTCTCACTTCCAGTTGAATGTTCTTTCCCCTGAGTGTGTTTTCTGGGAATACCACAAAAGTGGAGGTGGCAGCAGCACTACGATTTACTGTGCATGAACAGGAGCCAGTTCCGTTGCTGTTGCAAAATCAGAAGTATGTTGATGAGTCTCAGCACTCGCTCTTAGTTTGTGTGAGCTAATTCAGTGGCTGGAACAACAATGAGCAAATAGAACACGGACAAAGCTTTTTGTTGTTCACTGCAGCGAGGGTCTTCATATGGACCTGTCCCCTCCAATGTCTTCCTCTCGGGAATTACACACACACATACACACACCCAACAACAAATTGACATAGCTGTCATCGCATTACAAGTTCATACTAGAAAGCTTGAAAACCTATATTCTGTAAATTCCACTTGTGGGCCTGTTTTTGCCTCATCTTATTTCTGCATATGTAAAAAAATGTTTCCACTCTGTATGTTTTTTCTCCTCATTTATATAATCTAATACTCCCTCCCTCCCTTTTGTCTCCTTTCTCTCGCACCCTCAGTCATTCTGACAGACGAGGAAGTGCAGAGGAAGAAGGACCTGATTCAACGAAGGAAGGACGAGGAGGCACAGCGCGAGGCAGAGAGAGAGGCCCAGCGGCCCCGGCTCACCGATGAACAGAGTCAGGTCATCGCAACACTGGTGGAGGCACACCACAAAACATATGATGACTCCTACTCTGACTTCTGCCGCTTCAGGGTTGGTGTCACAAGATACAGTACCTCTACTCGTGTCAACAACAGTTCTTATCTTTAGGATCATTCTACTAACATAAACAAAGATAGGATTGAACTCAAAACGCCTTTCTCCTACTTATGATTGATTGGCAAATACTGTATATAATCTTTAAAAGCTGTTATGAAAATAGCCTCTCTTTTTTTTTTTTTACTGTGCATTGTGAAATATTTGAAATATTCAAAAAACTGCACTTTCCGTTTCCTTGAATGCATATCTGATTTTTTAACAGATTATTTTTAGTTTTTACGCATATTTTCTTCTTTAAAATCGTGTTAAGGGTTTTCTGCGATCTAAATGCCCTTTTTCCCCCTATGCAGCCTCCTGTGCGAGAGGGCCCAGTGACACGTAGCGCCAGTAGAGCTGCTTCCCTCCACTCCCTGTCAGATGCCTCTTCTGATTCTTTCAGTCACTCTCCAGGTAAGAGGCACACCCTAAGAGAAAAAAACGTCCAGTTGTGGACATCAACAATAATTCGCACATGGAATCAAGACAAAAAAAATGTCAGCAACCTAAAATCATGACAGACTTCTTAAAGATCTTGTAGTCAAAGGTAAGGTAGAAGTAGAAGAATTCACATTAAAACTATGCGCACTGAAGAGTGTTGCATTTCATGTTATTATTGATTTTTGTCATGTTTACCTCCCAGTTCAGCTGTTTGCATATGTAATCTGTTTAACTGCTTCTCCGAGAATCCAGAGGAAATTCTCTGAATTGCCCCTCCCCACCCAACCTCACCCCCCAAGACACCTTACTCCCACAAGTAAACATGAGTTCATTAATGCATCTGTCACTAATGGGGTGAGCTCAGCGAGGGACACAGTCACATGGCTAACAGCCAACGCTCAGCGGAGACAAATGATTCAAAACAACCCCAGCTAGCTCTGCATGCCTCACATGTTGTCATAGCTGTCATCTAAGCTTATATCTGACATCTACTGACCCGGCACTCGCGTGTTTTCATATGATCCTTTCAATTAACAAGGCCTCTATATGTGAGAGGTTTCTCTCAGGCCTCTTAGCACAAATGTGTCTTTATGGAAGTCAAGTGTGTCATTGATGTGCTTTATGTATACCAGCTTTTCTCTCCCCGCTTTCCTACTGTTTTCTCTTTTCTCTTCCACCATGTTGTGGAACCTTAATCTTACTCACTGTAGAGTCTGTGGACACAAAAATGAACTTCAACAACCTGATGATGATGTACCACGAGCAGGGCAGCAGCCCCGACTCCAGCGAGGAAGAGGCCTCCAGCTTCTCCATGCTGCCACACTTGGCTGACCTGGTCTCTTACAGCATCCAGAAGGTCATCGGTTTTGCGAAGATGATCCCAGGGTTTAGGTATGTGTGTGTTTGTACTTACATAAGATGTATCTTCAAGTCTGTAGTAGTGTTTCTGTAAGAGTTTTTGGTCTGTCAGGTTGGTCTGTGGTTGTGAAAAAGGATGAAACAATTGTAGGAGAAGATTTTGCAGCTGAAGATGCTCTGCCAGTGTGTCCCACACAAACACAATACCAGCGTGGCCTGCCAAAGAATGATTCGAATGCCATTTTAAAATGTCTCTATTTTCTTCCAAAAAGTCCACCATCCCATGACAAATAAGTAATCTTGCTTTCTTCACTCATACATCAACTTTTATTCCAGATGATCGATCTCTCATCTTTTTCTGCCACTTGCACCAGTTGCAGAAGTAAAAAAAAAGAGTTTATTTTATACTCATTACATGTAAACCAAATTTTTAAGGCTTTTTTAAAGGTGTTCATTCTGACAAATATGGTCTTCTACTCAAAATTTTAAACTATGTATCTCAAAATATTAGAATATTTCAGTCAGAGAAAATCACCATTCAGACAGTTTAAATTAGGGCTCTGAAGTGGCTGTCCTGCACTCTGGAGGAGGAGTACAAAGGTGCGAAAGGAGAAGTTACCACAGCCTGTGATGATTCAGCGTGCCATGCCTTCTATCAGGGTAAACCCACTGTGTCTTATCAAGCCTGAAGTCAATGTAGCCGTCTATCATTAGATTTTAGAGCAGTCCATACTTCCAACCATTGACAAGTTTTACGGAGATGCTGATTTCCTTTCTAGAAAGACGCCCAGAATGCCAAATGCACATGGTCTGTTGACCATGATACTAATGTTGTGCTTGATTGGCCAGCCAACTTACCTGATCTGGACCCCCAAAAGACCCTGTGGGATATATATTTATCAGAAAAAAGGATAAGAAATACCTTACCCAGTAATACAAACCATCAGGAAGCTGTCAAGAGCTGTCAATAGTTTAGGTTTTACTAACAGCTCAGCAGTACCACTGGCTGATACCACATACTGTCTCCATACCACACCACCATCAGTGCAGTAATTTGTGGTAGAGGATCTTCAAACAAGCAGTAAAAGTGAACATACATTTTAGAAGCAAGTTTATTTATTTTTTATCAGATAACTGATTTTCATGAGCTAAAAATCACCAAATTTCAAATAAAAAGGGCCTGAAATATTTCATTTTGCATGACACAAACATGAAGTGTTGTGAAAGCAGTATGAAATGCAGTATGATTCATCGATACACACCTGTAAACTGGATGGCTTATACCCTAAAAAAATGACGAACCAAGCATCTTGTACTGTGCAGTATTTTAAGTGGAGTATATTCTTACATGGCATGTAAAGTATATTGTTCAACAGGAGAATTTTGACAAATCTATTTTTGCATCCTAGAAAGAATCAGATTAAATGGGTTAGTTTTGTCTGAGCTACGTTTTGCCATGTAAAAAAACTTTCCTTCCTTTTTTTCTGTAGTTTGTTTTTCTGATTGATTGAAGAAGAGGCTTGCTTACGTAACAAAGCCATGAAAAAGTACCTAAACGAAGCATACAGTCAGAATTTCCCAAACGCCTCCACATGTTTTTGTTATTAACGTTTCTCTCGAGTGACTTTTTACCTAAATGTGCACTGAGGACTTTGTACTCTTACTTGCTTCTTGCCCGATTTGTCGATACTGTGCCACAGTGATTGCAGCAGTCTCGAGGCCATAGGTAACTGAAAGATTGCCCACGCATTGTGGAAAATATTTGATGATATGTTGTTCCTTCTCTGGATAAGTTAACACACTTGCTTTCACTCTCTTGTTGGTGTGAAGTTCAGCCCTTAAGGTTGTTAGTAGGTGATTGCCCAACTCAGAAGAAGACCGTTCTTTAGAGCTGAGCACTAACCTATCTGCCTCCCACATACATCCTCAGTTTTTTTAGCTGATAATCAAAATAAATGTAGATCCCTGACGCAGGAAGGACTGACTTCCGTCTACAAGTTTGATTGGTACACGGTTAACCTTGAAATAAGGTGAGGTTGATAGAAAACAAGAGTAAGAATTGTGTTTTTGACTGGAAGGCAGAATTACAATAGTCAGCCCAGACTATTCCATTGTCTCTTCACCGCCTACTCTTCACAGCAACAGTTGCCTTTCAGCATGTTTGTCTGTCAGTTCATTGACAGGGAGAAAACACTCCTGTCTCATGGGTCACCTCAAAGTCAAGGCTAAAACGAGTCGGGGCCTGTATTTCCTGAAAGTTGTCGTACTCAATGGCAGCGAGTGATCGACGTGGTCGGATTACCTTTGGAATGTTTGTCCACTTATGATCTGCTGCCTTTAGGCCTGAAAAACACAGCAGACCTCCCTTATAGATCCACAGTTTTTAACTCATGTCTCCTGCTAGCTCAAAAGGTTCATTTTCCAAACATTTAGAGACATTTCAAAACATGACTATAAGCAGAAACTGACTGATGGCGATGGCCCATATAACAGCACTTGATATGTTTGGGCGCTTTTCTTCTTCTTCTACTGCAGATAAACTTAAAAGACTTTGGCTGACCTCAAACCTACACTGATAAGCACGATCCTTTGAACCACATTAGCCAACATATTCCAGACTAAAACATGCAGATGTCATAAATCTGTACCTGTTTCCCTGCTCTGTCAGATCCTGTAAAACTAACCATAATTAAAACTGGGTCAGCTCAGGACTATGGCTTTAATAGTTTACTCTTTGCGGTCCACTAACTCAGTAGGTGTTATCTTTCCCTGCAGGGAGCTGACTGCTGAGGACCAGATCGCCCTCCTTAAGTCCAGTGCCATAGAAGTGATCATGCTGCGCTCAAATCAGAGCTTCAACCTGGAGGACATGTCCTGGAGCTGTGGCGGGCCTGACTTCAAATACCAGATCAGTGATGTCACCAAAGGTTGGTCTTGAACTCTGCCACGTGTACAGTTTTGAGCTGCCGGGAAGACAAGTTCACATTTTGGACTATGTATTTGCATGCCAGTCCCCCTCATTTAGCTCACTCGACAGCTGAAGAAAAGAAGCGCGTGTTACACATTAACACTCCTGCTCCGAGCTCGCAGGAAGTAGTGCAGCGCTAAGGAGGCGATCGGATCATTAGCGTGGAGGCACAGATAAGGTTACTAGCAGTGGCCTGTGCAAATACCCATAGGAAAGGGATGCTAACGCACACTTTTTTTCCGCTAAACCAGTCTTACATATCCGCAGGAGCCCCTGTGGGCATGGCTTTCATTTGCCTTTCAAACAAGACCCCTCTGACTAGGATCAACCAAAGAATGTCACTCCTGACCTGCTCACCACACAAAACAGCCACTGTCTGCAGCAGGAAAGTGTGTGTTCCTGACAGGAATTTGTGCTTTTCTTAAAATAACCCTGAATAGTCCACAAGAACATGACTGGAATACAGATATATGTGTTTCACATGCAAGTTTCAAGTCAAGATAACAAAAAGATAACGTCAACTCTCTCGCATGCAGGTGTTAAATTAGCCTTATACCGTGTTTCATGTTGGTTACTGCTGTACATCATTTATATTGTTTAGTCAGAATCAAACCCATGATTTTCATTACTACAGTTTTTCTCAATTGCTAAAACACATTTCTTGACATCCATCACGCTTTTCTCAACACTACAAGCACAAAACCCAACTTTCAAACTGCTTTTCACCAAACCTCTGACTCTTGCTGCAAAACCAAACACAAACCTCAAAACGGTTCAATCTGTGCTCAGAACCAAACAGTGTAGTCAGATCATACCCCAAGTCCATCAGAATTAAAAACACGACTGAGCAGTCTCTACACACTACGTAACAAAATGGAAAACATAACGTGGCTCAGGACTTGAATCAGTAGAAATTCTTGTTTACAGTAGGTTAAATAAATTTTGCACACAGTAAAGATAAAGTAAAAGCTAATATAAATGAGAAGCACACTACAGTGCAAACCACAATATCAAACACAAGTGCTGAAAGTATCTACGATCATTCAGCCACAGCATCATGTCTACGTGCTGGATCAGGCCACAGGCCAAATTCACCTTGACCAAGTAATGGAGAAAGCACCCCCTGAACTGGCTTACTGTGTATTGTTTCATGTTGAAGCTGTGACACTTGTGTTTCAAATGTGTTAAATTTTTGCTTCCTGTGCTTGCCATCATGCAACACAAGTGCATCACACTTCACCACAGTGCACAATGTGTTTTAGTGAGCGAGAATGTGTTTGCAAGTTATGTCTAACCAAGGAGAAAGGTGCTTATGGTTTAGCTTAAAGAGTGACTGGTTCAATAAATAGGTTCAGGCTACTAAGCAGCTGGTTTAAACGATAGACTTAATTTTTTTAGCAATTGAGAAGTACTTTAAAATTAGTTGATTTGTTTGAAAGTCAACATAATTTTTTTTTAAATGTCATGCATCCCATCAGTTCAACTTTACACTACCAACACCTGTGTAATGAATATGACAGCAAGTTTTCACTCTATAACAATTACATGTTCAATGTATATGCTTATGGTATTGCATCTTATTTACACTTTTACAATTAACCCACCACTCCACCACACCCTGCCTGAGAAATGGAGCAACCAGTGATCTAAATTCCGATTTGCTGATTAAAAAGCATTGTGAACCATTCTTGATAAAAACAAACCTTAACACGTAGAATGCAGAAAAAAAGTCTCTCCAGAGATGATTCCAACAGGCAGAGTGAAATATTAATGAGTAAGAGGGATGCTAACATTCCCGGGGGGGGGGGTCTTTCTGCTGTGATGTGAAGTATGGAGCTGATTCTGCATGCTGCTCAGATAGTAAAGCTGCGTTGCGTCCTTTGTAGCGGGCCACACTCTGGAGCTGCTGGAGCCACTGGTGAAGTTCCAGGTAGGCCTGAAGAAGCTCAACCTGCACGAGGAGGAACATGTGCTGCTGATGGCCATCTGCCTGCTTTCACCAGGTATAGTAGTTTTTTTTCTGTGTGGAGGAGGGCACATATAAAGGGTCAGCAGCATGAGTTATGTATGTGATCTTTCTTGTCTTTCGATGTATATAAAACAGGTGAATTATTGTTCATATTGTAACAGAAGTTTTGATTTATTTTAAATTTAGTTGTCCCGTATTACTTCACAAAACTAACAGAGGGGAGCAAACCCCAGAAGCCTGAAGGCTTTGCATCTTTTGTGGTTTTTCTTTTTCTGTGCATGTGGTATGGATTTGCAGAATATACAGTGCATATATTATACATGTAGTTATGCAAGCAAGCAAGCATGTGTAACTAAATGGATATTTGCATGCCTTTGTATATATGAGGCACCTCATTAAAACTTCATGGATGTGCTCTCCGTGATCTAAAATTAGAGAGCCACCTGACCTGAATGAAAGAAATCGACACAAAAATAATTCCTTATCGTTGATTTGCATTAAGACTATTCCTAATTCACATTAAACTCAAGCATCGCAGTCCTTTGTTTTTATATTGGGTTTTTATTCCAACACTTAGTGCCTGGTGGCATTTCTTTGTGTAACAGCCATGCATATCTTAAGACTCCCCTCTCCTCTCCTGCAGATCGCCCAGGTGTTCAGGATCACGAGCGAATCGAAGCCCTCCAAGACCGGCTGTCGGAGACTCTGCAAGCCTACATCCGGCTTCACCACCCCGGAGGTCGGCTGCTCTACGCCAAGATGATCCAAAAGCTGGCCGATCTGCGCAGCCTCAACGAGGAGCACTCCAAACAGTACCGCTCACTCTCCTTCCAGCCGGAGCACAGCATGCAGCTGACCCCACTAGTGTTGGAGGTGTTCGGCAGTGAAGTCTCCTAAAGGCTCACAGGTTGGAGACACAGCACGAGACGAGACCCCTGGTGGTGGAAAACGAAGGGAGGGAGCAGAAGATGTGCTGGATGGACCAAATTGGAATTGTGGAGAAGTGAGTGCAGTTGTTGGGGGAGAGAAAGCGATGTAGGTGTGTGTGTGTGTGTGTGTATGTGTGTGTGAAAGTGTGTCTTGTCTAATTAAGTCTATCTCGGCGTATAGGCCAAGGTTGTGTGGTGAGCAAGCAGATGTTTAGAGAGACAGTAAACAAGAAGACTTCATGTGATACAAATTCAACTCTACATACAACCTCTTTTTTTACATAGTGTTTTTGTCTGTATTTAAATCAACCAACAGCTGCTTCAGATGCCTGGACATTTTCTATGTGTGTACCTCACGTGCACACACCAATACGACAAACATACTCAGTTATTCATTTAGCCATTCAGTTGAGCTACCTCTTGGTTTTACTGGGGTTGTTTTATATTTACATCACCTATGTGAAACTCTGACTTTTACATGGAACAATTTAGATACAGTACGGATGACATTTCAGTTTACCGGTGCAAAAGCAGTGCCTGCACATTACTCAGAATTTTTACGACGTTTGTGTTTGTTTTTTTGTTTTTTATTCTTCATCTGCTTCTCTCCAAGGCAGCATATGTATATGACTGTGTACACAAATCAAACACATGCCTTTTAACCTTTCACCAAAGGTATGGTCAACTACTTTCTCAAAAAGCTTCCAGTACCTAAAAATAACCTTGCTGCTGCTCCACGGCTCGTTTCACGCATGCAGCCACTCGGCATGCGAGCAGGTTGTGTGACCGGCCTTGCAGCTCATGAAGGAAAATGTCATAATTTAGGATAAGTGCAGAGTGCAGAACTTAGTCTGTAATTTAGTGAGGTTTTTGATAGGACTTTGAGGTGTCTGGTTTTGAGGTGAGAATTAGCCACTAAATGTGTTAGCTACTTTTACACTGCTAACTGTCAATCAAACCAAGCCTGCATTACGGCTTGTCACTCTTTTTAAAAAAAACTGTTTTTCATCATTCTCTCTCTCTTTTGATTAATTTTTTTTTTCTTCTTGTAAATAGTTAATTACTACCACATGTATCCTAAGCACTGTTATACCACCTTTACTCAAGCCTATGTATTGTTATACAGTATCTATTATCACAGATTTTAAAGGGCTAAAATGCCAAATCTAACTGGAATAGTAAATGGAGGCCAAAGCAAAGGGGCCTGTCTTGTTTATATATAGCTGCATACCATACTTGGAATTGGCATAGCTATGGAAGTAATTTCAACGGATGCGTTTTGGTTTTATACGTCGGTTCACCTTTAAAACAATTCCATGAATTGTTCCTCCTCAGTACACCGTGAGCTCGGTGGGCGGAGAGTTTGGGAAGCTGCTTCAGACCTCCACAGATATCACACCCTTTCGTTTCTGACAGGGAAGTGGATTTTCTAGAATGTCTGAGGGCCTGATTGTGTCGTTGGTGCGCACCTCCACACCCAGGCCCTCCTGTGCGATGATGTATGCTGCGCAGCCCTCTAGTGGCTGCATTGTGTAAATACCAGGTATATAAATGTATCTATAAATATGTAATATGTCCGCCGCTGTACATAAGGCTACATAGATATTTCTCAAGACAAATTTTTCAGAAATATATATGCAAATTCAATATAGACCCTTTTTTCTTTGAATTAACTATCACTACGTTCTGAGACACTATGCTCTTTGTTATGAATTTGATCATGTATTTTCTGGTGAGAATGAGAGAAGATTGGCTTTAACAGGGATTGCTTGTGTATTTGACTCAGATTATTTGTTTAAAGGTGGGTTGATGTATTTTCCTCATTTTTCATGTTCACTGTTAAAAAAGAGGACTAGCTAAACATACCATGCTGCTCTCTAATATAAGCCATATAGATCACCAAGCTAGTAATAGACCGGATGCATTACAGGATAGCCAGAGCCATGGATACACTCATCGACTCTTTTGCTATTATCCATGGTTTTTGGAAGATAAAGCTGGTAAACGATTGGAACTCACACACCGTTTTTCTACTGTCCTACGTGGCTTTTGCTTCATCAGATGGCATCTAATGGCTTACAAAACCAAACTGCCAAAAGATTTTAACTGCTAACATTTAGACGTTTAGACGCATGTGGGATATGGTAAAAAAAAAGTATATAAATATGTATGTATAACAATATGAAGTGTCTTTTGCGTTAACTAAGTGAACTAAGTGAGTCATTTCAGAGAGACGACCCGCTTAGTTTTTGTCTTCTATTTGCTGTGAAAGAAGACTTTAAACAGTTCCTGCGTTTGGCACTTAAAGACTCTTATGAAGCAGACCTGGAGCCTCCATCATCTCAGCAGACCGGTTTAGTGTAAGATCTGAACGAGAGATGGTCCGAGAGAGAGCATACGTGCGTTGTTGAGCTGATTGATTCTCTGCTTTGTGAATGTTGTAAAAGATGTCGCTTTAATTTGTGTGGCCCACGTGGGTCCTCCTCCTCCTCCTCTTTTTTCAGCCCACCATGAAATATTTAGTCTGTTTTCTGTCACTGTGGCTTTATCCCAACATTTCTTCGGTCACTGTGACTCTGTGCATGCTTTTAGTCGGGATATACACGACATACATAATCTGCATAGCACAGATAGTAAGATGCGTTTTGGATTTTTAACATATTAATGTAATCACAATGAGTTATCCCATGAAAGTCATGGGGTGTTATCTAGTGTCTATTTATAATTCCAAGTGTCCCACAAATGTCCCTGCTGTGATTGAACTTCAAGGAGTTGAGTCTCGAGTGTCTTTAGGCAGTACCACTCATATATATAGTATGTCAGTTTGATGAGGGGTATGATGTGCTTGGTTACTGAATACTGACTTTTGAAGTTTTGAAAAGTCTCCTTGTTGATTTTTTTTTTCTGAATACATACTTTGATATGTAGATGGGTTTGATTTTTTTTTTTCGTTTTGTTTTCCTTTGTTCTCTTGTTTATAAGATAGAGATGCAGTGTTGATTTGTGTATGTTAAATACAGTGGGAGGTTTGCTGAACATGTAAGTGCCACGGGGAGAGTTCCCTCCATACAAGAACAGGGTAAAAGAGGAGTTGCTCTTGGGAATCTGAAAACCAAACGGGAAAGTCGTGAGGATGCATCATTACAGCAGCCACTTTGAGAACAAATTGGTTTTAGTCAGGGGAATTCTGTCATTCATGTCTTAGAAAGGGAACCTTATTTGCCCTTTTTTGATTACTCACAGGATTAATGTCGTTTTTCTGGCCCTTTTCCCGGTAATTCTCCACCCGACAAACCGTACATTGCATGCAGATACAGTTAAATGTACATGTGGTGCATCCTCAGACTTCCCTGTTTGGTTTCACCATGGTAGGCTGCTCAGAATCCGTAAGTTTTGAAATCTGCATTGTGGTTGTGAAAAATACTGGAACTCGAAAAAAAAAAAAACATGCATCAAAGGAAATCTACCACAAAAAACAACAACAAAACAAAACAAAGCTCCATCTTTGGTGAGATTTCCTCCTAACACATTAACAATGCCTGCAATATCCAACTTATGGTACACTATCACCAGCAAGCTTTACAGGATATCATGTTAGACATTTTTGAAGATTTTTGTATAACTGTTGCCAATACAAATCCTGTCTGTACAAACATGTATGATAATATCATCCACAGAAGACAGTAGGCCATCTCCCATACAAAGGCTTTCAAGTCTTGATTTTATTTTTTTATTACTTTTTTGTTCTTCCCATTAGGACAGGGATTGTAATGGAATCAACTTAATGTAGTTCTTACAAAAAGGAGTGTCCACAGTGGATGTACACCATAATCTACCTAAAAAACCTACCTCTTTTAGCTCAGAATTTTGCTTTAGCATTAAGCATTTGCCTCTGTTTTTACTTTTGTAATATTTGTATTCATGTTGGTATTTATTGCTGTCTAATGAGTCATACTTCAATGATTACCTCAGAGATATCTCACAGATTTGGGAGAGTCCAGCTAATGAAGTCATTCATAGGTTTTTTTGTACAGTTTTTTTTTTCTCTTCTCAGACTTAGCATTGCCTTTTTTAACGCACAAAATACCTGGAGTGTTTTTAATATAGTGCCTGAACTCTGACCAACGGGGCTCAGACCGGCTAGGGTAAGGCAGGATTACTCAAAATAAAATACATAATTTTCAGCTTCTATTGCTCTGTTTTGGGGACATCTTGGTAATAGTCAGCAACAAATGCATCCAGTTTTGCTGCTATTTTGCTGAACCTTATCTTTAAGTTCCCCAGAGCAAACTGAAGAGGAAACTTTTTAGTGGAGAAAACACAATTGGATAAAGGAACGGCCTAAAAGACGTTGCAGCAGTAGAAGAAACAAGAGATGTGTTCGCGCTCTGCTTGGTACTGACAGCATGGTCTTTGCTCTGCCATTCTTCCCTTTTACCTGCCTCTTTTCCTTGTCATTTCCTCCTCCTCCTCCACTTCCTCCGTCTGTCCAAAAGTCTGCTCTTGCACCTTCATCATTCCCTGCCGTTGTTTGGTGTAATGTAGGAGAAGTTAAATCCTCAATATCCATGCAATGCTGCTTTTGTATCTCAAGCATCACCAAGTTGTTTGTAAATGACACTACATAATAATGCAGGCATCGTCCAAAATGTCAGCCCCCAGTGGCTCAACAAGCCTCATTAAAGGACTGTGTCTTTTAAGATGAAATCAACTTAGTGGCACTTATCATTGGGGAGAAGCTTCCCTTCAAATCCTAGTATCATATTAACAGAGCAACTACTCACTTTGGTGACTTTGAACCAAGTTTTCCTTTTTTGTATCCATGTCACACTGCTTCAGGTAAACACTGAATGAAATAAGAGAGATTTCTATTGATCAGTGAATACTGAGGAACAATGTCACCATGGTCACATCTACCCTGAGCTGTGTGCCATTGTCAGACCCTTTTTAATGCAGGGGAGGGTGTTAATGAAGCTGGCTTCAGATGCTGTCTGAGTGGGAGATCAGCCTCTAACTTACTGCTCTGTCAGCCTTGTGTATTGAACGTTTATCAAGGAATAAATTTGAATTAGGTGTAGAATTATCACCCTGCGTTGTGAACCCAAATTGTGCCACATTGAATTAAATGCCTGAACCAACAAAAGCACTTATGTAATGTTTGTAACACGTGCATACTTATAAATCTACTAGCCATAAACTGCCTGTGTTGGTCAGCATGATATGGCTTCATTATCAAAAAAGTTACTTAAATTCTAATGTAATTGCAATTTATCTTTTGTCTCTTGTTTTTTTTTTTTTTCAAAGATCTTTTTTTCTATTATAAATTGGTGTTTATGTAATGTTATTTTGTCAGATGTTTTGCAAATCAAAAATAAACGGTTGTACATAGCAGTGGGCTCCTGTTTGGGTTATTTCACATTTTTATATGGTTGACTTTAAATGTAAAACGTAAAAATGTAATAATTCATTAACATGCTGGACTTTTCTGATCACATGTCCATCTAAGGAATATTAAAAACCTACCAGATTCCTCTTTAATGCATTCATTTCTCTGGAAAAAGGCCATACCTGTACTCACATCTAGTACACACAAGTGACAGGCATTATTATAATACCAGAAATGCCTCTATTGGGCATTTCACATTACCTCTGCCTAAATGTAATGCTTTATGTGACGGAAATGTACAGGGACATGGTAATCTGGAAGAAACTACAACCATATTTAACAGGAAAAAAAAAAAAACATTTTTAAAAACTAATAAATGTGATTAATATCAAAGAAATCAGTTCGGGCTACATACAACATCTTTGTATTAGAAAATGAACCTTCTACAGTTCTGACCAACCACTTTCTGTCAACCCTGAATGACAGTATCCTCTGTTTGGATTTATTTGTAAGTATTTTGTCTTTTATTTCCAGTGATATGTGATTTATTGTAAATTGTTTGATTCTATTTTTTTTTCCATACATAAATAAATAATATGATTTCGAAATGAACATTCAGAAATACACCCACACCACTGTTTGTAAAAGATTTATGATAATGTGTGCGGAGGCAAGAATTTCTGTAAAGAAGCACATAGTGTATTTATATTTACAGGATATAAAAATTGTATTTAGGATGTATATAAAGATATAAATATTCTTCAGTGTTACACTTTTACATATTGTGTATTTTCTGGTGTTAAATGTTAAACTACTACAACTTTAATTGCTCATACAAATATCTTTGATTTACTAAGTTCAATCTTTATTATCATCGAGTCGTAACCGAACATAAAGTAAAATAGTGGAGAAAATATACTATAAAGTCGGCAGAGGTCAAAAGCAGAAGCAGAGGAAATGTTGAATTGAATGCTCACATATCTGTTCTTTGTCTGATATACAATTTTCATTTTTGGTTAAATTGTCTCAGTTTTGCATCCTGATTTTATTTCATAATTGTTTGATATTTTCAAGTAATCATTTGTCCACCAGAGGGTGCTGTCTTTCTTAATATGCCCCAAAGCCTTCTTACTGACCTAATGACCCTTCATTACATTTCTGAGGACAGAGGCAGTTAGAGGACAGAGGCAGTTAGAAAAACGAGGTTGTACTCAATGTCCTCACACAGAGCTGTGGTGCACTGGGAAACAAAGCCGTGCCACAAGTTCACACGTACAAACACAGAGATGACTTTTTTGTAGATATGTGTCGCATACAGGCAATATGTTGAGGGAGATTTGAGCTCACCTCAGCTCACCTCTCTCTGGCCAGTCATGTACAGAACAAGATTACACGAGTCTTGATGTGCAGAAGGAACAAATACAAGGTTATCAGAGAAATCCAGTCATTGTTCGACAGTTAATTGTCAGTCCTGCTTCTATGCAGAGGCGCTCCTTTTGACTGCTGATAAGAACTGGCTTTTGCGGTCTGCTCAGCCGTTGTGTCTGTGTACGAAGTCAGATGACGGAAAGAGAGACTCTGGTTGCAGCAACATCCTTTAGGTGAGAGCTCTCGGGCAGTATTATCTCACAACAGAGCAACCAGAAACTGAACAGCCTATACTTTTACATTGTGAACACGTTACTGGCTGCACGTCTCCCTGCACAGATATGAAGTATTACTAAAGGGCAGTCGAGTTCATCATGGAGGTGTGAAAAGGTGTAGTTCCAGGATGGCAACAAGACTTGATCCTGATAGATAGTAAAGGGTTGGAAACAGTCGTTTTGTTCAAACTTTTAATCAACAGGCATTGATTTCATGTTTTGATCCACCCAACAAATCAAGTATTAATCGAAATCCATTGTGTAAAAGCTTTTTAATCACTGATAAGACACGGTTTTTCAAACGCTACGTTATGGCTGCTGAAATCTAATCAACTCTGTGTGTCCTCAAATCTGCACTCATCTCTTGTCTGTTCATTCAATGTCTATGCTGGCAAGCTTTGAGTAGCATTTTCTTAAAGATCTGTGATCAAACCCTTCAGTTTCTATCAACTCTCGAAGCCATTTCTCTGTCTTTCTGCACGTTTTCTTGGTTTAGTCACCTGCAGATTCACTGCCCTGATTTTAGGACCTAAACCAAGCGTACCGACAAACAAGGTTGGGGGATAAGGGCCTGTGTCCTCTCACGACAGCCTTCAAGATGGCAACACTCAAGACCCTTATTTCAGAGCACTTCTAAACTGCACTTACTGTCCACAAAAGCTGCTGATACTGGATGCTGCATGAAGAGCTGCAGTGGTTTTGTTTGTAAAAATGAATAGGTCCTGCCACTGCAAAAAAGCAAGGTTAGTGGACACAGGTCCTTAAAGGGATATTCCGGCATGAATTTAAGTTAGGGTCAAACACACCATGACACCAAGTTAGACACCACTTAAGAGATGAATGTTGCAGGCTGCTTGCTTCTCTAGTTATACCAACTTCAGCAACTACCGCACGATACGAGTTAGTCACCAAGTGCAGCGGGGTTACGCTGCTCAAGAAAGAAAATTTATGAATATTACTTCATGGAAATGCAAACAGACTAAGACGCTAAGGCAGAAGAACAACCACGTCTGCAGTGCAAAATGATTATTATGATGACAATTACTTAATGGCTTGGACTACATGTACTGTTGATGAAGTTAGGTGTTCTGAGCATTATCTGTGGCTACAGAGTGGCTTTTTGTTGAAGGTTTGCACGTGGAGACATAGACCACTGTGTATTGCTATTGTGCGGTCATTGCTGAATTTGCTTTAACTCGAGAAGCAAGCGGTCGGCAAAATTCATCTCTTGAGGGGGAGTCTAACTCAATGTTACGGTGTGTTTGACCCTAAATTAAATTCACGCCGGATTATCCCTTCAATGTGGTAATTAAATGGCAGCAAGAGCTCAAGATAAAACCTTCTCTCTCTCTATCCGTAATTTTTCCAATTCTTTCACTTACTGTTGAATAAAAAGAAAAAATTCAACTAAAAAGGTGTGCAGGTCTTACACACAGGCTGAATGCTCACATTATTGGACCAGGGTTTGACGCCCGCCTTGGCACTTGTCGTGTATTATTCCCAATCTCTCTTACAAGCCCTTTCTATCACACACAGTCAAAGACAGGGACGAAAAATTATCTGAAAAAAAAAAAAACAATAAATAAAAACAATAAAAGCAATAAAAAAAGAATAAAATACAATACAATAAAATAAAGTGTTGCCAGCAGAGAAGAGCTAATGTCAAACTTAACTTTGTTTGAACATGCAGAGACACAATTTCAAACAGACTATTGCCTGATCTGTTCAAAGGCATCATATGAAATTAACAAAATGATGAGATTACACATTTTTAGATTTTTTTTTCACTACTTTTTTTCTACCCCCATACAACCAAGTTTCTGTCCAGAGACACACAATTTATTCTTCAGTCTCCCTTTAATCTGCAGTACAAAACAGTGTCTCAAAAGTTTGCATCACAAATCTATATAAAAAACTATTTGAACTCTTATTTGTGTGCTCAAGGATCACACACACACACACACACACACACACACACACACACACACTGCAGACTGACCCCGTTGTACAAGCACACTAAGGTGGTCCACTGAGGCATTTATTTCTGTCTATAGGGGCATAAATACCAACGGGTGGAGCCCTCGCATTATCGCAGACTGATAGAGAAGCACATGTGCGTACTGATAGACCGCTGCCACTTTATGAAGCCCAACTGTATGTTTTACCGAGAATGCCCCTGCCATAATAAGGGTTGTTTTATTTTTGCGGCCCAGCTTGAGGTATGACTGTTCAGTTGGCACGTAGCCGCCTGCAGGGGGATGTCAGTTGTGACTTTCCAGTAATAACAAGGGCGTGTTGTTTTCTGTGTGCATATCTCATGTACCAATATGTGTGAGAGAGAAAGAGAGAGAGGGTTTTATTTCAAACTAAACAACCAGACATGATGAGAGATGAGAGAGAAAATGCTGAAGTCATATCAGTTATAATGTGAATCTCATGCTTTTCATTTAATACCCAGAAAGAAGACCCTACTTTTCCTGTTTTCCGTTGATTCTGTGCCTGCCTATCTAGATTGGATGCTTGATGCCCTTTATGCGAGTCATCCAAATATCATTAGGACTAAACCCAGCATGTGGTTTTAGTTCAGAATGTGAAGAACGCATGCATGGCCCGTGAATGTTTCTCTGCTCTCAGGCCCTCCACAGGGCAGAATAACATCTTCAGCTCTCACACAGCTGAAGGTGGACACACACAGACAATACATACATACAGTTTCTAGTTATATATGCACAAAAAATGTCATTAAAGCATTTTTAATGAGGGAGTCTGAGATCTGTCTGAGAAAGCAATAGCAGCTTCGCACACAGAATGCGAATCACTCCTTAAGCTCACAGATGAGAGCACCATCGCTGAACTGGTTATTCTACCTGAAAGGCAAGAAAAATATCTTGGATGTTTAAATGTCTGTTGTTATTGTGCCCTTTTTACTTTTCAGGAAAAAGGAAGTGGGCAGAGCTGGAAGAAACAGAGTGTGTGTGTGTGTGTGTGTGTGTGTGTGTGTGTGTGTGTGTGTGTGTGTGTGTGTGTGTGTGTGTGTGTGTGTGTGTGTGTGTGTGTGTGTGTGTGTGTGTGTGTGAGTGCGTGCGTGCTGTAAGGAAATGTTCTCCATAGAAAATAATGGCAGCAAGCCAAGTCACTACCAGCCAAACATTTTCCTGTTTTTTTGGTGCCCTATATTTGTGTTCTAAATCAAGCACACACACACACATCTACACACACACACACGCTAACAGCATACCGCTGTGTTTATTCACTTTTCAGCCACTTCAGTCATGTGGTTTCTATAACAGTCCTGATTTCATTATGCATGGACTTTAGGTGGAAAGTAGGAAAAAGTGCAGATTTATTTTTGAGGTTTGTCCAATAAACACATACTCGGCTTTAAATTGAATGTTTCTGCTCATGGAAACACATGACTCTGCTTTAAAACTGTGCAGCATCAA